AGAAGAGCCAATCGGAGGCCTACGACAATCACCCGGTCCTCCAGTTCCTCGCTGTATCCGCCGGGTTTACCTAACAATCATTAATTCGTGATTACAGCAACTACACCCTGTACTACAGCCCAACTCAATATCGTTTCTCGTTTTCATTTTCTCGGGCGCACTGGCACCCCTCCTGCCGACGCGGCGACACGGAGAAACCCGAAGTTATTGAGCGTGCATTTTCTGGCGGATTTCTCGTCGCATGCTAGACACCACAGCTGTCAGATAGCTCGTGCTCATCCCACGTGCTGTATTCTATGGCGGACTGGGATGGTATGTGGCAGTATCAGCAGGGTCACTATACTGGCCCTGCCCTAGCTCAGTAGTTGCAAGGGTGCCAGAACACAACTTGGTGCGCGTCCAACAGCGCGTCACAACAAGCCAAAACATATCGTATTAGGCAAGACATAAGCAACCGAGAGCCTGGTACATCAGTACAGCGCATGGCAATTGAAAGTCCGCCCCAGAGAAACGAGAGAAACAGCTCGAGGAGCTGTTTCTCGTTTTCTCGTTCGCGCTGAGATCCCAAGTCCGATCGCCGTTCGGCAGGGACCCCGAAAGGCTTCAGCGCACTGAGAAAATGAGCGAGAAACGCTTATTGAGTTCGACTTACTACAGCAGCCACATAGCGTACATTTGCGATTAGTAGAGCCTGCTACAGTCCAGCATAAGCAGAGCGTATTAATAATTTACCATCCCACTGCGCATTAGATACGGTAGGCTTCGTGTTCGGACACTGTATAGATCGTCGCTGGCAAATGAGAAACTTGGGCCCAGTCCGTCTGCAGGCGCACAGCTCGTGATGGCGAGGCGTCCGACAGGCGCCGAGAAAGCCTCTTGGTGCCATTTTTACCCTTGTCGAGTTGTGGGATGATCATCACCCTCCTGGTCCCGTGGACGCAGCGGCCTGGGATCGGGATGGTCTTGATTATCTTCCGGATAGTGGAAGTGTTGCTGAATAGCATAGACTTGATCTGGCAGCCCCGGTGCGAAGCTGCTCTGCGGCAGCGGCTGATGCGCGGGGTCCAGCGACAGCCTCGAGGGAACCGGACTTGGCAGGCGGAGCGGAGGAAATCGATTAGCAGGCGGCGTGATCGGGTCGCCATGTAGAGACATACTGCTCAGTAGCGTAGGATCGACCGTCAGCGGAGGCGTCGCAGAGCGCGCGGCGTGAGGTCGAACGGGGCGGCCTGGGTAGAACTGTGGTCTGTCGGTTGCCCCGACTAGCCTGAGGACCATGCGTGGATCATCAGGCGGCGGGGGAGCGCCCGACGCGGCCCTCTGCCTCGCCTGTTTCTTGCTGCCCTTCTTCGCTTTCCCCGGTCCTCGCCTCCGAGGGAAAGCTTCGTACGTACATTGCGGTTCGGATCCGTCGGGCTCTGGCTTGCGCTTCAGACAGTTGCGGCAAGGTTTGTTCCCATCACATCGAAGCTTTCTATCTGTATCGTGGGACAGGAATGGCGTGCATCGATTGGCAACCAAAATTAGTACTGCATGAAGATCGGAAGCTATGTGAAGTACACTTACGCCTACAAAACCAGCACGCCACTTCGGTCTTCGTCTTCCTGGCCTTTGGCTCTGGTCCTACCTCGGGTTCATCAGGGCCAGGTTCACGTTGACGTCTTTTCCCTCTACTAGCACTCGAACTCCCTTCCGCTGAAGTTGACCCAACAAGCGTGCTCCCAGTCAGCGACTCGGACGGGTCGATTCCTCCCGCTGTTGGAGAGTCGGGAGATCCCTGGCGGTCGTAACCGCTAGGCGTACCCTCGCTCGGGAGCCACAATTGGGAATGTAAGGTAGCAGATGGCGACTCGGCAGAGCTGGCGCTGCTGGGCCCCGGCTCCTGTCCATACTCCGACGTTCCACTGGTTGACGATCCCTCGTACGGTAGAGACCTGTGTCTCTCCGTGACTAGAGCGGGAGTAGTACGGCGTCGCACTGGACGTGATCCGCCTGGCTCACTAAAGGATGGGAAGCGATCGTAGGCAACAGACGTTTCTTCTGTGAAACGATTAGCGCAAGTTGTGTCAAACCGGGCCTTCGGAACGTACCTCGGAAGACGTCACGTCTAGAACTGGGCGAGTGTCCCTCTGCGAAGTCCACAGGGGATAAGGTGAATGTGCCTTGTCCGACGTACCAAGGGCTGCCGTCGGTGCTGCCTGCTCGACGCTCTCTAGTGGGCTGGGGGTGCCGAATTTCGTCCCTTAGAGGGAAGACGTCGGGGCCATAGCTAGGAGCGGGATACCTATGACCTCCCGGGCTGATGCCAAGGTCGAACGAAGGCCTACCACTTGGTGGGGCCGTCGATGACCCAGCGCCGCCTACTGCCCATGACCTAACAGGTCTAAGTCTCGCCTCCGCCGTGGGGGCCACCAAGTGTCCCATTGGCGGACCCCGTCTATAGACGTAATTGCGAGGATCAGTGACACCGCTACTAGTGGATGCCACACCATGGTGAATGGAAGAAGTCCCCTCCGCCTGCACTTCTGCCCCTCGACCCCCTCCCGCGGAATGTGGCCTGTATGGCAAGGGTCGAAAGTTTGGAAGTCGTATCGAAAGGGAAGGTTGTACTCCCTGCGCTATCGCAGGAGCTTCGCGCAGTTCGTTGAGGATAACATGGCCACCGGCCGCGGGAGGATGCGTACTTGCTGGGGAACCGGGCCTTGATTGTTCTGGTTGCTGTGGTGCTGTTACCATGTGGTCGTGCAGGCTATCAGGAAGGAGACTCTGTCCTCTCCCCCCTTTCTGCCTATCCATCGAGATGATCGACCGTTTCCTGCACCCTGCCGGTCGATGGAGCAGTCGTGAAGCTAAGTCGACGAATCCAGAGGCACTTAGCGGAGGTATGTCGCAAGAAAATCCGAGGGAAGGGTCGCAGTACGCCAGGCGTCCCATACGTCGCTAGTCGACTTTGTGGCAGGGTGTAAAGGGCCTCCTTTCAAAATTTCACGGCGCAGACAGAGAGGACGGAGCCCCCGTTGAATGATCGCGGTCCGAGGCCAGGGGGCTAGCTTGGACTGAATAAGACAGTCCGCATATTAGGTTTGGATCCGGTATGCGCGTCGAGGGGGCGCAAAAACAAATTGCGCGTCCTGTGCAGTCAACGAGCCGACAGCGTCGAGGACTCCCCCGATCCTTACAGGAGGCAAAATTCGATTCCCTCTGCCAAAGGGATGGTGGGGCCAGAGGAGGGCTCCCCTAATCTCGACGGTTTGCCATTATTTTGATCTCGACCGTCCGGCTTCTTCCCGCAAACAACGTGTGGCCACTGATTTGATGGGTAACTTATTGAGCCTTCTTACAGGTCCTGGGCTCATTCCTTCTCTACCTCGCGATATTCCCTGTATCGTTGAGAAATGGCTCATATTCTACGCTCCTGAAGACTGTCCCACAGCGTCCGCCACAAGCAGGCGCCGGTAGTTGCATAACCACCTCCGAAACACGATCGGGTCAGCAGATCTTTTAGGCAGCCAATCTTTACTCAGATAGCCCCTAACATGCCGGATATGTGCATCACGGTCCCATCTGCCGGTAGCGTCCGACTGGACTCCATCATATCGTTCCCTGCTAACTTCTGTGGTGCTAAACACGTTGCAACCAACCGTCGACGAACGACGCGAGGCCGTTATTTGGGCTCGGATAACACAATAAAAAGGCAGTCCTCTCTTCCCTCGTTCCCTGCTCAGAGTCGATAACATATGCTTATCGATCATGGCTATGGCTGCCGTCGATCCATTGAATTAGATTTGCGAGACCGACCTGCGCCTGAAACACATGGCCATTTTCAGCAGCCGAAACTTCCTCCCAAAGAATTTCGGAGTTAGTTGTCCGCTGCAGTATCGAGAAGGCGCGCCGACCGCAATGTCGTCAGCCAATCAACATCCTGGGAAATCCAGTCCAGACCCTCCCGAAAAGTGCATTGCTGACTAATCCGGGAAATGACTCTAGGTTCGCGCGCTTGAGCTTGAGATTCAGGACCCTATACTGTCCGGGCTTACAGCTACTTACAGCTATGCGTGGCCAGGGTGTGCTCCGTGTCGGTCACTGCGCGAAAGGTTCCAAGGCACGCTGTTTCAGCACCGGGGCTCCTGTCTTGGATGGGAAACCTGTCATGAACCGGTACAGCAGGACTGTAACGCAGCCGAAAAGTCAGGGAGCAAGTCAGGTATTCTTCCGTTTGCTCAAGTCAGATCGGGGGTCATTAAGATCCGTGCTAGGCTATGCTGTATGCGACCGATGGCATAAGAGACGATGACGACTTCAATAAGGCAATGGTCGGGGTGGCCAGTGTGTGGTGAGTGACCCGTAGCCCGAGCGTGGAGCCTCCTCCTGAACTTTCCGTCCAGGTACGAAGGAAACCCGTGAGTAGCTCTGCGGAGGAAATGAGCAATGTCGTTACAGTTGAATATCACAGTTGCAATCGCCACTTATTAGGCATTGGTCAGCGCGTCAAGGCCTCACTAACGAACGCCGGCATCATTGGCTACCAGTTCGGTACTGTCGGCGTCAGCGATGGTATCAGCATGGGGACCAAGGCAATGTCCTATTCTCTACAATCTCGGGATCTCATTGCGGACCAAGTCGAGACAGCGGCTGGCGGCCACTGGCTAGACGGCATGGTCGTTATCCCTGGCTGCGATAAAAATATGCCTGGCGTTCTGATGGCATGTCAGGCGAAATATTCTTCTACGACTTCTAAGGCGTGCTTATGACCTGATTCCAGTGGGAAGGTTGAACAGACCTGGATTAATGCTCTACGGCGGTTCAATACGACCAGGTTCTTGCGGTGGCGGTACACTTGACATCGTGTCCGCCTTCCAAGCGTATGGAAAATACTTGCAAGATGGTAAGACAGCGGATGCGGAGAAGGAACGGTACAATATTATTCGGCATGCGTGTCCCGGGCCCGGTGCTTGTGGCGGGGTAAATCATCACTTATGACAAACTGGCTGAATGCTGATCTACTTCCCTAGATGTATACGGCGAACACTATGGCTAGTGCCGCGGAGGCCATGGGAATGACCCTACCTGGTTCCGCCTCGTTTCCTGCTACGCACGAGGATAAGCTGAATGAATGCGACTCGGTCGGTGCTACGATGCGCAATTTACTCGAGAAGAATATTTTGCCCCGGGACATAATGACTCGGTCGGCCTTTGAGAACGCTATGGTGTGGATTTATATCAGATGTAACCGCCAGTTAATAAACTAACGGCAATGTCAGGTACTGACAATGATACTCGGCGGCTCCACCAACGCCGTATTACACCTCATCGCGATCGCGCACTCCGTAGGCATTGAACTGAATATCGAGGATTTCCAAAACGTATCCGATCGTATACCTTTCATCGCGGACCTGAAGCCTAGCGGCAAGTATGTCATGGAAGACGTCCACAAAATTGGCGGTATCCCAAGTGAGTCATCCTCTCTCGTGTCCACATCACGGCCTTATGTGTGACGGGTTATCCAGAGATCCTGGCGTATCTCCTAGAGAAGAAACTGATTGACGGTAACAACATGACGGTCACTGGGCTGACACTGGGCGAGAACCTCGATAGATGGACGCACAAATACGGCAAGTTATCCTTCACTGAGCAGGACGTCATCCGTCCCTTAGAGGAGCCCATTAAGGAGTCAGGACATATCAGGTCGGTCACTTTGACCAGTCTGCCGCTCTTTGACCCGTGTCAATTCCAATATCCTCCCTCAGAATCCTGAGAGGTAACTTAGCGCCCGGCGGTGCTGTCGCTAAGATCACTGGTAAAGAGGGTCTCCACTTCACCGGCAAAGCCCGCGCCTTCGATACAGAGGATGATTTTGTCAAGGCTGTTGAGAGCGGCTCCATCAAGAAGGGTGAAAAGACTGTCGTCGTGCTGCGCTACCTCGGTCCGAAGGGCGGTCCAGGTATGTCCTTCATTCCCAGTCTATCGAGTGCATTAAATTTCGTTGACCCCCAATAGGTATGCCAGAGATGTTGAAGCCCACTAGTCTTATCATGGGCGCGGGTCTCGGGCACGACGTCGCTTGTCTCACCGATGGACGCTTTAGCGGCGGGTGAGTGAAAAGGGGATGTCTAATATTTCGAGTGTCATGCTCACGCGGTGTATAGATCCCACGGGTTTGTCATAGGTCATGTCGTACCTGAGGCCCAGGTGGGGGGTCCAATTGCGCTCGTCCAAGATGGTGATGTTATCAGCATCGATGCGGTGAAGAATTCTATTGAGGTCCATGTTCCACCTGAGGAGCTGGAAAGCAGACGGAAAGCTTGGTCTGCCCCTCCGTTGAAGGTCAGCCAAGGAACATTGTACAAATACGTGAAGCTGGTTGAGGATGCCAGTCACGGTTGTATCACCGACGCATGACTACCATCTAGCCGATAAGAGGCTTGCAATGGAAATGGGAATGTATTGAAAAGTACATACAAAAGCGTCAGCTAGATCGCTCACTAATCTAATACATTTACTGTTTCCAATCTACCGCTACAAAATTTCAAACGAGAAAGCATAGCTCCGAGCGTGTCATACGATCTGTTGGGCGGCCGTCGATCTGCATGACTTCTCATCCTCTGCGAGTAGCTTTGATCTTACGCTTCTTTTCGGCCTTGGGCATCTTCTGTTGACGCCTCTCACGAGCCTCTGCCTTGACAGCTTTCTTCCTTTCCTGTAAATCAGAATCAAAGCCTATGTCAGTACATTTCTCACTCCAAGGGCAGGAATATAGAGAACAGATCAAATGATAAGTGGGTGATGTGATGTGCCACACTGTTACTGCCCTAGAACAAGACAGGGGACGGACCTTCTTCGCTTCTTTGTCCTCGTGCCGGTGGCCCCTCGGAGTACGCTCCTGGAAGGGCTTGCCGTTGTCATTGTCTTCGCCAACGCTAGCGCCCTCCTCCCCTTCGTCACTTCCTTCCTGGGACGAAGTGTCACTATCTTCACTATCCCCAGCAAAGCGCACACCGGGACCCTTCTCCGTGGCAGTGTCTTCCTTGCACGGCTCTGCCGTCTTCTTCATCGCCGGCTTCACAAGACCTATGGTATCAGCATAGATGAGTTTATCGCCCTCCCCTCGGTTGAGGATGTCCAGGTCCCGCTCCGGGTTCTTGACCTCAGTCAACGTGCGAGGGATCCAAGATTGCATGAAGACGGCATCTTCATGAGCCTCGGCGTCTTTCTTCGCATCATCGCCTTGCCCAACACCCTCTTCGTCCTCACCCGTATGCTGCGCAGCCTCCTGCAGCCACTCCGCAACCACCTCTGGCGCATCTCCCCCGAGCTCTTCTTTAGTGACGAACTCGAAGGCTCGCCTGAGGCCCAGGCCTTTCACGCCTCTGCGGCCGAAGAATTCCTCCACATTCTTCATGTCGCTCCGTAAGAAGTCAAAGGCATGGGGGTGGTCGTGCTCGACGCTTTGTCCGACGTCGATGATGTAGAGGTGGGAGGTGTGGTAGATGATATTGTACTCCGAGAGATCGGCATGAACTAGCTTGCACGTCTGGAACATTGTGCGCACTGTCAATAGAAGCTCCTTGTAAAGCACCTGGTAGGAATCTGCTGGTATGTCGGCATCTTTCAGCCTAGGGGATGCCCTGGGAGCACGACAAGACCGGCGTTAGCGAGAAGTCGGAGCGGCATGTGCTTGTGTAACGACAGGATTAACCACAACTTACCAACCGTCCTCGTCGCCCAAAAATTCCATGGCAAGTACATTCTCCCTGACCTCCACAGGTTCCGGGCATCTCACGTCTGCATTCCTGAGGCGCTTCAGATTCCTCATCTCCTTCTCCGCCCAGAGGCGGACCATCTTCCTCGGGTTGCGCCTCGAGTATCCCCTCCGGAAGCGATGCTCGCCCGAGACGTACCGATCGCGATCTTTAAACACCAAGATAGACGTCTTGTATATCTTCAACGCGAGGTGGGCGGGAAGAGGTGGCGACTCAGCCACAGGGGTGCCCGAGAGTGCATGGTAAACATTGGCCTGCATTGTTTATTCATTAGGAGGCTTATGCCGGAAACTGATGTAAATACGTACCTCTTTACCTGTACTGACGCAGCCGTTGACCTCTTTGATCAAGCCCCTGCCAATCATCTTGAACAAAATCAACCGCGTCCGATCATCTAGCACCTGCTCATTCGTCGCGCGGTCGCTCTTGTCCTTCATATTTGCAGTAGCACTGGGCCCCTTGCGATTCACGCCGACCCACGGCTGGCTGATGTTCGCAAGACGAGAGGAATATTTAGACAGGGCGTGCAGCTGGTCTGCGGTCTTGTCTCGCTGACCGCTGGGGTTCAACGAGGGATTGGGCTGCCGGGGACGGTTGAGGGCGGGAAGGGGAACGGTGGTGGGGGCAGAGCTGGAGGCTCTGGCCTGCCCCGCTCGAACAGCGACGTGCTGGCGGAGACGATTATATTGTTTGGTAAAATCTGGGTAGAGCATATAGTCAGTCCATACGCTCGTGATAGAAACATATACCACTAGAAAGAACGCGATAGACGTACCGCGCTCAGCGATCTCCCAATCTTCGTCCTCGATCCTCTGATCATCGTAATCCTCTTCTTCTGGCTCAAGGTCATCCTCTTCTTCATCCTGTTCATCATCCTCCAACCACTGCAGGAGCTCATCATCGATCCGAGCACCCGTTACTGCAGGGTCCTGGTTGTTTGCAATAGGGGTTGCTGGACCATGCTCATGGCCATCAAGCGCATCGTCGAACTGTCCTGGCGCAATATTTGCATCCATCTTGTCCCGTAGAGCACGTAACTGATGAATACCTGTTTACAATCGATTCTAGGAAGTGACAGCCGCTGAGCTGAAGTTGCTTCGGCTAATGTGGAGAAGGCTCTCGGAGATGAACAGATTTAGATGCCGGCAGGAAATCTGTCGCAAGTTCGCGAGTAGGCTTCTAACCCAGGACCGTGTGCTGTCTAGATGAAACGCTTATGACAGTAGAGCGACCGCAAGCAGTACGTGGATAGGACTTGGAGTCGAAAGTTCTCCGCGATTTTGCCTGTGGATCGTTGTCCGCTTGTTGTCCGCTGCCATCAGCTGCTGCCTTTCCGGGTGAACATGAGGCCGACGGCCGTCAGGCTGGAGTACAGTACAGCGCCGAGAGGGCTGGGGTATGCTGTAAGACGCCATGCATGATGATCACCGTGCGATAACCTTTGAGCTGTCCGGACTTGACCTCTCGGACGCTTTGACCACCTTGTATTTGAACTCTCATCGCAGCAGGCGCCGTACACAGCCTGCTTTCACCCCTTCCACTGATCTCAGCACTGCCAGATCCGTTTGATGGCGCAATATTACAGCACGTCCGCCTTGACGTCGCGGTTGAACACGAACACTGCGTTCACTGCCTCTCGTGCCCCAGTTCTAGATGAGGAGGACCTGAACCAGTCCATCTACATTTTCCCAAATCCCTCTAGCTTACAGGGTACGAGCAGGAGTCGAAGCCCGTCCGTGTCCCTGTCCGTTACTCCATCATCTCCTTTCACCCCGTCGTCTGCCTTCTCCGGCATAAGCGATTATGACTGGTCAAGAAGTGCGGCCAGTCCGAGCAGGCATGCGACCGCGAGTGAGAGTGGCGGCAGAGGGAGAGGTGTCAGCGTAACCACGGCTGCGGATGAACTTCAAGTGGAAGCATGGAATTGGGAAGACGAAGAGTACTCCAGTCAGGATCTGGAAGACGAAGTCGATCGGCGGTCACGCTGGGACATCCTATCTAGAGGAGACTCTTCCCGCCGTCTGCGGACGGACAGCGATGCTTCCCCGTCTAGCGTGTCGTTCACGATATCATCCCTCTCGCCGTCAATGCTTTCTATGAAGTCTCCTATTCGAAGTCGCGTGGATTCCCTGCGACGTACCAGGAGTCGGAGTCAAGTTACTCGACGATATGATACTGCAGCCCCGCATCCCGCGATTCGAATACCTCTGTTCTCCTTCATCTCCTCCTTCCTGTCCATAGATGAGTCTACGGTTCATCTCATTCGACATACGCCTGGAACCTCTGTCTTGTTTCCCAGTTCACCTCACGACAACGCGTCTGAAGGAAGTACCTTGGACGATCCTCCTCAGCATGTTCATGGACTGTCAAGGTTGTTCCCGTCCTCTTCCTCGGAAGATGACCATTCTATCGCGCTGAAGAAAGGACTTGGCATCATGTACGAAAAGGATGAGGAAGCGCGAATAGAAGAGGATGGAGACTGGATTATCTGGAGATGGATGAGGTGGGCCGTTGGGCAGTGAGCCTCCTGACAAACCTGTTACTGCACATACCTAGAACCTGCGTTGAAGTTGCTCCGTAGTAGTGGACTGTGTACTGTGTACGATGATTGTTTTACTGTACAGCTTTTGTATTAGCTTTCTATTGTGGACCTTACTAGGGTGAATAAATACTGCCTTCCTCACATTTACATGTGGCAGCTGAGCTATGTATGTCATTTTCCATCCCTGATACTTACTTCGTTTCAGCTTCGATTCAAGCGGATGTGGCTGGTTAGGCTTGTGTGGGAAAAGGGAAACAACTGCCTTTGTGAGGAAGCCGGAAATTGCCGCCGGGAAACGTCCTCTCTTTCAGACTCTCATGCAATGAGCACCTCGAATACACCGTCTACCATAATCTCGGAGGCACTCGCCACCTTCTCGAGGAGCGCGAATCTCGCTGTGCGTGTGTCTTAGCTCTCAGAACAATTTTGCATTGTTTAAGAGACGCATCTTCTCAGCTCAGTACCGCAGCAAGCGAAGAAGCCACACGCGCGAACGCGCGCATACAGGAGCTGAGGAAAGAGAGAGATGAGGCTATTCAGAAAGCATACGATGCAGAGCTGGAAATCGAGAGGTGGAAGGCTTCAGTGAGTCATACATGACGTATATATGCGTATAGATGATTCAACGACACGTTAGCTAGCCAAGGCAGAGTTGACCGTACGTAGCGCGTGCTGATATGATCCTGTTACGAAACTGACTTTTTGCTTCGTAAACATTCCTACCTTACTATCGACGCCGCGTTACCTCTCCTTGCCCCGGACGCGTCGCGACGCAGATATCCCATCAAACGGAGACCATTGCCGAGCTGAACCGGGAAGTTCAACAATGGCGAGATCAAACGCAGCTTTGGCAGAACCAGTGTCACAATTTGTCAGAGACTTCTCGTGGCGAGGTTCAAGACTGGAAGGAACAATTCCTGCACGCTGAGAGGGAGCGGGTGAAGTTAATGGATAGGCTGGACGACATCATCAGGTCGCAAGAACTGGTACGTTTGTCTCATCTTTGGCCCGTTGCACGCATATATAGCAAAATCTTCATTCTTATGCACTCTTTATGTCCGCTGAATGGGTATAGGCGACGCAGCGTCCACCGCGAACTCCCCATCCGCGTACACCCAATCCCAAGACCCTGTACCCGACACCTCATATAGATGGTGGTCTCCCTTCCACGAGCAGACGCGTATCCATGCCCCAGTCAGCGCCGACATCGTCCTCCGAGAGTACTCTGGCCCGCGGATCGCCGCACGAGAGCATTGCCACTAGGCCTAGAACAGCGAAAGCCAACACGCCAGGGCGCAGAAGGACCGAAATTGCTTCTGTCTCTATACCGACGACGAATGGTTCTGCAAAGCAGAAGGCGTCCACCCAAGCACCATCCACCATCCGTCCCCCGCGAGCCCGACAGGAAACCCAACCTCTTCCCCTCTCTGCCGCACATCAGCATTCTCAGCCACCGCCCGCACAAAGGACACATGTTATCCGTCGGGTACAAGCGGTGGTCGAGATACCTATCAAAGAGGAGGACGATGACGAAGAAAGCAGACCGTCCACCTCTGGATCCGCCCCTGCTGCCGAACCATCCGCTTCTACATCAGGCCGGCGCCCTGGACGATCTACGGCTGGTCTGCCGGCCAGACGGGCCAGCCAGCACCACGGAATGTACCAAGAGAGTGGCGAGGAGAGTGACTACGACGATCTGGGAGGGGATGATGATGGAGATGCAGACTACAGGGAAGACGATGATGACGAATTGATGCTGGGCGGAGACGTAAGTGGCATTCAGCTTACCTATCCGCTGCATATCTTTGGCTCTGTCTCACGTACCTCCCGTCGATCCAGGATAATGATCAGGAAGTCTATGGCGCGGCGCGCCCAGCTGAAGACGACCTGGAACCTCGCCCTATGCAGGGCAGAAAGAGGAGGATGAGTACCGCGATGCGGAACTCTGATGCAAGCAGAAGCGGGGCGAGGAGGCGGCGTCGCTAGTGGGTGCGTCGCTCAAGATTAGCGCGAAGGTATCTTTATTCGGAGCCTGTATCTGTACTTGGTTGTAAAATGTAACATTATCCCAAACGTTCATGAAGACACTTTCGTATACAATGTCATCCAGTCTGATCAAGCCTCCCTCGTAATGTACACTACACTAGCGCCCAAGTTTACATCAATGATACAACATGAAAGACCCGGGTCCTAACATATACATGCCTCCATCATTATGATCCTCCAGAGTTGTAGTAAAAAGTAAAGTCATTGGAATCACGGGGAGAATGAAACCAGGGTGACGGTGTTCCAGGAGGTCCTCCCATTGACAACAGGCGGACGAGGTTAAACGCATTCCCGCCCACGCTCCAAGGATTTGGCCCCCTTCTCCGAATCTTGGTAAGTGAGCGGAGACCCGGCCGCGGTAACGCTGCTAGCCTCGTCTCTATAGAAAGAATTGGTGGTTTTCCCCTCCATGTCCACCATTCGGTGAGACTCCACGTGCACGAAGACCTATTCCAAGATCCAGTGTAGTCGTAACAGAAGTTGTACGGCAGAAGCAGCGGTGGAAAGACGTGACGGTGAATAACGAGGATCGCGAAGAAGAGCGGTCTAGTCAATGTACGCATATATGACCATAGTGAAGGGAAGAGATCTCCATACCTCTGGTCTGCCCTGAGCAAGTTGCACGACCTCGCTCTGCGCACAGTAAGTACACTGGGGCCAAGTACCGCGAATCGCACTAACCTTCCGCATCGTGATGTCCCTCGGCACGGAGATATGGTTGACACCCTCTTCGCTGTTTTCTGTCGTCCGGCTGTACTTACCCCAGCCAGCCCTCGAGTTCAGGGTCGACATGAGGGAGTTGGTATACAGCTTTGATAAGGGGAAATTGAAGGACAGGTGGCTGGTGGTAGTATCTCAGATGAGAATCTCCGGCAAGAAAGTACTACCACATATCACTCACAGACCAGTGGACTAGCGGGAATCGAAGGGGAATCAGCAGAGGCGAATATCCCTGTAGGAGAGTGACTCACTGTACCAAGGAACATGCCCAAGTCGATAACGGCGACAATAGCGGTAATCATGCCAGTCTGAACCGTCACTAACATAAGATATATGAGTACCGTGCGATACTGGTATCCTCAATCGCTGGCGATAGAGCTCTTACGCACGTCTGATTATCTTGTTCACGATATCGTCCGTGGCCGGGAAGCCAGTTCGGTGGCGTCTCTATGTCGAACCATGAGGAGGTAGCACGTTATTGCTCCCAAGGAAGAACATACCAGGTGCCAAGTCAGGGCTGCCGTGATTGCCACATCGCAGATGCACGTTGTCAGCAGCCACATAATGACGATAACTTGGAACTTCTGAAAATGCACGAATTCCGGTATGATCCCTACTGCAATGGAGGTACCCAGTCCAGACACTGTTGAAGTCAAGAATGAAAATGGAGCGGCTTGAGGTTAACGGGAAATACTCACGTCCGGACACAATGGATAGGAAAGCTATGACCAACGCCAGCGGGAGTCTTCCCGTAAGGACTCGAACCCGCCAAGCAAAGAATAATTGTACCATGGTGGATATAATTCCCTGTTATGATATCGTGGTTATTACGAGACAAGTGAACAATCAGTTGTTGTACTCCGTACAGTCATGGCGGGATCTAAGAAGGCAGGAAGAATGTGTCAATGCTTGGGTCAGGAGGCATAAGAGTAGACGTACCAGTGCCGAAAACTGTCAATATTGATCTACATGAATGCGAAGCACAACGCTCATGTCGGGAGAGTTACTCACCCCAGTTAGCTACCGACAGGAACGGAGCGTTCCCTGTAGGAGTATGATAAATCATCGACGTTATGGAAGCAGGTCAAGGCTCACCGAAGTTGAGGATAAGGGATTGGTATATCCAAGCGCAGTCAAAGACGGAGTTCAAGGTGTCCGCAATGAAAAGGACCAGAACCTGAACGATACCTCGTTAGAAGACGTCTAGGATTCAACTGAACAGATCTGACGAAGATTTTCATCCACAGCCTATCCCTGTGGCGGCGAGAAGGTTAAACGCTGGAGGGTGCTTATCATAGATGATAACTTACTTCTTGAATGTGTTGTAGTATAAAAACGTCTGAGTGATCATGATTCCATACAGTAATATGTTGAAGAACAGCCCTATCAAAGCAGGGCCATGTCTAGGGTCATTGTTCAGTGTGCCTGTACCGTGAAGATGACAAGGGAAAGCCTAACGCGACTTCAGCAGGATTCAACATGTCGTTATATGACTGAGATCCTTGGAGCTAAATATTGAGTGACAAAATCGCGTCGACGTAGAGGAGGGAGTTCGCAGAGATGGTGGAGGCGGGTGGGGAGTCGCGCTGTTCATGATTTGGGCAACGACGGCCATATATATACTGTGAAAAGGAGGACGCTGTGATTGAGAAGGGTTCGATGGGTGGATCGCGCGCATACATTTGTCGGGTGGCGCACAGTGACTACGACAGGGTAGTAGGCGCGTTCGAAGCGGCTAATATAGCCCAAACGGGAAGGAGTACTTCCGCTTCAGCTCGGAATACGGCGAGGCGACCCGGCTCTCCCAAGTCAGGCCGAGCTCCCGAGTCTCTTGCGGGTGTCTCCTTCATAAATTGTAGCGGGTGCCAGAAAATACAAGTCAAAAAATCTGACATGTATCAAAGAGAGAGGGCGTTTACCGGCAACGTCGGATTTTGGCATCTATTCTGGGCAAGCTGAAGGGCGACCATACTTTCCTCACTGCGGAGCCGTGGTGCACCGAGCCGATTGTTGTCGTTCTTAGTTTAGTCGCCGCGCATCGGTGGCAAAAGCGTGCCGATTCACCAGTGTTGGACACAGACTACCAGTTCTTCGAGATCCACGCCTGTGGGAGGACTACTAGTTCTACCTTCCTTAATCATACTCGGATCTGAGCGGCACTTACCGTATATTATTTTTTGTGTAACCGCCGGGCATACCCTTGACATGATACCTCTGGCGACCCGCAGGCCTGAACCCCGGGTAGACTGCACGACGCAGTACAATCATTTCGAACAGTGTGAGCGACGCACCGTAGATACAATTAGAAAAGCCTCTCGAGGCCAGTCGAACGCGGAATCAGGAGCGGCGCGCTCGGGCCCGACGCTGGAATCCAGGAACAGACCGAAACGGCAACTGGCTCGTGAGATTTACCTAGGGTCGAAATGTACCGCAGTCCAGACAGTTTAGCGTTCCAGAAACAATGCTTGAGCTGCCCTGAATGATCTGCGAACCACGAATGGCTTCGGAGTGAACAGTGGTGGAGATAGTGCAGACTCGCCAATCCTGGACAAATGCTCCTGGACTTGGACAACAGAAGCCAAGGACAGTCGTCGAAGTGCTGCTCGCGTACAGTCCGCAGCTGCGCTTCGATGCAGCTGCTGATGAAAACAGGGTATTCAAATCCGCTACCTGTCGAAACATTCCTAGTCTTGCTGCAGAGAGGAGGCGCACCTGTTAAGGACGAGGGGTAAAGGCGAGATGCCACCGACTTCCTGGCGGTAATCTTCGTCCATATCGCCGCTTGGAGTCCTGTAGCCTGAGCCGTGAAAAGGCCATATGGCTCGCAGGACATGATCACGTCTGCGATCCGGTCCCTTGGGCCACGGAACATACTTACCAGTCCTATGAACAAATATGCAGGAAGCCGAAGAAGGAAGCAACCCATGTCCTGTACAGTTAACTCGAGGAGACACAACCCGTCCCTACGAATAGCGAAGTCCGAGTGCATTCCCGCATGGCAATGCCGTATGAGAATCCACACAGAATCCGTACTCCAACGAGCCAGGTTAACCAAGTTCGTGCAACGTGCATCGGATGGTGCAGAGGTCAGGAGGACCTCATGCTGATCAGCCGTCGCCTGGAGTGGACGAGTATTCCGGTCTCCTATGGCATCGCATTTTCTAACTGAGTGTCCACGGTGCCGGTTCGACCCCAGCATGACGGGTGAAGGCCGTGCGCGGCACGGATCGCGCTCAGGCTGCGGGTACGCCCAGATGGGATGAACAGGATGTGTGTCCGAAGGAGTAGTCGGCTTGAAGGTTAAAGGAAAAGTTTACTCATCGGTCCGGAAAAAAGGTGATGAGATGGCTAATTGGAGGCTGAACAAACGTCAATAATCACCTGGCTGCCACGCCCAGCCAGACCAGCACCAACTGCGTTGACGCCCAACGGGAGAGGATGTATCGTGCATCGCGGGTCACACCCAGCCACCATGCCCGTCAAATGGACCGACAAGTGCCGTCAGATTTATCTGCTTCTCTGTACTTCTGGAACCTGGCATTTGCTAAGGATGGTGCCAATCACGAATGAGTTGTAGAGTCGTCAGAGGTCACCGAAGATTCACCCGTAAAGGATAAGAAGTGTCAAGCGCTATTGTTAGCCCAACAATAGCCCTAGACAGCGAAGTCGGCGTACCCGCTCACAGTACTTCTCTCACCAAATTCTGAGAGTCCCTGGAAGGGCTCATCTGGACTCTTTACATAGCTTATACGGCAGCTCCTTGTATATAAGGCAGATAATCAGAATGCATAATCTGGTGCATATACAGCCATGCCTGAAAGCACATACGATATCATCATTGCTGGAGGTACGTCTGATCTTCCCGCCTTTCGACAAGGGAAGGCTAGCCAGACAGATCTTGTGGTCGCGGTAGCCTGCACATCGACGAGATCTGACACTCTTCATTACAGGTGGAACGGCAGGCTGCGTGCTTGCCTCCCGACTCTCCACTGCCGAGCCGTCCCTCAAGATCCTTGTCCTTGAAGCAGGCCCCCATACTCGCAATGACCTCTTCCACGTGCAACCCGCACGTTACCTACACCATCTGCGCCCTGACAGCACGACAATCAAGTTCTATACCGCAAAGCACAGTGAAGAATTGCTTGGCAGGCAGCTAGTAGTCCCCTGCGGGCAATGCCTAGGTGGAGGAAGCAGCGTCAACTGTAAGCTTCACCGCATTCCACGGAATGCACACCGCACTGACATCAAAACGTAGTCACCATGTACACCCGAGCTTCGGCGTCCGACTATGACGATTGGGAAACAAAGTACGGGAATGCAGGATGGGGGTCAAACGACCTGATTCCTCTTCTGAAGAAGGTATATCTGGTTAGGAATCCGCAATCCTGATCTGACTATGCCGTTAGAGCGAGACCTACCAAATTGCGAAGGATCAAGAGACTCACGGATATTCGGGCCCTCTGGGCGTCTCTTACGGCGGTCACTTCACCAATGTCGGCCAGCAATTCTTGGAAGTCGCTAAGGAGTATGATAAATCGCGAGGCAAGACCAATGACCTCAACGACCTGAGCGAGAAGAGTCTCGCCTATGGTCGGTGGCAAAAGTAGGGCTTCATCCCTGCGTCCGCGCAATGATGTCCTGAACAGATGAATTCTTGCCTAGATGGATCGATGCTACGAATGGGACACGCTCGGATGTTCCCCACCACTTTATTTACGGCAAAGAAAATGACCATCCTAATCTTGAGATCCAAACGGGATGCCTCGTGAAGAGAGTCATCTTCGAGTACGCAATGGCTCCATTTCCAAAATTCCCTTAGCTGAGGTTATCCAACAGAGATAAACGTGCAACCGGTGTCGAGTACGTGCTCAATCCACGCTTTCACGAAAGCCCCTCCGGCCCGGAAGCATATACTGCGAAGGCATCGAAGCTTGTGGTCCTCAGTGCAGGGACTTTCGGGTCTCCACAAATCCTGGAAAGGAGCGGCATCGGACGCCGGGATGTATTGGAGCAGGTAGGCGTCGAACCGCTCGTGCAGCTAGATGAGGTGGGAGAGAACTACCAAGGTATGTCCAGATGAATTTGTTCGGCCCAGTCATCGAGATGACGTATGACTCGACAGACCATAATGTGATGTTCGTGCCATACTTAGCGTCGGACGAGGCAGAGACACTGGATGGAATTGTAAGGAATGATGCCGATGAAGTGAAAAGTACGTGTCCGTGCATCTTTCTCGATGGCTTGTATTCAGAAGCTATTTGCAAGAATGGGACAGTATATGGCGTGCCAAAGGATCCGGATTGATGTCCAATAAGTAAGGCTCATATACGCCTCAGGTTCTCTCCCGTGTTGACTGTACTTGCAGCGCCCTGGACGCAGGCATCAAACTTCGTCCCACACCAGAAGAACTGAAGGACATCGGGCCAGAATTCGAAGAGACGTGGAAGGAGTACTTCGAAAAAGCCCCAGATAAGCCAGTGCTCTGGATTGGAGCAGTCTCGATGTCGGATGTTGTTCTTGTACATAAAGAGCTCCACTGAATCCTGATCCAATAGGTTCGTCGGGGAGCCCTCCTCAGTACCGCCAAGGAAGTACTTCAGTATGGGTTATTTCACGGTGAGCTCTCTCAGCTCAAAGGGTGATCTGGGCTGATGTAGGCACTAGACATATCCAGTAGCGCGTGGATACCTGCACATAACCGACAGAGAAGATATCAACGCACCTCCGTCATTTGATCCAAGGTATCTGACCGAGTGAGTTCTGGCCTACAGACTACCCGCCGGCACGAAGGTCACGTCTTGATAGTAAAGCGGATCTTGCTCTCTTAAATTGGGCATACAAGCGGTCAAGAGAGTTTGCTAGGAGGTTAGGGGTCTACCAAGGAGAGTACACGCAGGCCCATCCCAAGTTCGACGAGCAAAGCCCCGCGTTTTGCAGGGACAGCGGCACTCCAGCTGCAGTTCATGCAGAGGATATACAATACAGTGGTGTAGACGAGGAAGCCGTCGAGCAATATACGAGAGAATTTGGTGAGTAAATACGCCGCACTAATTGCAAGAGTGCGCGCATGACATAGTGACGACACCTTTACAGTGGCTACTGCGTGGCATTCCGTACGTCGCTTTGTCCTTATGTTGCGAAAATAGCCTCTGAAGCTACTTCGCTCAGATTGGAACATGCGCAATGAAGCCTCATGAACAAGGGGGTGTCGTCGACTCCAAGTTGAATGTCTACGGGACTCGGGGACTAAAGATTGCTGGTATGTAAACTCCCTTGCGAGGATATAACACATACGAGGGTACTCAACTGTTGGGGTAGACTTATCCATATGCCCTAGTAACGTCGGCTCGGTCAGTCATTCTGTGATTTCCTTTCTCCGATGGGCTGATACTCAGCCGATCGCCACAGAATACGTACTCGACCGCAGTCACAGTAGGAGAGAAGGCGGCGGTCATCATTGCCCAGGAATTGGGGATCGCAGGCCTATAGATGCACAACTGAAGGTGTTCCCGAAGAATTGTGACAAAGCCCATCTCTTCACTCTTCTTTCCGTCGTTACGTGCACTTTGCTGTTCATCCGTATCCCCAAGCTCCAAGCATCCGTCTATAGTAGTCGGCAACTGATAAAGCAGACTACACGGTGACAATACGGCGAGGTGTGATTCATCACTTGTCCAAGCAACACCGAGTGCATATGTATTCCAGAGAGACCACTCCAAGACGGCTGAATGGGACGCGAAGAGGAAGCACTAGTCTAACATGACATGGCCTTGACAAGGCAAGTTGAGAGAGATTGGAACGCGAAGTGCGGCCAACGATCCAAGACAACTGCTATTTATAGAACGAGCGGCGCCACAGTCCGACTGAGGATGGCCACTGAGTATATATCTGCCGCACTTAAGCTTGTATGCATTTGAATTTTCACTTACTTTTTTTGACTCCGTCCCACACGACTTTAGTGGCAGACCCGCTCACGGTGCGAAATGTATCACATACTGCCGAAAACTCGGAATTTCCATGTACTTTAGTCGCCCGCGAACACGCAGATTTGATACCTTGTTTCCTGCTTCATGGACACTGCCCGTTAAATATTGCTCCAGTGTTCTATCACAAGTTGCAATCGCTGCATGATGAACACGCGTCTATATACACATCGCGCTCGTATGGCCCCAATTATGGATTAATCGCCTTATCCACAATACCTCACACGTTCAGCTGGCCCCTTGCAGCATCGTAGCATGCCTTAGCCCTGACTTCAAATGCCTTCTTCGCCCCTTCCTCGTCACCCTTAACCCACTTCTTCATCGCGTCCCCTTGTAGGCCCCTGCCGAACGAGAAGCTTAGCGGCGGTAGCCTCGAGAAAGGCGACGGCGCCGTGGAGGCGTTGACGAGTACATTGAGTTTGTTGAGGTAAAGGATCGATTCCGAGTCGGATAGACCACCTGAAGATTAGGCATCAAAGTCAGTTTGAAGAGGTGAGCGAAGGAAATTGAGACGAACCTGAAAGGAAGACGACACCAGCGACTGCTATCGGCACGGACCGGGCAAGGACTGTGGCAGTGGCAAGAGCAATGTCCTCGGAGGTAGTAGTAGCCCGCGAAGGATGCTTCAAGCCTGGCTGAGGGAAGGACGGCTTGATCAACGAACCTATATCCTCCCTTTAGCACGCCTACCAAACGAGTTCATTATCTAACGCAGCTCACCCTCTAGGAGCACCCCATACTGGGCGCACCGTGCAAATATCATACTAATAATCTTCACGTGCACCTCTACGCTCCTCTTCAGATCCGCATCCTCCGCGAAGTCGACGTCGGGCTCCACAATGGGCACCAAACCCGCCTGCTGGCTGATCGCCGCAAATCGCGCGAGGCTCTCCGCCTGCGCCTCCAGCGCGGCATGTGTGGGCAGACCGCCCGCGGCCGATGTGCAGAGGATCGGGGCCCGCCATTTCGTGAAGCGTGCACCGGCGAGACGCGCTGACGTCAGGCGCGGGAGCAGATCGTCGAGACCCTGCGTCGCGGGCTCGAGCGGGGAGATGGGGAGCGGGTGCGAGTCGGTGTCGGCGCGGATGCCGGGGATGATGCCCCTGCTGGCGAGGACGGGCCCGAGCTGGAAGTCAAGGAGGGTCTCCGCATACAAGATCACTCCGGAGATGTACTCTGAAGTGCGAGGTGTAGACGTTAGTAAGGGCACATCACATGACGGACGTCCGAACTTACGCGTAGGGAGAGATTCGTAGAGACATTCGCGGAACCGCCGTCTCTTCTCTCTCTTCTCCGCGTCTGTCCATTTGGTATCTTCACCGAGGGCGGCGATCAAGCGAGCTTCGATGCCCTCTGGAGTCTCGTCCGTGGCATATATGCCCTTTCCACGAGGGTTCACGAGGGTCTGAGCGGTAGATATCAACTGATCCGCTATCGCTGTCGAGTGATACGGATACAGATAAGCGTTGGCATCCGAGGGGTTAGAGGAGAAGGAAGCCGTATTTGCGGGGCTGAAGCCGTAGCCGGGCGTGCTTGTCGCGTTCAGGTTAGACATGTTCCTCGCAGACAGATATCAATATGATAGCCCCGAGTATCAAGCAGCAGCGTCGGCGAGCATTGGCCCTGTATTTATGCCCATGGGTGAGGTCTATCCGTCAGATGACACCGCGCGAAGAGTATTTTGGTTCCACGAGAAGCCACGGCACGGGAGACCGCACCGACAATGCAAGGCCCGACGGAAAGCTTGCTCTCATAGCAAAGTAAGCAGATCGACGGCATTGTGCTGAAAGAAAAGCATTCTTGGTCGTGCTGAGACACGTTCGTGATCCCGTTGGAAGCTGCAGGCAAGTGGTTGTACCATAGCCTGAGATGGAGATTAAGGATGAGCGCCTATAAAGAAGCTGTGAAAAGCGTAGGTGAATTCTTCCTTTCATCTTGAGATATGGTTACTTACTGAGTCTGCGTTTCTCTATACCATCGGGATCCCGTTATAGGGCATGAAGCTTGCAGGGTGATCTGATCGTAAGGTCGTCGGACAGTTTGAGGAAGGACTTCGAATTCAGGGAGCCTCGGGGACGAAGCCGAGCTCGCTACCGGCTATGCAGCGACTTCGCGTAGCAGCGTCGGGAATTCGAGATTATTGGAGAGTGTTGGAGCTCCATCGCGTCGTCGGCTTCGACGTTGGTCAACAGCGCTCCCTCGACCTCCCCAGTGCTTGACATCAGCATGACGTACCTTCCCCTCCGATCCTCTTTATATTTGCTGCCCTCACTGCCATGTCTAGCACAGACATTTGTTACGACACAACCTGCATCTGAAACCACTCTCAGTCTCATAGCTTAAATCACCATGTCGCGCATCGAGGCACACAACGACGAGTCCAAGACCTTCAAGAAGGCGTTCCAGGAGGTCGGACGCCCCGCGACCACAGACCACAACATTAACGACGAGTATATGCGCGATCCTCCAAACGTGAGTTATAGTGACTCGATGCACACTTGACTGGAGTCTGACACGGCTTCTGTAGAATCTCCAGAACACCGGTGATGCACCAACAACAGACCGCAAGACGCGGGGTGCAAAGGAGGGCGCCTATGGTATCGAGCCCACGCAAGAAGGCGTCCTTGGGGATCCAGGCAAGGGCAGGCCAAAGAAGGACGAGCTCATGAGGGAGGCAATCCAGGGAGCTGGGGACGAAAATGAGCTGTTGACGAGTTCATAATCAATTAACTTGCCGGACTATTGCATGGAGGTGTATGATAGAGAAGCACTGTAATCAACATTCGTAATGAAGGATAAGCATGGAATCAACGTCCAGACGACGAGTGCAACGCAGCCGCGCTCCATTCTCAGAGGTGCGATCATAGTGAGATGCTGACCTGCTCGCAACAGTTGTCGACCAAGCGTTGTGAACCTGTCCGTAATCAAGCAAATATTTGGACGGAGCAAGACCGACAGCGATATCCCACACCTAGTACACACACTTTGTAGCAGCAAGATTCCGAAGTTTTACATGAGCTTCCCATGTCCGTACACCCCATTCCCGTTCACGCTCGGCGAGCTCCCAGCTCCCGACTTCTTCAACCGTCGACTCGCCGTGAACAGCATACTGTCCACTATAGACGCGACGGTGAGAACACCTCCCACGATGGCGCACGACCTACAGCAGAGCGAAGAAGACGTTAGAGGCAATTCAGGCGTAGCAACGTGGGGTGCGACGGGACGGGTATGAAATGAATACATACGATGTGAGGAAATGCGCGAATGACTGCCGCGTCTCAGTATGCACCACTAGAATTGGCGAGATTTCGAAGTTGAAGAACGCGCCTGTGCGTCGCAACAAGCGTGTCAGATACCTCTTTCTATAGATGATACGCGGGTAGGAAGACAACCTACCCGGTAACCCGGTGGTTCCATGCTGTATGTGCAAGCCCTCTCCGGTGCTCCCTCGCTGACCTTGTGATAGATCACGTTCAAAGTGCGTCGCGCTGTATTGGTGGGTGTTGACCTAAGTCCGAGTCGCCGAAATGAACGACGTGAGTACCAGCCAGTCCCAATACGGTGGCGGCACGTACAGTCCTGCCTTGCAGGTCCACAAACCGTGTCTTCACGATTTTCAGGAAGTATTGAAACATGAATTGGTGCTTATTCGTCTGTTTCGTATGGATGTCAGTCATTGGCCCGCTCTCTGCCGCAAGGTGGTGACACGTCAATATAACAACCAAGCTACTCACGTTCGCAGTCCTCCCATTCAGTGGCTGGTCCAGCATCCCCATCTTCGCACGCATCTCCTGCGATATCCTGGCTTTGTTCATGTCATACTCGTCGTCTCCAGAGAACCTGAACTCGTGTATGTAATGACTGAAATCGTGCTGGTTCCCGTCGTTTCGCAGGTACGGCACGAAGTCATAGATGTTGTTGCCACCCAGGCTTCCGAATGAGCGGCCCGGTGACATATGAATGTTCCCCACAACCTTGTTGACGCGCAGACGTCCGGCGACGTTGCAGCCTTCTGATGCTTGGTCTTTCAGTTTCTCCGTCCAGCGCTCAGAGACGCACTACCGTGCCAGCGGGTTGATCAGCAGCTTATTCAGATTCACTACACAGATTACTCCGCACCTGTTCTATCGCGTCCGGATTACTGAAGCTCCATCCCCGCTGCACGTATGCCTGCCGTACGCTTTCACACGTATTACAGCACTCCATGCCCTCTGGCGGGTCCGCGCCGTAGCAGCTACCGCAGTATCCGTCGGTCCGCTGCTCCTGCATCTTCTCCACCTCATTTCGCAGGTCGGACGAATGGATCCCGGTGACACGCTGGCCCGTCTGGTCGAGACGGGTTTTGACGACCGCATGGGAAATGTCGCGTTGCTGCTCCCCGGAGATGTCCATCACGTCTATGCTGAGTACTGGACGAGGGAGATTTCGAGCATTTTAAGTCGCAGCAGGTTGGGGGAGAGACATGGGCACTCACGGTAGCATGGCACCCTTGGGAACGTTATATTCAGATTCACCGTAAGCTTCTCACCCCGACTTCGATCCACCACAATGGAGGTGTCAACGTATACACGTCGGTAATCAATGAACTCCATCATGCAGAAAGCCAGTATAATAGCAGCCGAAAGAAGAGTTACTACATTCCGGTAACGGCCACGCTCAGCTCAATACAGCAGACATCCGCAAGCATGACCCAAGGCACTCACAGAAAGCACCAGTGCGCGTCTTGACCTTTACATCTTCCGTAGTCTACCCCGCATCCATACCACGTCGTCACTTGATCCAAACAGCGCATCAGACGAGACGCTCTCACCTTCCCAAAGGCATCAATGCCCTTGAGCCCGCCGAAAAGCCCCTTGGCTGGCATCGTCGCTGCGGTGCCAGGAGCACGAATGGAAACCAGACAATAATAAGTAAGAGGAAGGAAAGAGAGACGAGCAGTCCGCAGGGACACGAGAACTGAAATAGCAGTGTGGGTTACGGAGACCGAGGCACTCGGTGCGGGCCATGATGGCCACGCGATCGGCGTCGACGTGTCTCCATCACGCGTCCCTGTGCTAATTGACGCCGAGCTTTGTCCCCGGACAATGTCCCGTGCTTGTCAACGACGCATGGCCGTCCGACGAACTCTCCAGATTGCAATGCGGACGCAAACTCTCGACGATGATGCATTAGACCAGCTGTAGCACCATGAATTATCTGTATTATCATAAATACCGATTAAAAAATATAATTAAGGCAACCCTATGCGGTCGACACCTTGCTTCACCTTCCCAAATAAATTCTTTACGCCGTCTCGGATCCCGTCTGCCTGGACACCAACGTTCTCGCCGCTGGTCCTGAAGACACCAGGTGTAGTTCCGCCAAGGCTGACATTCACGCTCCCTAGACTGATGTTCAGTGCAGGCATATTCGACCCAGACTCTGGCGGCGGCTCGTAGACCGAGGAAGGGAAGGAGTTAGCAGCAGCCCTAATCATTTCGATGTAGCTGGTGTAGTTGAACAGTCAGACTCCAACGAAGATACACAGGCGTAGCATCCCACCTCGAGGAATTGTGTACGCATGTCCCTCCTAAGAGAAGTCTAGTCCCAGCAGCGGACGTGAGTCCTGTCTGACCCCCGCCAGCAGCCAGCTCCTGGTTCAGGAGAGCAACCGTTCTCGCCTCTTCATAAGTTGTGCCTCCGATCATGAACACGATGACATCCTGTGGTCTGCACGGAGTGCATTAGTACTGTCACCGAATGACATTATTCAGTTTTCCGGTTGTTCACCTTTGCAAGCCTGCATTAGGGCCTGCACCTTCGATGAACGGATAGCTCGTCTCCTTCAACCGGCCCTTGAAGAGATTCTCCAACGTTTGTGACATCCGCGGCGTGTGCTGCATGTAGACGTTTTCGATGCCCTAAGAATTGGTGAGACCCAGTGAGAAACTGTGAAACCCCGAAAATCAGAGCGCCTCAGGCCGACCTTGAGTCCTTTCAAAGCCGAACGACCTTTGGCAAGGAGTGACTCCATGGAGAATAGCTCATCTTGTCTTTGATCCGAGCCGGCAATATTCAAGAAAACATACACAAGCTATGGGCCTAGTTAAAGTGATGACTTCTAGGTCTAGGGATGACTCAGACTTACTCTTGCGTCTTCCCGGCTTACTCCATTTTCAAGCATAAGGTTGATTAGGGAAGCGATGTTGTTGGCTTGACTCTTCTGGTATCGCAAGGCGTACAAGATAACAAGGCGCAGTTTATTCCACGGCGTCACAGCAGGGTTGGTAAGGAGAGCTTGTACACTCTAGCATTCGCATTCGATGTAAAGATTAGGGGATATGATGGAGTCGGATATGATTAATCACTTACTCGTAAGTCGGCTCCAGAACCAGTGGCGAGGCCCTGTTCGACCTCCCCTACGTCCAATAGCTTGTCCCTCTCCACGAGCCGACTGAGCTCACCGACGAGGGCGACATGTTTACTGACGTTACCACCAAGCTTCTTGAACTCAGGATATTCCTCCACAAAGCGTTTCATGTCGGCTATGGAATTGATAGAAGATGGTGCATGCGCCAGTGACTTGCTCTGGTACGACTGCACATAATTCTTGAGATGTTCACCGAGGTCTCCAAACGTGGCGAGGTGGTGCTCTTGGAAGAACGGGTCGGTCGACGTGGTCAAAGTGACTTCCTGCGAAAGTTCAGTTATGGGCTCTGGGTGACGGCCCTCGGAGAAGTACATACACTGAGTTCCGGTGCTATACCGGGCACCATGCGCAGATCAACACGGCCATTCTGAATCCCGAGCAATTCGTGCACCATTGCCTGGTATGTCCATTGACATAGCAGCGGAGTGACAGGATCGTTTCTTCGGTCAAGTATCAGTAACAGCGGCGGGACTTGTGTCAATCTGAAGTCAAACAAGGACGACTCCGATTGGATACGATGCTACAATTCCAGCGTCAGAACTGTCTTCATCACTAGCCGTGATTTGAATTCACCTGTATCTCGATACCTAACTTACGAGCCATCCCGCTCATCTTCTCGTACCGTATAACGGGTTTCTTTTTGAGACTGAGCAATACAGCAGTGATACCATCGACCGCGCGATCCAATGCCTTCGAGTCCCACAAATTCGGTGTCGACCCGTACAGTGGTCTCTGGACGGTCGGGACGTGGTTCAAGGAGAATAGCGACGGAAGTAGCGGTGCATAATCTGCAAAATATTCCTTGCTCATGAATCAGGGCCTTACGATCGGATTTGCATTGCCATCCACGTACTTGGACTTCTCTCACCACTTCATATTCGTCGACCTCCGCTAGCCGTTCGATAGCTGTCTTGCTCAAAACGTTGCTGAAGTCTGGTCAGAACGCGCCTGGTGAGTCAAGGTACGTCGACGCGCCGATATGAGGCCAGAGATTCACCAACTGACACAGGTAGTACTCTCCGTACTTCGGCTCCCTTAGTTCGCTCTCAAGAGCCTCGAGGCTCTCTTCGCTATTGCGCAGGAAACACACACATTTCATGTGCGGCAGCCGGTCCCGCTTCCGGTTATCTATCCTGTCCGTCAGATAGACTTGATGCGATAGAAGACTTGACTGTGTTGAGGCCAAGGACACGATGGGTGTCTTCGGCGAGCGCTATGGGTGAGCATCTCCATTGACGCGACAGTTATTCACACAACTAACAGTATGAGAGTCCAAGAGTAGAACCTTCATAGCCGAAGGCACTGAGACCATCTTTGTGACATAAGTTTCCACTGCTTTGACTACATCCATCTTGAAGTCGGTGGGACTCAGCCACCGGAGTGAATGGTGCGTTGAATGACACGGCTACCAGACGAGATCCCAGCGCGGCCCAAGTCACCGGAATGTTTATCAGATATCGGAAGGAAGCACACAATCCGACCAGAATGCGAGAAGATATGTGAGTAAGGCCTGTACGTCGAATGAATATGTCGAAGTCGAGCTGGCGAGAAACTTCCGAAATTGGAGTCTAATAAGCGCAGCTGCACTTCATATCGACGGCTGTGCGCGGCCCGCTGTGGCGTACCACCTTGCCCTCCCATACCGCCGGCTGGATTGTGAGATAGCAGAAGAAAACTCGAGCATAATCAACAGGGTATCTAGGATAACATGAGGGGGATGTACGATAAACGAAATAATGCCCTTTGGACAGGTCATTGCTGGTACACGCCCAAATCGCGTAGTATAGACAGTGTAGTCGAGTAAAGCTCCTCCTGCAATTCCAGGTCACGGGCAGGTCTGTTAGCCGCGTTCACTTCACCAACCGGATGTAAGTACGCTCCCTTGAATTTCTCCGCATTGGCGCGAACAGCGGGTGATGTCGCCGCGAACACGGAATTCAATGCACCGACTGGAGGGGTGACAAAGATGTACCTGAATAGCCATGCCAGATGATACTGCGATAAGTATTCTATGCCGTATTCTGCCAGACAGTCAGCAGGGTCAGACACCTCATGTGAAGAGGAAGCTTACCGGTGTTCACACCACCTGGATGGACTGCCATGGCTATGATGGATGAACTATCGGCATCTAGACGCTTTTGCAAATGCTTCATCCATATGCAGTTGGCGAATTTTGCTAGACCTGCCAAGAAGTGGAAGTCAGTTCGAAAAGCGCACAATCGCCGCTAACAAGCGGATACTTCACCGTAACGATTCATGGAAGGGTACCATGCCTCCTTGAAATCTCGATTGAAGTCGTTAATATCTCGGAAATGTATGTCATTGGGCATCAAAAGGAGGGCGTCAGAAGACAGCTTTAGAAAGTCGAAGCAAAATCGAGATCAGCAAAGTCAGCATCCACGTGTGAGCGGCGAAAACTCACAGTCACAATGCGCACATCAGCGTCTGGCAACTGCGATGTCTTCTTGAGAAGCGGAAGCAGCGCTTCAGTGAATACAAACGGGCTAAGATAGCTACAGAGAACTGGTGTCAAGACAGCCCCACCACTTTGGAGCATGCCAGGGGACGTACTCGACCATCATAACTTGTTGGATCCCTGGATTTCGAGAAGGTCACAAACGCGTTTTATGTTAGTCTTTCATTTTCTCACCATCTCTTGTCTTCTCATAAGGAACCATCAGCCTGATGAAGGCAAAATAAGCTTAGATTCACGACTGATGACGATTAGTGTGGTGCTCACAAAGCAGCGTTGTTCACTATGGACATGCGACGAGACATTAAGCCGTAGGACACCTAGAACCGACGAAACGTATTCCACGATGACATACCAAGCACGTCAAGTCGCGACTCTCTTCCTGCGAACTCCTCTGCGACCTTCTTCGCATTGCGAGGATCGGTTAAGTCAAGGTTCAGCCAGTGAACTTCTCCAAAACCGGGACCCATTCCCTCAGCCTTGAGGCGTGCGATAGCGCCAGTGGCTTTAGATTCATTTCTAGCTCCCATGTAAACCTTCGCACCGCGCCGCACGAGATGCTGGATGGTCGCGAAGCCAATGCCAGTGCTGGAATATGTTACGGACACGTAATGTTCATCAGGTTTCGTGTACCGGGCGCGACCACATGAACGACTAGCGAACTCACTTTCCACCTGTCACGATAATGACTTTGCCCTTGAGATCAGGTACATCCCGAATGGGGTCGAACTTGGTGCTCGAGAAGAGGCCGCCCATGACGAATCAAGTTAGCAACTTTTGAGGCTTGAGAGGGCTGAAAGTCGCGTCCGACGCGGTCGCTGGGAGTTGAGGAGTTATGAAGGCTGGAATTTGGCAGCGTTTCTATATTTACGTCAAGCCTAGCAAGCACCCACGACAGTACTTCGGCCATGGTTCCATGCCTGAGTGCCAAGTGCGATTCAGACGTGCAATGTGTAGCGCGTGTACGATGACCTGGCTGCCGAGTAGGACCTTCGAGAAGTTATGCAAAGTGTTGGTAACGGCAAGAGGAGCAACCCTAGAGTCTGTACATGTAAGATGTTTATCTCGGTACCACGGAGTCGACACGCTCATACGCGAGTTGGACGCTTGCGAGCTCGCGACCAAGCCCAATAGTGCGGCAACCAATGAAACAGACGCCATCCTTCCAGGATTTTCCCTGGGTTACACATTTCGCCCTCCAGCCATGACCTCTCTTCACAGACAATGAAGCTTTCCGCAGACGTTTAAAATCCAGGATGTTTCGCCAGGGGATGTCGTATTTGTTTTCCGGTTTCCGCTGGAGAAACGAAGAAAACACCGATCCTGCCACCTTAATGTCCCAGCCCGCCTCCTTTTATCGAGACGAACTCCGGAGAATACTCAATGAACAGTTCTTTGGCGTATCTTCATTCATCATAACCGGCGCTAGTGCGGAAGACGCTACAGCATCCGTTAAGCTTTTAGAGGGCAGGGATGTCACGATCATTCTAACAGCTAGAGGTTACCAGGTGAGGCCATATTGCACGTCGGGTGCTTTGGTCGTAAGTAATACTAATGTCGTTTCATTGCAGGACTCTTCTACAGGCTCCATGTACGAGACGATAGAAAGCCTTCTACGATCTATCAGCCCAATGTATGCAAGCAAGTATCAAGAGGTCCTCCTCTCCAAGCTCGGACAGTTATCCCAGCATTAGTGTATAGGTAAGTAGGCAGGTTGAGACAGCCGGACGAGCTCTCGGTGCTAATTTGGTCTCAGTTCACTACAGCTACCGAGCCGGAGACGACGGTCGGCGTATTTACTGGTGATCGACCACGTCTAAAGGAGCAGTGTACCATTTGTAGACAAGCCCCGACGCAGCCTGTCGTGCGTCTATCACCGACAATATTCCCCACTTTAGAGATTCAAGCATATACAATGTACATGTACTACTTATGGTTGGTGATACGCTCGTAACCCCCATGCAAGTCGGCACCGTCTTATGACGTCGGGCTTGATTGCCTTCTCTAAGTCAAAGCTAAAAAGCCAAAAACTACGCGAGCTCCTTACGGGCCTAGGCGGCCCGCCGACCTTCGCCTCTCTAGAGCTTCTTCGTACATACCTCTTGAAAATACGAAGTCTGGGTCTCCCCTCGCCTTTTGGATTAGACTTGCGATGTATAGTCTTTCCTCTTCATTCCTCAGGCAGTTGGTCCACCACCTGTCCATGCTGCTGAGGAGCATGGGAGAGTTGAGATGACCGTGTTCACTCTGTTCATTCAGAACGTGCAGGAGAAAACCAGCGTTCAACCGCTCCAAGCCAAATTCGGATAGACATTTCAAGATGCGAGATATCCGCAAGTTGTTGTGGCTGGAACCTAAGCAAGACGGGGTTTAGCTGGTGAATACGTGATATATAGAGGATACTTACGAACAAGGTTTTGATAGCGAGCGCCGAAATGTGACGAGGGAGATCTGTTCAACAAGCCGGTCTCCTGTGATTCGAGCCGCATCCCGTAGAAGTCCAGCATGAGCCGATACGACAGCAGCAGCCTACCCATGATCTGTTCGTCGTTCCTCATGAATTCTATTTCATGTGTCTGTAAAGGCTGTGACTCATAGTTCATGCCGTGCTCTCGGATAGGAAATCTGGCGAGTCGGCGGATGTTAAGCACAACACATACGGACAGAGTAAAACGAGACTCACAGCCACTGTATGTAACCATGCTTGTACTCTAGCTTTTGGTAGTCTCCAAGCCACCTATGCAAGCGACGATATTCAATTACGACCCTTACAACAATCCATCGAAGCCACACACCGCTCATGCAGCTCATCGATGAGCAGATTATCCGGACGACAACGGAGTCTGTTTGAATAGAATTCTAGGTTGGCATTGAGGGATATGTCATCTTCTTCACCAGGATAGCTGTCGAGGAATTCGACGATGTCTCTGGGTAATGCAACTCTGCGCGTCGACATAGCGGCCGAAGCTTTGAACGATTGCCGCCACACCTGGGATGATAATCGGCTGCCAAGACGCATGCGGGGAAGTTGCCGGCGGTAGTTGCAGCAAAGCAGTACATCCACGTGCAAGCCACATGCATACGCGCTCCTTTGAATGAGCTTAGCTTAAGTTCAAACAAGCACATCGAGCAGGCGTGGCGGCTTGTTTGCAAGAACTGCCCTTCCTTGTGCTATCAGGTACTTAGACTGAACTAATATCACGGCCAGGAATTTCACAGTGCCGTTACTGGCATGCACATGGCGGCCGCGGATGTCCTCAAGGCAGTCCACTCGTTTACTCTGTCAGGATTTGTCTTCCTAGGGCTTTCCCGTGTACTTGTACAAGGCAGCTTTTAACTCGTCTCCCACCCGCGTTTGCATGCTTGCCGTGATACTTATCAACCTGCCATTATCTACCAATTTCTCTGCCACAGGCATACTACTACGATGATTAATGAGCCTCACCTACTTAAGGTTGAAGTTCGTGCCACGACTGGTTCCGCCCGCTGTGAATTAGATGCCTAAATTCTGACTACAAAAAGGACTGGAGCAAAGTGCCGGCATACCGCTGAGGACCAAACTGAGACATATCTCCAGGCGACTTTCAATATCAGCGATGTTCCGGTCTAACTGTGTTATCGGGTCTCTCGGGCTGTAGGATTAAATACCTCAGTATTGCGCATGTGTACGTTATCCCTCGCCTTCGCGGAATATACGGAGGGTCCGCGCATATTCCACAAGGTACTCGGTTGATAAGGTCCTTAGCTCTATGTATTAAGGTTGATTTATACTTTCTCGACGCGCTTCGATTTCGGATCTTCGGGCTAGTGGTAATACCTGGTATCGTCGTGACAACCTTCAGCAGTCAGGTTATTGGCTCGGAACATGGAACATTATCGAGCTCGTACTTACGCAGGGGATCTTCACTAGATGTTCCTACTCTAGGCCGTCTCTTGCCATTGATTTTCTATCAATGACACCGTAACCCTGCCACAACCGGGAGAACATGCTGAACGTTCAAAGCGAACCCGGTGGGTCCATGAATAACGCGCATCCAAATACTAAGATGAAACTACTTTGCAGTAACACGTAGTTAGTGGAATTACGGCCAAAGCCAACATGCATGTTCTTACTAGATCAAGGTGCGACTCCATAGTGTCTACATCGACTTTGGCTCGGATCAGCTCAATTCAGGTTATCGGCAAGCGTGCTATCCGAGTGGTGGCACCAGCCGACGGCGAAGGGTGGCTATCCTCTCAACCAGCAAGCTGCAGGGAAACCGCGTAGAGACATGCAGAAAGAGGGACTAAATGCAATCCTCCCAACAAAGTTGAGGACGCGGGGCCCGTAAAAGGAAGGTCGAGGCCATCGTGAAGTGACTGCACAGACGGCTGTGCGGCAAGTCTGCGCAGTGCCTATGTTGCGTTCCCACGGTCTCTGGCCATTTGAATCCGAGTCTCGACACCAGAACGATGCATATACATATGTAGAGTACGTAGGGAGGTATACGAAGTATTTTATGTGATATGTACTGAGAATTACAATCTCGTTGCGATAAAAAAGGGGTGCGCAGCAGGCGGCAGCTGTGACTCTTGACACACTGATATCAAAGTTTTTCTCCTGCCCTAACTACAGGCTTGTCAGCATAATATCAGGATGGTGTGGAGTGTATTGTAAGTTCTGATGAAATACATTGAAGCCCCAAGAGTAAGGAGTTTAATTTACAGGTGATGCATACATGTTGACAATCTCTCGGAAAAAAATGGTGCGTAAAACACACGGCTAGGGAATCGAACCTGCGGGCTCGAGCATCAGCCGATCCGATCCCTACAAGACACTTACCATATACACTACAAGAACATATCATATAGAGATGTCGAATTTTATATATCGCACACAGCGTCTACTGTTATCTATATACGGCCAGGCATAGGCTAACCCCCGCGCTGCCCTGCGGAGTGACGCTTCGCGTTGCGCGGGGCCCCGTTACGTAATGCGCGTCCTCAGGTTTGTTGGGAGGATTGCATTTCGTGAAAGAGGGACAAAGCACCGAGGGCATTCTGGACATTAGCTGAGCAACGACAAGTGACTTATGGATTTCGTGCCATACTTAGGTGGCCCCGAAAGAATCGAGGACAACAAAGCGTGCCAAAATTTCTGTTCTTCCTGATCTTTCCCAAAGACTCGTTTCTCGAGGTCACCTCACTTGCTGGTTAAAATGATGATTTACCAGCCGATCTGACGCATGTCCTTCAAGCCAATGGTTGCATCCGCAATTCCTAGATGACCAAGTGAATTTGTATAGCAAAGGCACAAGCATGGTTGTAGATATAACGAAGAGGTGAAAAGCGCAACTCACGAGGGAATTGAATGACATTCAATCAAATTGACTGGTACTTGCTGAACGATGCTAGCCTGTATGCTCCTGCTAACCAATGACCATGGATCAAAATCGTAAGACAAAAGAAGATCACAGGAGGAAAGATCGACGCAAGGGAGTCGAGGCATTGATGCAACATAAATTAGAGGCAGCTCGTGTGAGAACAAGAAGCAGGGCCGGGAAACGCGAGCCTATTGAAGCATCTACGCTTCGCATCGAATGGAAACATTCAGCATAGATGGATGCGATTTGCCACGGCTGACGCATGTCATTCGAGTCGAGCGACACAAATCGTCGGGCGTACTTCGGCAGGATCACCGGTACGAGCAGGCATGACTCCTTATGTACCGGAATAAGCGGTAGGTCTCAGGTGGGGCCCCATAGGGTGAATGTCGGGACCGTCGTTGCACCACAAACCAGACAGATCTCTTGATATTGCAACATCTGCCGAGAATATCCGAGCAGCCTTCCATGGTTGGTAATGCGGAAGATACAGTGAAGCCAAATGAGCGCATGGTCCTCATCTTGATTGGCTGCCGAGGCAGAAGCTGGAGGGTAAATCACCCGCGTATGGAAAACAGTGCCAGTCATGGACGATGTCACGTCCAAGTCCGAATGCAACCTTGAGACGTATTCAGCCAGATCGCAAGGAAAGCTAATCACGCGTAACTTGCTTCGGACCGTGGCTGATCGTCTCGAAAGCGAGCAGGCCTTGAGTTGGTTTGCAAACCGTGACACGAATCCCAAGGCACAATGAGAATGGCCCACGAGAGCTGGGGAACTTGCCTGGGCTACCAAGCACGGGATCTCCGGAAGTCAGAGGGCGCGGATATCAGATTATTATCGAGGGAGCATGCAGCACCCTTGAAATGAAATATCCGCAGCGACCGTCCTAAACCATATGCAGCGGTAGTAAGACATCCCGCAATGCCTTGGTCCCGGTCGAGGAGATGGAAGAGTCCGAAGAGATGGAGAAATCGGGAAGGCGTGCCCAAGATGGCAAGTACACAATTGTCGATGTGGCGTCGATCCTGGTGGGCATGGTCATCCTTACACTGCCATGATCCTTTTTGCCCTCGGCATCGTATCTGAGCGCGCTGCTCTAGGCCATGGCCTGATATCTGTTGATGGCAAGATAGACTGGTCAAGTCAGAGCAGGCCAAAGCATGGAGAAACAAGGGTATCGCGTTTGTTCGCCATCGTAGGGCAGAGACGAGTATTTGCGCGGAATCTCGATGTTGGTTCTTGATCCTGTCAAATTTCGCTGAAGGTCGGGTCAGGGAACAAGTGCAAGGTGAAGTCTAGGCCGAGAGGCGAAAGGAAGACAATACACAGGAACAGGAGCGAATAAGGGACCGCGTCTCATACAAAGAAGTCGGCGAGCATGGAGCAAGAACCCGGTCAGCTGAGGCCAAAGCTGAATTATTGCACTGTTACTCGCTCTTGTCCTTTGCTACTGTGATGTCTCGCGCACTACGATTGTATTGGGTCAACATATCTTTGATCAACCTAGCCGGCGGTCTGGTACTTGCGATTAGATTCGGGCTGCACTCCCTGGTTATCTCCCACCAGGCCCTAATTTCATCTGGCACTCAATGCCATAAGAAGCTGGCCCCAGCACTCAGAGAAAAGCTTCACCGGTACAATGCTTTACTGGCTGGCAGGGGTGGTAGTGGAAGTTTGCCGGTTACTTGACTCTCGGGGATCTGTCCTTTTCGTTCTCACTAGTGCTGATCTTGGGCCTTCAACTCAATTACCAAGTGTTCCGAGATCCAGGGCAACGGACTTAACGTGCGGTTCAGGACCGGTATCGCGAACTCGTGCGTGAATTTTATTGGCCAGATCGACGCGGGCGCGCCTGGGGACTGGTACGTGCAGGCGCGAACTCTGAGTAGGACGCCCAAGAAGTCTACTGATGAACATACTCCTCTCATGTCGGGAATATGTCGAGCAACGAGGACGGCAGGCTTGAGAATGTCGAAGGCGACGCGTACGTCCCGACTACCCGTGCCACCCGGTCCAGAGTAAACCTGCCACCACCTCGAGTCAAAGCTAATATACGAACACCGTCGCACGGGGCCTAATCACGGAATGGCCTGGTCCTGTAGCATGGACAGTGCTTCTCGGTCTCAGCAAGGTTTTAAGCAAACACGGTGTACAGCATTGGAGGAGGTGCAGGCTTCTCGCGTCCAGGTAACCTAGGCCTACAGGGAAAGCCACACAGTCGGAGCACGAGACGCGCGTCGCGACTCTGGGGAGAACGGTGCCGTGGTTATTCGGGTCAGCTGAATGTATGTGCGATATCTGAGTGGGTATCGCGGGGTGAGTGGTTCGTACTCGTCGCGGCCATCTTCGGGCCAAGATTTGCTCGGACGCAAATAGTATAGTATGTTCATATACACTGAATGAAAGCTCTCCGTCTCCATAACGTTAGTCGGAAGCGTGCCTCGTACTCGTCTCGAACGTTGTCTGCGCACGTTCTGCAGTGGCATTTGCACGGCTCTACAATAGTGCAGAACATCTGTGTACGAGCGCCGAAGATAATCAAACCTGCGAGTGCGGAGCTTGGCCATCAAAGAGAAGCGTGTACAGCGGTACCGTGCAAATCACAGACGCTTGACACGGAAGCATATCTCGATACTGGAAACTGACAGGGAAGCTGTATCGACATCGACCAATGCTCTGATTCAAGCCACAAGCAGCATATGCATGTGCATGTTCCGTGCATTCCTGTGTATGAATGTGATAGCTTCAGAGCAACTCGGTGATCTGAGACTCGATCTAGGCTTGGTGCCCGGAAAGAAGCGCGCTGCTCGGGACGCCAGCAGCATAGGATGGGTCAGCTGGACGCTGTGGAAGCCCGCAATGGCCTTGTACAACGGGAAGTGAAACGAGGCTCGGACCGCTTGACATGGCTTCCGAAGGTCTTGTAGATTGAAAGCCAGATGAGACCGGGTGATTTCGAGGGTACGGCGGCTTCCCAAATATTATCGAGATCATGGCCCTTGTTCGGCCGACATTTGCCTGCGCTCGTGAAAGGAAGGTGCGCCGGAGCGAGAGATGCGCGTCAGCTGCTCGTCCAGCAGTGGGTATGTGGCACAACCGCTGCCAGTGGCTTCGGATTCTCTTTGATGCGCGCCGGATGGATCAGGCGCGCTCGACAAACGTTCGAGTCTGCGCAGGTGAACAGCGAACGCGTTCTTTCATCCAGCAATGCGCCGCTCTTGTGATCAGACCGACTGGCACGGAAGCAAATCACATCGGCGAGGCACAAGAACCATGGCGGATTAGATTAGATTAGATACATGTCGAAGTGATTAATGTGGATGGACCTACAACGGCCCAAGATGACTCGAGCGGGCGATGATCCTAATCGGCAGACAACGATGAGCCGACGCGACCGTCGTTGCGACCAGTATGGTGTTCCGTCGGAATACCTGTGCGCCGCGTGGTGCTGATGAAATATGCATACTGGTCTACGTTCATGCATTTGGTCACAACACGACGATCTATGCAAGGAAATCAAGTGCTTTGCAAGTAACAGACGCAACGGATACATCTCAGACTAGGACAACAGGGAGAGGATGCATAGTGCCCATGCAGACCGGAATCAACTCTAATCTTGATGAACGGAGACGGAACGATGGGGTTGAAACAAACGTCCGTTTATAACAGCAATAACGTCGATTTGGGCTAGCGCGGGCTTAGACTGCGTTGGGCGGGAGCACCCGAAAGTTCATCCAGATGCTATGTCGACAATCAACAGGCCGGGCTCACCTCGGGGGGACAAAGTTTGGACTGCGCGAGCTCCGGGTATCAGATCAGCGCAGTTCCGTAACCGCGCGCACGCTCGGTGGCGATAACATTTATTCAGTATGAACTCGAAGGCGTACACAGATGCTAGGAGAACTGGACAGGTACACGAGAGAAATGGGCGAGAGGAGATTTGAGAGAGATAGCGGGCGGGAGATGGGCGCCCACGAGGATCTAGGATCAAAGGGAAGGAGCAACAAACAATGCACAAGATACCTTGACAGATCCATCCGGGACGACAGACCAGCCGGGTATTCGGTGGTTTTGCGAGCAAGAACGACAGGTGCTGGATCAGGCATCACATCAGCCGGGAACAGCCAGCAGCGCTGCGAGTCGGAGACCAGAGAGATGAAGGTTCGGGAAAATGCGAGAGGTGGGTGCGCGCGCAGATGACAGGGCAGATGGACCGGACGGATCTTTGTGCTGTGTTGGACATGATGATTGGACTCTTCCGCGCGCGACGGATGGGACTGGGTCTGGACGGTGGATACGAGTCATGTTATTGCCACGAGCAGGGCGTGTGGCGATTAGATGCTGATACAGAGTTTAATGGTGTTTTTATTTAATGTGCGTGGTAGGACAGCGACGGTAGGATATGATTGGCTGATGGAGGCAGGGCCGTTGCACCGAAGACAAGTGAGAATAAAATACGGGAGCATGAGGGACGCGCCAGGCAGCGGGAGAGGGATTGCTATAGAGGAGGAGCTGCGACGGTGACGAGTGATGGAGGGAATAACGGGACAACGTGGTTGTGTGGACGAGTTGGCTAAGCAACAAGCGAAAGGAGTAACCTGGGAACGCGGAGGGAGGGGTTACGTTTTCGGGAAGGGAAGGAGCGCGGATTGCTGAGAGCGGAAGGCGAAGAGTGCAGGGCCATTTCGGCAGGCGATAAGGATTTAGCTTAGTGCGGTGGGCGTGAGGACGGCGTCTGTGGCTGGCGCGGGGACAGCCGAGCGCGTGCGGCGGGGTGGGTATTGCCGAGGCAAGTCCGATGCGGGGATAGACACAACCTGGCATTGCGAGCAGGGCTTGAATGTTGTGAGAGGGGTTGCATGTTATGAGATACAAGAGCTCTGTCTCGTGTGGAATAAAAAACATATATGCGGCCCAGACCAGCTGGAGCCAATGGAAGCGAGGAGCGAATAGGCGAGCAGGGCCTGGACGCGGGCGGGGATTGGTCTGTGGGGGAAGCGAGCCAATGGGAGCGCGGGCCCGAACGGACGGCGTCGGCCCAGTTACGGCAGTGCCCAAAGAGGCGATGACGTTTCGATGGTGTAAAACGGTCGGAGGGACCGGCGCGGCACTGCGAGCAAACCGCCTGTCCCTGTCACGCCCCTGTGACACGCCCGCGACTCGCCTGCTGTTGATTAACCTAAATAAAACCCCGGCCGTCTCTCAACCGCTTCCCTTTGTCCCGTCCCCTCAGTCCTCCGCCGTCCGCACCACAGACGCCACTCTTATAATGGACGCCTTCCTCGACACCTCCTGGTGTCCCGTCTGCGACCGCCAGATCGTCCCCAAACGCTACCTCGTCCCTCTCCCGCCCCCGCCCCCTCCCGACGCCCCCGCCTCCCCCGCGCCCCCGCCCAGTTCCCCCTCTTCGTCTCGTGAGTAGCCCGCTGCCATGTGCTGGGATACGCGCTCATAATATCCACAGCAAAAAACACCTCGTCCGACGCAACCATGCGCCAGCAACAGCGCAAACCAGCCGCCACGCGCACCCGCAACGCCGGCGGCCTCGCCCACGGCACCGGACGCATAAAGCCCAACGGCACAGTCAAGCGCAGCGACAACGCGGCCAAGAAACCCTCGCCCGCCGCGTCGACGACCTCCGAGTCCAACTCGAAGCCAGCCGCCGCGGTCAAGCACCGCACCGTCATCGACCAGTCGCCCTTGCCCCTCTATTGCTCCGACGAGTGCAGGATGAAGGACATTAACAACCTCTCAGGTGCGCTTGCCTACAACTACAACCCCGACCGCTATTCCCCGCCGGTCCCCCCTGTCCCCCACAACTCCTTGACGGGCCTGAACGAGGAGAGCGACTCGAGCGATAGCACGACGTCTTCCTCTGTCCTCTCCCGCTCTCCGCCTTCCTCCGACTCGGACGTCTCCCCAGCATCCACACGCCCCAAATCACAACACACCGAGTCGTCTTGTCTCCCGAAACACCTCGCGACCCTCGCGAGGATCTACGACTTTCCCCCTATTCCGCCCGCTCCTCCCCTTCTGACACCTGCCTCTCCCACGTCGACGCTCTCTTCCTCCCCTTCCAGCCACGACTCGTACCAATCTGGCATCATGATGGCCGCTCGCCGAATTTCGGAGACTCTGCGCCCCGCTAAGCGCTCCGACAAGGATTCGAGAGCAGACGTTATGCAACGCGAGCGGGAGAGGAAGCCGATCCCTGGCTGGACAGATGGCAGCGACGCGTGGCGCGCTGACGTCTATTCCTTTGCAAAGCCCATGGACCCGTCTACGGTTGGCAAGCGCGCCGAGGAGGGCATTGAGCGTGCTTACGGTGGCTTCGCTGCCAGCCCACATCGCAGCCGCGGCGTCTGCTCTACCCTGAGCGACGCGGGCGTGCCTGATCTCCGGGCATCGACTCAGAGTCTCGATGGCGGCGCTCGCAAGGCGGTCGACGAGCTCTACGAGAAATACCCGCTCAGTCACTCGAAGAGGAGCGAGAGTCGCGTTTCTCTCCAGTACAACCCGTCGTTCACGAGTCTCTGCTCGACGTCGCCGAGTGCCGTTGAGGACTCGCTCCTCGGTAGCCGGAGCTTGCCCTCGGCGGGTGTGCGGAGGAGGGAAGTCAAGTTGGTGAAGCCGGGCGCGGAGGGGAAACTCCTCGTGCCCGACGTAAAGATGGTCTCGCGGTCACCGCCTTCATCTTACGCGTCGTCGGCCACGACCGCGTCCTGGTATCCTTCGAGCTCGAGGAGGAGCTTCGGCTCAATTCCGAGCATCCGCAGTCCTCTAAGCAGGGTTGGCAGCGAGCTGATGATGGGTGAGGTGCAGGAGGAATGCGAGTCGCTGGAGGACAGCGCTAGCGAGTACGGCTGGAGAAGTGAGAGCAGCCGATGTAAAGGCAAGGAAGAGCGCGAGCGTGAACGCAAGGAGAAGCTTCTCGTTGGTGGTAGTTCAGAAACAACCCCGACCTTCTCCTGCGGCAGCGAGAGCGGTAGCTTGCCCGCACCGAAGCGGCCGACTGTCGAGAGTGAGTCACCCTGTTGTCTGCTGCAGCGAGAGGCGGTAGCTGACTATATGCGGTCGCACAGCCCGGACGTGGTCATACGACAATCTGCTGACTTACCCTGCCATGCCTCTTCCCGTCAAGAAGGTGAAGAGGAAGGAGAGGAAGATCGTCGATGGGGAGGAGAAGGAGGTCGAAGTCGAGGTCGACGTCTGCGAGCCCAAGCGTCTCTTCTTGTTCCCGGGCAAGGAGGTCTTCCGTGGTTAGGTTCTCTCGCGTTCTCCCTCGTCGTCCTCGGGTTCGGCTTTCTGGTCTTGGCTCAGCATTGGCTTCATCCGGCATCTCCTCATCGCGATACCATCATTCATGATACCCTCTCCTGGTTTTCAAGCTCGTCCGCCCTCATCCATCCATCGCCTATCTATCATCACGATTTGACGCATACACCTCATCCACTCACGCATCATCATCGCCATCCATACCTCACGCGCATCGATACCTTACTTATTGTCCCTGTCACGAACGCATGGCCTCTTACGCGAACTCACGTTTAATGGATGATGGATGGTCGGGCGGCGGCTCTCGCTAGGACCGGTCTTTCTATGTCTCCCTCCCTCTGTCGTCGGACCCGTCGGCAACGACCCTCAAAATGTTTATAATCTATTTCTCCTCAGGCTCATCATCTCGGTCGCAAAGCAAGCATGTATAATTTGTACTTTTATCGGTCAACACTGTACTACTACGTCAACATCTTTTCGATTCCTGGGGGGCTCTACGATACGGACCTGTTTATTAGTTGGATTTCTCTGTTGTTTGGCGTTGCCGTCTTTTTGGAGCGCATCATCTCAAGGACTTGGTTTTTGGTGGTCTTGGACTTGGAATTTACCCCTGTACGTGCATGGGTCCATACCATTGATATCCAACCGCGTCCTCTTTTTTACTTTGTCGTCGTTGTAAGCTTTCGCTGTCTGTACGTTTTGCACATCCAATCCTAGTCGTTGTCGTTCCTGCCGCATATCACACACATCACATCCTAGCGTACATATGGTTATCGATAGGGACGAGGTTAATCGCATTGTTTTGTCCGTCTGCATACATCTGTGACTAGTGAAACTACATATGATACATCATGGCGACGCGAATGTGCATGCGTGATACGTCAAGTGGGTGGGAGCGAGTCCAGACCGGGGAGAGGTGATCACGCTGGGTGGTTGAAACAAGGAGACGACGTGAGCTAATTATATAATTGGGCAGGCGGGTGCGGGAAGGGACGACGCTGGATCCGGATCCGCACTCGCTCGTGGATATTTGAATGGGAGAAGTTTCTGAGGGTAATTGGCGTCGAGGCGTGCGCGCGGCCGACGATCCTGTCGCTACCGCGCGTGAACCGTTCAAGGCAGCTCGGAAACCAGTCGGGGTATCATCGACATCATGCATGCCGCGCGATAGGCTGACCGAGCACACCATCTGGAAAATGCAGGGTTATATCAGTTGATAATTGGCGTGGTGCGGGCGTGCAGTTGAAATCGTCGGCTACGAGGAATTGCACTGATCTGAAATAATTTCTGGGGGAGGAGGGGAGGGGGGGGCGGGCCGAGTGTCTGGGCTCGGAAAAACTCCAGGAAGCACATGGGCGAGGTACGTGATTGGCCCTGCTCCTGTGCGGAGGGCCAGCGCGCGGAGGGATTGTGCCCGGGCGTGAGCCGGCGGGTGAACTTGAAGAGGCGACGTGCCGCGGTCGGCGGGGGCGGTAAGGGCTTCGACGTTGGAGATGGGGAATGCAGATAGCGAGTCTGGGCTCTGTGGAGCGGAGAGACATATCCAACAGGGGACAGCGAGGAGATGATACACACCGGTGATGGCTTGATAGGGCCCGGCCACTGACAATCAGTTGGGAGGGCAATTGCGACTCGCTATTCTTGTCAGGAGCCGCTGTCTCGCAGCAGGAGAATGGACGGGGCTGGACGCTCGCCTATGTCATGCGTGCCATGGCAGCAGTGCCCAACTTCTCGCCGAAGTCGAAGTATTTCCTCGGTAGGAATTGCCTCTGCGAAACCAATCACGACAAGTCGCCAAGCGTTGCCGAGGTGGGTCATCTGTACGAACAAGGACTTGCCTGTTTCGACCCCTGCTACGCCTTCTCAATCTGTTCCTGCCTGTCTTGCTTCCGTCTTGTATTTCGCTTGTTGTCCAATAGAGCTAGCTTCGGTCTTTGAGGCGACGAACAAGAAAGTTTCTGGTTTGCGTAAAGCCCGGCCAATGTGACCAGCGGCGTCTTTGTGGTTTGTATATTGATTTATGATTGCGTCCCATGATACTTACATCCGGATGTAAAGGTGAAGTAGCGTCGACCCAGTCCAGCCCAAATCTAAAACAACGCCGAAGCTGTCGAACGCCTCCAAGGCAGGAGAAGCCATGACGTCGCTGCCTCTGCCCCCGAGACAGAGTCTCGATCCGTGGCCTACGTCAGTGATGCTCGGGCTCCCATTGGCCTATCAGAGTATCCTGACAGCCCCCGACTCTCCCCACTCTGCGGCCACTCGCCCTCTTCCCGACAGCCACACCGCTCCTCCTCGAAATGCTACGGTGGATGTCCGCTGTAGTCTCGTGAATTGCTAAACCCACCTCGGCTCTCCGCCCGCACCTCGATAGGACACCACCGGCTTGCAGGGCTCCCCGCCCCATGCCCAACGTCCGCGGGTGACCGGTATCTCGACGGTCCGATGGGAACCGGACGCTATCAATCACGACATTGGGCGACACGACATTCCTTTCTCTGGCACTTCTCTTTCGCTTCCTCCTCCTTCCTTTTCCGTCGCCCTGCTTTGCTGTGTCGCCGCCTGTCATGTCACGCTCGATTCATTTCCAGGCTCAGCGCTCAGCTGCTGTGAATCTGTGGGGCCCCGCACGTAACAGCAGGCAATTGCACATGATCCCTGTTGTTGCGGAACGCGAGGCAGTTGGCGCCGCTGCGTGCCCTCGCCTTCATTCAATGAATAGCGAATCATGATACCGGTGAAACTCTGATTGTGCTCACGTTACAGCCATTCTCCCTACGGACAAACAACCTTACACATGCGTCTAGCCCTTGTATGTACGTGAAACGGAAGGCGTCTGCGCTTGATCCCCGCTTTCGTAGCTCTCCATGGCACAAAGGCTGTTGTAGCATAATAAACAGGTCAAATGGACCGCACGCGATCCGCGGACATGCGAGCGGCTACATATGTGCATAAGCTTTACGATTCTCAATTGGTGAACGCAAGACGTATGTGGCTGGCAGCGCTCCGCCAGTCGAACCACCGAGCGAGCCTCATTCACAGAGAAGTTTCCCCGACCGATTTGCCCCACCTCTGTCGGCAAAGGGGTGCCATCAGCGAATGCGGCACCATCACTGAAAGAAGTCTGGGGTAAATGCGGGGTAATAAGCGCTCCTGAGGCACGCGCCACTCGGTATGCCGCAACGTGAATTTCCTGGAACAACTAATCGTGCTGCGTACGAAGCCGGTTGCCCCGATATTCAGCGGGTGGTAATCCAATGCGGCGAGCGCGGGGAGTGCTCGGGAGGTAGTGCGCAGCTGGTTGGCATGGGCGTGGGTCAGCGCGTCTCGAATGACTGCCCCTGCTGGCACCCATGGGACATGCGTATGCAGTGACGAGAACAAATACGAGGATAGGGAAATCGGGTTGCTTAGCGTGCGGCGAATGCCAGACAGCTCCTGAGAAACGCGTCGTGAGTGTGTGCTCACGTCCGCGCCTCCGACGTCCTAGGCCTCGGAGGCCCTGCGATGCCCCCGACTCCGTTCCGCAACGTCCGGAGCGCCTGCCTGTACTACCCCCGCGCAGCTTGGCTCTTCTGCGTTTCATAGTGTCATCTCTCGCGCTGTCAACGCTGGAGAGTAATGGCAAAGAAGGGAAGCACCCGGGGGAAGATGTGCATGTCATTGGTGGCTGTGCAAATAGACTTGAGAACGCGGTGGTACTTAGTTATGCACGGACGGCCTCGATTGTCGACGTAGGGGGTAACAAGTGTTTTAGGCACATCAAGCAGAAGTGAAGAGAAACTGTATCTTATGGACATGGTTCCTTCACCCGCAAGAGTAGTCGTATGGCAGGTTCGGCTGCAGAATCCTGCAGATCCGGAATCTGCATTTGTGGCAGCGAGATACATGAAATCTGGGCACAAGATAGACTGCCAGAGAGCTACCCTCCTTTGTCGTGTGCACGCTTCCTACCTAACTCGCGGTGCCAGTCCGGGGAGACGTGAAGAGACCAGAACCTGAAGAATGCACCCCCGCCCAGACCGATGTTGAAAAATGGGGAGCACAGTTTGGTCTCTAGCCTCATGAGGGGATGGTGTACTGGCTTCTATCGCTCTTTGGATTCGTTCCGCTTGTCCGAAGGGCCGAAATCCCGACCAAGGGTCCCTGCATCTCGTGATATAGGACGTGCATATGCAAATGGCAGACTGTATCTAGATCATAACCAGGATTTTAGTAACAGAGTATGGTCCCAATATCTGAATCGAGTATACCTTATGTAGTACGCGCTTTGGCGAAGAGATTTTCGGTGTGTCCGCGCCGACGTGAAGAAATAGAAGCTGCCCTTCCCACTACCTTGTCAACCGGTGTCAGGAAACCGGAATGCATAGGTAGGCCCGACGTCCAAGACAGAGAACAGAAGCAGTCGGACCCACGTTACGCGGATCGTCAACCGCAAGGAGGCGGGTAGGGGAAGTTCAAAAGGGTTGTCCAAAGTTCCGAGTCACAGCAAATGGCTGTATGGATATACGCTCCTCGAAGCATAGACCAGGCAGTAGACTCATCCAAAAGTGTTTAAGGATACCGCCTCGAACTTGACGCCTTGCGGACTTGGCGGGCCATTTAATAAAAGGGACCGTTCCGACGACGAAAAATGTATATTCGTCAGGATGCCCGGGAAATTTCTCCTCGTATCATTTAGGTCAGCGGATAAGTCCGCTGCATATGGGGTAGAACAGGAGCGGTGTCTGCCAAAGGATCGAGTTCCGCACAACGCCCCGCTTAGAGCAGCTGCAGGAGCACTACTGATCCATTCCTAGCGAAAACTGCCCAGAGAAACAAAAATGGATTACATTGCAAAGGCAAGGGTGGCCAACTGTCTGACGAAGCCGCCAATGCAGAAGATGGGGTAGATTGCCGTAAGTCGGGAGTAGGAATTGAGGCACTTGTTCCAGTCTTATCATGCGTAGACAGTCGCGGTAAGGATAAATCCCGCCCAGACCCATAGGCAGCACATATGGCATAAAAGGGGTTAGCTTATGGAGGAAAGGGGTCATGCTGTCTGTCTGCGTGGTTAGACCTGCTTTCAGTCACGTTGGTTAGAAGGTGCATGACATAAAGAACACAAATGGGACCGTCTTGCAGAGCGCAGTACGAAAACAGGGGTGTCGACCTCTTTCTTGGGCAATAAGCAAAGCAAAGTCATCACTTCACCCGTGCGTACGAGCATGGGCCGGTTCGGGCCCGTATCGGAACCCGAAGGATAACTACAAATTCTCGGTATGGCAATGCAGGACAGAATGTTCGACAGGCTCACAAATTTCGATGCATGCGTTGTAGCTCCAGAATTGCCTGGGTACGGACGACCCAGGTCCAGCCGTCGGCAGGCGCCTCCAACGATGAACAGGCACAGATATACGTCCTCCCACAACGATGGTTATCTGCACGACATTCTGCTTCAGTCCGGATGTTTGACAGAATTGTCAGCAGGGAATGCATATGCCTCTACATACCGTCAGCACCAGAGTCAGGTCAGTTTCTCCAACAGCAATCCCCCGAAGAATCTCCCGAGTTGCGAACGCCACTGAGCGCTGAGAAGGTCGTAAGGAGTTAAAATTGGATGGTCCTACCACGGGGAAAGCCGACCAGTAGTAGTTATCAGATATCAGCTCCGGTCAAGTCTGGCTTCCAGTCAGCAGCGGCGAGCTCGGGTAGCATCTTTCTCCAGTGACAGTAACTTCAGAGGAACGGAAGTCTTTCAGTATGGACCGGATAAGCTATCCAGATTTCCCCGCGTTCCATTTGAGCGCTTTCAAGCATCGACATGGATAGTGTCACTGCATGCCTGAGCCGTCTGAATGTCGGATTGCCTGCCATATGGCTCGTTCTCACGCATGATACCAGGACTTCCTTTTCGCGGGGATCCTGAGACATCTGGCTCAGGCTGGCTAGCAGGTAGCACGGACAAGCCCGCAATGAATGCATGTCCGGACGCGCAGTCTCGCCGAGGTGCGAAAGCAGTCAGGGCCGTCATTCCTGCTCAAGTCGCTTTAATGAAGATATGCTCAATGGATTTGATTCAACGCACCCACCTCGCTAATCCCGAATGTCTATACCATCACGATTGCAGGAGATAGCCGGGGCAGATGGTTCCCTGCACCTCACGGACCGCGCATGGGGAGTAAGCAAGTGGCCGACCAGGCTTCCGGTAGACCTCATATATCATGCGGAGATACCGGCGCAACGTGGCAATTACGGTAGAGTATGGAAGAGGCCCAGCTATGATAGTCAGAATAAGTCGAGGTTCAGCCGCCAGTTGCTGCGTCTTTGCCGGACTAGCAGCACGCCAACGGGTTCCTGAGGATTGTGCACTTCAGGGCCCCAGGGGAGGAGATAACAGTCGTACATACCGTCACGATAATCAGGTCGTGCACCCTTTGCTGCTACCGCCTTGAAGCATCTATCTTCCTCGGGCAGCAACTTCGTCAGTTCATCACTTTATCCAGAAGGTAAGTCCTTCTGCATGCAGCTCCGAGATGATGGTGAAATAGCATTTTCGCAATGCTCCGCCCTTCGTAGATATTTATGCTACTCCAAGGGGTTGAGCCAGGGTCTTTCCGAGAGTGTCTTGAAGCAAGCCCGGTGCAACCTTCTCTCATCTTAGCGGCCTTGAGACGCAGAAGAGTTGCAGCCGGGTCGTAAGACGAAGTGCGTACAATGGTTTACATGGTGGAAACTTAGTTTCTGCATACGTGAATAAACTAGCTCCTGTGCAGTGAAGTGATTGGGGCGACCCATTAATACATTGATGCCAAATGTACGGTGAAAGCACTTAACCGAAGAGACGGGCGGTACTCCATGCAACTCGAAGATCATGTTCCTACCGACGAAGGTCTGGTTCTAACTCGACCACGCTTGCGATTCGATAAGTACGAGGAGGCACATAGGACGTGCAGAAAGCATGAACATATTCCCTATATGCGCGTCGCGACACCCGGCCTACGAAGGAGGCCCCCGGCGAATCCCAATCTGGTAACACGGTCACGTGTCAGCAGGCTTGCACGTTACGCTCATGTTTGAACTGGGAAGAGGAGGATTGCCGACAGAATGTGGACTGTCTATGGCCGCGAGCTGTCTACGTCCTTCTGAAACTGCTAGGCATGCTTTCTCTCCGTTTTGGCCACTATCAGAATGTTTTTTACTGCGGAGGAATGGCTCCTGATCGCCCGAAGAGCGGACTGGGAGGGCTGTTATTTCCGTCTATCGGAGTTCGCAAGCGCAAAAACTTTGACCTCCTCGCTCACATGGAATGCTCGAGATCCGTCCTGCCATATTCTTACTGCTTTGTCTGGTGCTGCCCCACCACGAGCTTGTCTTCATTCCACCTGGCTCACGGAGGAGTCGCGCTGTCTTTGCCTTCAATAGTCTTCTGCCTCGCACTAGTAGGGTCCAAGAAAAACCACGGCGCAATTGCCACGGTGCTGACGTTGACTCAGTCCTACTTCATCCCGTCCGGTCTCTATCGAGACTTGCTATTGCATGGGTGTCGGGCCTGACGTTACATATACATGGCTCCACTGGTTCTCTGCTAGAACTACCAAGCGGCTTCCGAAGTAGTGTTCTCGAACGGATTGGAAGCACCCGGATTCTGTCCACCGCACTATCAAACCCATCGCTTCCGCTCAATGACCAGGTTCGCACCTGGGAGATGCGCCAGATCTCTCAGATTGTCAGTTCTTCACCGCAGGACTCGAGAGAAGCCTCCGTCTGGCGTCACCCTTGCTCTCACCCCATCTTCCAAGGGCTGGTGCCAGAGAGGTCGGGACGCTGAAAACATATCTTGGTCATGCTCGCCTGGTCGTATGGCAGGTTTGGCCGACCTAGAACCGCTTTTCTCGCTATCCTTGGCATGGATTAAGGTTCCAAAGTTATCTTTCCTGTGGTATCCACTGTACTTCCCCCGGCTGTTCTTGCGTTCGGTGGTAGCGTCATCTATGGCTATCTGCGCTCTGGGGACAATCGTCTCGACGCGTGTATTCATCGATCACCGTATTTGGTAGAGCGTTTACTACATCCCGGGCAGAATTGTGGCGCGCTTTCATGTCAACATCCTAGATGGTGCTCTAACGAAGTCCTTAGATTGGGACTGTATAGAATGCGATTAGCGTTGCTTCTGACATCCTGGAGTGCTGACTAATCAGAGAGCCTATTGTCGCCTATTATGCTTAATTTCTATCCACCCGTCCGCTCCCTGTCTGTGGCCGAATAGTCGCGGGCTATGGACGCTCGATGTCGCTATCTAGGCCTTGGGATGGCAAAGAATTTTGGAGGCCGCGGGCTAAGTTATCGACGGCGAACTCTGCTGGCTATCTTGTGCTCACTCAATTACATCGATAAACAAGACAGGGCGTTGATTGCAAGCAGAAGATCAGTGGTCGGATGACGCCAGATTTTCGGATCAAGATCCGTACTCCGCGTCTCTCCGGACTATAAGGACATAGCCGCAAGCTACTGCTCTTTCCACCTTACACCTCACCTTCCTTTATCTCTACTGTACTATCAGAGTTACTGACGATATGGTGCGCTCTGCTCGTCGTGCCGTTCGCTCTCGGCAGCTGATCCGGGTCTGCTAGGGTGTAACGGTTGAATCTATCACGCCTGGTGATGGTAAACACTTCCCTCAGCGAGGCGGTGAGTAATGTTAACGCGCTAGCTACGAGTCTGCTCATCGTCCGATGTTTAGATAGGGTCAAGATTCATTATGTCGGTACCCTGCTGGACGGGAAGAAATTCGATTCAAGCCGCGACCGGTGAGTATCACCTCAGTGCCCCGTCTATGTTGGTTCATGACCAACGACTTTACAGCGGCTCACCATTCGAGACGGAGATTGGTGTAGGCAAGGTGATCAAGGGATGGGACGAAGGTGCGCCGCCATTGTCCAGCCTTCTGTCGTTATCTGCTCATCGGTCGATAATCGATGTGATCAGGCGTCCCGCAATTGTCCCTCGGGGAGAAGGCGATTCTGACCTGCACGCCTGATTTCGTACGTCTCCGTTCCTATCATGCCTGGCAGACTATTTACGACGATCGATGCGTGGCGCAGGCATATGGGGCGCGTGGATTCCCGCCCGTCATTCCGCCAAATTCGACGCTAAAGTTCGAAGTGGAACTGCTGAGCATTAACTGATTTACGCCTCACGTAATGCACGCCATCGTCGATTTTTGTAAGCTTTGAGTCGTGGACTACCCTGGGTCAGCTCTCGTGTGTTACATACTGTTCTGTATCACTGCATGTTTTATATGTTTTCCATTACATTCCCCGGTGCGATGAGATAGAGCCAATGATGCGTGCCGGATATGGTAGTCAGTTAGACTCCTTAATCGAGAAGACAATCGGTCAGGTCTGATCTAAGTTGTGCCGATCAATCTGGTCTGGACCCGCGCCCATCGCTTCCCCTCCATCGCGATAATCTTGCTCTTGTCTCCGCTAAGTCCACGATGAACTGGAATTTAATATCTGCCTCGGACGGACATATACTATTATCTCCTGCGGTTGTTTTCCTCGATGGCTGCTCGAAGTTCTTCTTGATTTCGTCTGTTGATCGCAAGAGTATCTGCCGAGGAATGTCAGCTAACCGGACATGACTGGAATGCAATGATTGACCTGCCACAAACGTCCTCAGCATCTCCATGCGCTCCTCGTGAGCGGTGTGCAGCTGCTGCGTCAAGAACTCCATTTGCGGGGATTTATCTAGCGGGGGACTTGGATCAGGTTTCGCAGAACATCTTATAATGGCAGGGCGACCTTCGCCTCTGGTTATGATGTTTCTGAGATCCTCGTCTTGGTGATCGCGCATCTGGGCAACTTTGGAACGAATGTCCCCAGAGCGACGATCTTTCTCCTCCTCCCGGGCGTTCGTAGCCTGATCGCGCTTATTCATGACATCTTTGCTGTCTTCGCAAATCTCCCTACTGTTTTGTAGTAATTGTCGTAGCACGGACAGTTGTTCGTCAACGTAATTCTGAAGCTTCTCAGGGTCAGAATGCTGAGTTTCGCTCATAGAGGAACGTCCCGCGTCGGACATCGAGTGTGTGGAGCTTGGACCAGGAAAGAGTTCGATAACAGATAGGAAGAAGGAAGGCGCGACTTTCCATAAAGTCCAAGAAATGTGGTATAGTACAGTGCTATAAATACACCATTGTCCGGGCAAGCAGTCATGGTATAGCTTGCAGTTCTAGTCGTTCAATCGCGTCGCGTACGAGCGAAGAATGCTGTTTTAACACTTCCGTATCTGTAGGAAGGACCGTGCGACGGAGCATCAGTATCCTGCGAAGAACGTAAGTGACGGGAGTGCATCCAAGGCTATGAAGGCTATACAGACAATCGGCAAGCCTGGTAGAGAATCAATTTGATCTCACAGTGAAGACCCTCATGCAAAATACTCACAATTATGTTGGGGAGTATCATAGTGTAAGGTAAGCTCATGCCATCATACTGTCGTAAGGGGCTGTTGTGTATGATAAGTGGTGACTGACATATGGATGCTACTGGCCAGACGTACGAGAAGTATAACGCAGCGGACAGCAGATTCAGCACAGACATCACGACGAATGCGCCGATCCCTGGTGAGAAGCTGCGTTAATAAGAAATGCATGAAACACGGAGCATTCACCTTGTTCAACGAAAGTGGTCGCCAGCCGGCATCGAATGCTCGGCTCAGAGAAGCAGTACTGAGAGTGGGTTTAGAAGGCAGCGGGTAAAAACGCGTATAGATCGTACCCATATGACCAGGCCAATACACAGGCAGTCGAGTCCAAATGCAGCAAGCTAGTTCGTAGTTCAGCGCTGTGGACGCCGGATGAAAGATCAAACATACAAAAAGGGACTACAAGAATCAGCTACGCGGACGTCAGGGTGTGTACAGCCGGACAACCTACCGCAGTATGGTAAGCACGTTGATAGACAAAGGCCTGCGATTGCGCAAACTTGTCGTTGCCAAAGCAAGCTGTCCTTCCGTAAAGGACGAAGAGTTCCTCGGCCACTTCGCTTCTGTTAGGTTGAAACAACCCCATCCGTCTTAGCACGCACGTGAGAAACTGGCGCCGAAAATCCACACTTCGACAGCAAACAGGACCGCAAAAGCGAGGCACAGGATACCCAGTATGACTTTTTGCCGGCCCGTGAACGCGTACGTTCGGAACAATATTACCGCTGCAAGAGCGCGCGTCAACGACCGTGGTAGGAAGCGGTGAGGGACGCATACCTTGCGCAGACATGGGCTACAGCGACCGCTTACCGCTAAGCATTATAATGGTAGGAGAAAGGAATCCGTCCGCTTACAAATGGGATAACCATGCAGTACAACAGGCGGACTATACTGTGGCACGTATGGAGACTATGGTCACCCAGCCAAGCCCACATATGCACCGGGAAGAATAGGAGCGGGTAATATCGACTGAATAAGTAGGCGACTTTTATCGCATTCCAGCGGGCCCGGTGAATCTATGGGACGCATAAATCAGTTGTTCAGTGCCGTGCGACATCGATCGACAAACCAGGGTGATTTCCTCGTCGAGGCTGTTAAAGCAGGCAACTCAGCTATGTCGCCATACTCCAAGCTTTGAGAGGCACGTACGTTAGCAACCATTCGTATAAATGGAGGGCATCTGCGTGTTCAGGTTAGGGGAGGTGGATATTCAGCTCCTATACCTAAAGAATACTAACAGACAGCTTAGAGAACGCCGAATATCAGAGTCTATATGCATCCTTATGTTCTGAGACTCACATGTGACATTGTAGCGACCTCTGTTCAAGTCAAGAGGGAAGATACGCGTTCATTCCTACTGACTGATCTTCATAGCCACGTGCTCACTCACAATGTCAGGGATCTCACTGCGATTTCTGCGATCTGCAAGACGTCTGGTACGGCGGGCATGAATTCACAACATCGGCCGGAGACGTCGAGGATAAGGACAGGTAGAGGGTTGGGTCCAACACCGAATACACTCGTTACATAACTGCTCTGCGAACGAATTAATCTGTCTGAAAGCGGGAATAGAAGATCCGCGGGGATGTTGGGCCACCTGTTTAGACAGTTGCCGACGGTTTGTTGCGATCATTCGAATTCAGCAGACTCTGAGCAGACCGCCTCCCCAACTTCGCCAGCTTTATAGTGGCCATTACTGCGAGCGCTTCAACGCTGCACGCCATCAGGACTGTCACAGTCGACTTGCAAGCTTAAGAATGGACCGCCGTCCTGCGAGTTGTGCAATGTACTACTTGCGACCGCCAAGTCAGTATCAACTCGAAAAAATTACCAGTCCAGAAGGCTGTCAAGCTTTGACAGTTCGTCGATGACTTACGCACAGTCGCATGATCAGGTCCGGGCGAAAATGTGCAATCTCTCTTCAATCCAAATTAGCCAGACTTTGGACGTTATATGTACTACGAGAGAGACGACAGCAGTGCGATACAGAGCAATTCGACAAGCAGTGACATGCAGCCAAAGACCATAAACCGTTCAATCATGTCCGTGGTGGATCGATAGGAACCGACACATCAACCATCTCCATATCCTCGTCAGAATCCTCGCTCTCAACGTCCTCATCCCGTTCTCTTGTACGTTCAGTCTGTGATTGCCTGGAAGGGCCAGATACAACCTCGGCTGGATCGTGATGTTCCGCGGTAGCCAGCATCTCCTCCTCTTCCGCAATCTCTTCGAGCTGCGCAGCCAAGAGCGCCAACTGAGCCTGCAAGGCCGCTTTCTCCTCGTCTGTCAAAGTAGGCGCCGGCCCGGATCCGTCTCCATTGATCTGGGAAGCCGTGGCCGAGGGTTCAGGAGGCTGCACATCCACACTTGTTGCGCCCAGGTTAGCTTGTTCCAGCAGAGGTCCAAAGTTGATCGCCTTGAGAATGCTCTGCGCAGCCTCCCAAGCATCGACATGCGGGGCCTCAGCGGATTGGGTATTTGCATCAGGTTTGGAAGCGTTGTTCGCAGATGCGCTGGTCGACGAGACGGTAGTCTTCTGGGCCTGAGCATGACCAGCTGGCAAGGAAGCCGGCCAACCAGAATACTGGTAACCGGGATACCCGGAGGTCTGGTAAGGGTAGGGCGTTGCACCCGCATGGAGGGGCGAATTATAGTTGGGAGGAACATTAGCCGGCGCACTGCCTGCGCGATGAGCGAGTGGGGCATTCGTAAATGGAGACTTCGATGATTGAAGGTCATGCGACAGAGCAACTTGCGTCTGCGTCTGCGGACGTCGCGTGGTGCGTTTTGACGTCTATATCCAGTACGAATTGACAATTAGGAATGTATATCACCTGAGGTAATCTCATAGAGGCAAGCTCACACTTCCACCTTCCCAAGCAGCGTTGAGACGGTACTTCCCGTCGCTACTCTTCTCCAATCGACCACGTTTGAACGCTTTCTGCAGCGCCTGGCTCGCTGATGGCCTGAAATTTGACTGTAACGGATATCGCGCCGCCATCCACAGGAACATATTCTTCGGCGCCAAACCTTCCGGATCCGCACAATCCATGAGCGCCTCCACGATCATATCTTCGTAGCTCGGTAAGTCTTCTGCCGAGCCACCAGGATGCCCACCGAGAATAGGCGGGCGCGTCGGGGGCGGCGGCTCGTGGTGGGGAACTGGTGGGGTGTGCGGAGTTGCAGGATACGCACCTGCTTGAGGATAGTGGGGATATGCGCCGGGGTATGGGGGATAATGGGGCGGGTAACCTGATGGAGGATGACCGTAGTAGGACGCATGCGGGTAGAGGTGATGGGGATGGTAGCCATAAGGGACATGGGGGTACGGCGGTTGGGTTTGAGCATAGGCGGAAGGAGGCTTGTTGGGCTGAGTGGTGGGAGCGGGCGAATTGGAATGACTAGGACCGCCGACTGGCTGCAGCTGCGGAGTCGGTTGGGTAGTTGCGGTACTGCCCAGTGATGTTGTAGACGCTGTCTGTTCAGTTTGGGCGGCAGGTGTATTGGACGATGATGCGGGGTCTTGCAGCGAATCCATAGGCGGTGGATCATTGCCATGCGCAGTGGCGGTTGGGCTATTGGTAAGGAACGGAGCAGAAGCCTTGGCTACAGGCGTATGTCCAAAGGGGGGTTCACGAGAGGGGCCAGGTAGTCTGGGCAACACCGAAGCTTCCAGCTGGAGTGCCGCAATGGCGGAGTGAAAGTCCACAGGCCATATCCTGTTCTTCACGTCCGGGGGCACATAAGGGTCAAAGCTCAGGCATATCTCGACGACCTGCACAGGTGGTAGAAGTCTCAAGTAACTTCGCTTCAGGTTGGTCTCATCGGAATGGACGAAATTTGGCCGATCATTGGCAGCTAGGATTCGGCACGGATGTCAGACATGGGACCGATAATACTGATCACGGTATTATCTATGACATACCAGACTGGGGCGGTTGCGAAGCGGCATCCTGAGGTTGTGTGGTGGGAGCGGGCGACGCTGCGTCGCCGCTGGGGGCCTCCATAAGAGCTGCACAGTTTTTCCAATCAAGGTTCGCAGCTGCAGCCACTTCTGTCTTTGCCACCGCTGAGCGCGTCGCGTCTGGCGCCTGCAGACATTCTAATTTCTTCCGCTGCAGGCTAGTATACTCGTGAAATAGAGGTGTTCTGTGTCTCGACCCCGGACGGCTACGCTATACGCCACAAATACTACATGAGATTGCACGACTCATCCTGAGCGAGTCGCAGACGTGTAGGAGATAATGAACCCGCATAACTATCTCACAATTCATGCATTCGGATTCGCGACGGGGCTTACATGCACATTCGAAATATTAGAGGACTGGAGCTATGCTATATGGTACGTGAATGGCACAGTACAGACATCCTGCCTGGCGGATACTCCTTCGTGTGCCTCGAATCCATCCATGTCTATACACAAATGTGTCCAAATCTCCCGGTAGCGCATCACCCCGCTGAAGTCCTGCGTACCTCTCCTTTGCCTCTCTTCATGCCGATTCGCATCTTGCGGCCAGAAGTCTCGCCTTTCCATGTGAGCAGCGGAGAGAGCGTGCGCGTTGAACTATACATCACACTTGGTCCGAGAGTGACAGTGTGGGTCCAACTAGTTCAACTTTTTGTGGGTGCGTCAGCTGCTGGTGCAGCAGGTGACTCTGCCATGTCCGTCTCTACAAGCTTGCGCTCCTCTGGTGAAAGGTTGAAGAACGCAGCCTTCTGCTGTTCCAGCCATTTCCGCGGCTGGTGGGAAACATAATGTCAACAAGTCCCCTTCGTAACAAGGATCTTGAACCTACGGGTCTGAACACATGGTCACCCTCGCCCCAGTCAGCGTAGAAGACAGAATAAACAAGAAACCCTAGAGTAAGAAACATCAACGCAAGCGGTAACTCACACCGGACAGGGACATACCAGGGACAAGCGTTACCCTTAGCCAAAAAGCCGCTCTATGCCACCAGGGCGCTTTCAACAGAGGTTGCGGTTCCTTCGGCACGTCACCATTATGACGAGACGCGTGCTCCTTCAACGCACTCCCGGAGGAGGCTCTCCTCGGAACCTTGAAGAACCCCTGTAGTCTTAGATTCGCGCGAGCATAGCGATGCATGTAAGCGGCGCTTCGAGCCTTCAGAGACGATACTGTAATGCACGAGGAGGCAAGCGTCGAAGATACCCATCCGAAAACATATCACCCGTTATGGAACCCTCGGGACAACCCGATTGGCTGGTATCTGGGTCTGGCGTAGTGGAACTTCCGAGCTTCGAGTGCAGTCTGCGTCAAAGCAAAGGGCTTTCCTGCATATCCGGGCGCCATCAGTCTCCTCTCATCATTCTCTCGACCGGTCGTTATGCAGTGGATCTTCGCCGCAGGACACGTTAGATTAATTCGACGACCGGTAGGGAATTTAAATTACCACACGCATTTGGACCATTTACGAAGAGCATGACACAACGACTCGGTACAGAGTACAACAGAACATATATTACCATCCTCACAGCACTCCATGATCATGTTGACAAATACACCAGTGGAATTGACTAATCGATACATATGACACGTCTAACTTTACGCCGTGAGTGAGACGGATGCAGGTGTTGAACCCAGTCCATCGGCATATTGGAACTGATCCGAGTTTTCGTACTACACGGACGACGGTCAGCTATCATGTGAACCAGCAATCCTATTGAACTATTCGTACCTCCCACATGTCAATCGCGACTTGGCAGCTCTCTCTGACGACACGAGGAGCATCTTCACGGTTCATCCATTCTTTGAGATGGGGGAGAACCTCGGGAGTAGCAATCCCACCCAACGCTTCAGCCGCCTCATGGCGAACCATATCGGACTCGTTGGTGTCCCGAAGTACCTGTAATAGAGAGGGGACGGAATGCGCCGACAGAAGTTGGCCGAAGACGAAAGCTATTTCGTGTCTGTATTGCATGTTACATCAATGAGCGACCTTCGACAGAAGGAAATTGACGTACTTGAACAAAGCGCTATCGTCTGCGAAGCCTGCAGAAAGGGCATCGACCGCAGCAGGCGTACCGATGTCCCGTAAGGCGAACATGGCCCGGTACCGCTCGAAAAGGGGCAGTTTCTTATCGAGCAAGGTAGCACGCAGCTGTGATATAGTCGTCTCGGACAAGTCTTCTGGTGCTGGTTTGCCGGATAACAGTCGGGAGCTCGGGGGAGCGGGATCAATGGACGAGTAAGACCTATCACGCGTATTACAGCTGGGAAAGGGGATCAGCCACATACTTGGCGCACCTATCCTTAGACTCCTCTACAATTTTGCTGAACTTTTGACCCTCCTCCGAATTATCCCATCGAATCTTGTCTATTGCGATCTCGCAGGTTTCGCGAACGCTTCTCTCAGGGTCAGTTGCGTATTTCTCCAGAACGGGGAGGGATGCAGTGGATGATATTGCGCCCATAGCTTCAGCTGCCTACTCCTCGAGTTCTGATGTGTCAATTTGGTGCAGGAGTACTTGCGATGTAACGTGTACCGCTCACCTCATGCCGAACCATGGGATCCTCAGACTCGTCCGACAGCACCGACTCCAATATGGGAAGCGCTTTTGTGTTCTTCATCTGGCCAAGACAATATGCGAGCTCGTGTTTAAGAAGGGCAGAATCGTCCCTGAAACCTAACATCCAACCACCCGGTCAGGAATTCACGCCTATGCTGTTCGCAACGCGAAACGTCCGACCTTTCGAGATAATCTCGACAGCATCGTCGTTTTTAAGGGACTTCAGCGTAAATAAAGCTCTGAACCGGTTGTGAAGTGGCACAGTGCCCGACGTATTGAGGAGCGTTGCCTCGAGGGCCTCGAGAGTGGACGCAGAGACTTCAGCCACCATGAGGGAAGAGATCTAAGAGATTTTTGGCGGACTTCCAAATTCGCACTTTGTACATCCCTTCAGCCCTCCACCATGCCCAAGTCAAAAAGAGCCCAAGTCGGTGAGTGTATCCGTTAACTGATGCACTTAAGTCGCAGCGCTGAACAGGTTGTGCTACAGTATCGCTCACAAAAGTCACCAAGAAGACACGAGAGCAGAAGGGCGCCCTGATCCAAGAGGTATCCTCATTCCTTGCATAACCCATCCGGTGCACTCACCCTCTCACCACTCAGATCCAACAAAATGCCGAGAAGTGGGAGTATTGTTGGCTGTTTGAGGTCGGGAATATGCGCAATGCTCACTTGAAGACGGTCCGAAAATTATGGAAAGAGTGCGTCTCGCACGTATTTCATACACCATACGATCTCTGACCTTCAGCCGTCTCCTCTTCGCAAGGTAGTTCTGCCCGAATGTTCTTTGGGAGAGGCGCGGTTATGGCTAAGGCATTGGGGACCACACCGGACGAGGAATGTCGGACAGGCGTGCATAAACTGGCCAAGGTGATTTAGACCGTCCTGCATCTCCTTCACCAATGCTTACAAATACATTCCCCTAGCAAATCAAGGGTCAGGTTGGTATATTCTTCACGAATTCTGAGCCGGAAGAAGTCACTGCGTGGTTTGACGACTTCCACCCGGATGACTTCGCGCGAGCGGGGAATCGCGCAACCCGCACCATTGTCTTACCTGAGGGCCCTGTCCTGCAGTACCATTCTGTACCGCCTGAACCCTTCCCACATAATGAGGAGCCGCAACTGCGAAAGTTGGGACTACGGACCGTGATGAAGAAAGGCGTGCCTACCTTAGAAGCACCGCATCAACTGTGTGAAGAGGGGAAGACGCTGACGCCGGAGCAGGCGCAGCTATTAAAACTCATTGGGGAGAAGATGGTGGAGTTTAGGGTCCGGCTCCGCGCACGATGGGACGCATCGAGCGGGGAGGTTGTTCAGGTTGATAGCTCGGAGATATCTCCAGATGAGCGAGCGGGAGATGTCGTGGATGAGGCGGCGGCGGATGACGCGATGTTCCTTTCTTAACTTTGCTTGTCTTGCATTCCAGCAATCATGTATATGTACCATGGTAGATGTTGGCATATATGATCTATGGGTTACAACACGGACTTGATAATACAGCAGATGAAGAAGAAAAACAAGCAAAAAGATACCATACAAATTATACAAGCGCCTCAACCTCCCATCGCTTCATGTCGGAATCGGACACGAACATGCAGTGCCGACGAGTCCTTCTAGTGCGACGGAAGTCTTGTCCACTCATAGGTCGCTCACTCTGATTAACGTCAGAGACGATATCCCGAGAGACAGAGCGTTCGCAAGGCAGTACCGGAGCGGAGTCCGCCTTTGCATGATGTTTCCGGTTAGCTTTCTTGGGCGGACAGGAACTCTGATCGGGGATTACGAAGTCATGGATGGACAGATCGTAGATATTGACGGTCGTCACTTCATGCTGCCTCGACGGTACAGGAAGTTTGCCCTGCCGAATTTGCTTGGCCGGAAGAGCTTCAAATATACTTAGGTCGTACATGGCCAATCGAGACTCATTTGGAGAGTCGATAGAAGTATTCGGGGCGAAGTAGGATTCTCCGTGCATACTGAAAGGGTCCGAATCCCAATGGCTGTTCTGTATGGAGTCCGATATGGGCAAGAAGAGCGATGACAAAGGCGTAGTAGGCAGGGGAGACGGCAGGGGCCGCAACAGGTTACCGAACTTAGCCTTCAAACTCTTAGAAGTGAGAAGCGATCCAGGTTCGGAGTAGGAATCGTTTGAAGCTGTAGATGACTTCCAGTCCTTCGGCTCGATGATGATCGGGGAACCTTTGAAACCACGGCGTTGAGCAAGGGCGCCCAACTGAGAGTAATCTAGGCCATCTTCGGCACCGCTGCGGTGTGCGGTTGAAGGAGGAGAAGAATCACGAATTGCCAGAGAGAACGGGATGGAAGGAGCAGTAGATCCATGCGAAGACACGGATAGCTCGGGCAACCATCTACTGGCACTGTCCGAGGTTGAACGCCGGGTGTCCCCGCGGCAATGACCATATGAAGGTCGACGTGCATTCCAAACACTGGATATCGTGCTCTCCTCTGCAGCATAAGAGTGGTCTGTACGGGAATTAGGCAAAATATGATAGTGAGTGTATCTTTCACCAACCTGCGGTTACTGCGGATCGCCACGGGAATGAGCCTTGAGTGACCCTCAGGTTGGTGGTGGTGTACTTGCTTGGGTTCGGCCCTGCAGAAGAGACATTGGCCAACTCAGAGGGGTGATCGTTAACCTCTTCAGCCAGCCCTAGACACGAACAGATGCAGGCCCAAAGAGACAGCCAGACTCCCAGTACAGAGCCGACTAAGGTCATCTTCACTTAGTCCTTCCACGAGTAACGTAGAGATAAGCGGCGGGAATGGGAGAATCTGTGGACCGTAATCCAGTCTTTAACATCTTGCAGATCGTCAGCCGCTTGGTGGCCGACTGGCATGGGCGACACCGTCCAGTTCGAAATCTGCTGGTATATCTGAAATGCCATGCTCGAGTCCCTGTCGAGTCCGGTTGCAATTGAATGCGATATTGGGGCGGCATTACGATTTACGAGAGTGGTAGACAGCATGAGAGGATTGAGGACCGTCCAGGTCTATGCGATCACATGTTTGGTAGTCACGGAACCCCTTATTCGAGTTATCTCCCACAGACATAAGGGGGTAGAGACACTATAGTTGGCCGTGTACACGGGCGGGCGTACCATGCGGTTCCCGCTATCTCTACTTGGGTTTGCCCAAGTCCCTCTCGAGCAACCACAGCCTGCAGGCGAGATGAGCATCGTCAGTCCGGTCCCACCTCCGGACTTCAGCTTCAAGGAAGGCGTCGATGTATTCTCGCCCAAGGATCTCGTCGAGTTAGCCAGACCGGGCACAGCAGCGGCCAACGATGCTGGCGATCTCGTCCTTGTACCTGTCAGCAAGTTCTCGCTCGAGGAGAAGAAGTGAGTGGCAATGCAGCCTCAATGCATCACTGATACTGAGGCAATTGCTATCCGGGGAAATCATCGCTTAGGAATAACAAGACCATTGTTATTGCCTCCGTGGACTCGACGGTGCAGCCTCTGGAAATACCACTGGCCAGGGGGGGTACGGCATTCTGGTTGGACTCACGTACTGTGGGCCATGTCTTTTCCCCGGAAGAAGGGAAACCTCAGGAGCTCTATGCGATCTCCGTTAAGTTCGAAGCGGAGTCTAATATTCTATCGACACCGGATCCCCCAGCACCGGTTGGGGAATTCCCGACTTCTACCTCTGCCAACTTCCAATACTCTTCTGACTCAGGCATCTTGGTCTTCTCTGACGAAGTTTATGCAGATGGGCAGCTGGAGACGGTCAAGGCACAGGATGAGGCTTGGGAGAACCGAGGCAATACGGCCTTGGTCTACGATAGCACATACGAGAGGCACTGGGACCATTGGATCGGGCCTAAGAAGTCCTCTCTATTCTCCGTTTCCTTGTATCTGGCTCCCGGAAACAAATGGATAATGGGGAGGACGTTCCTGAACATCTTGAAGGACACAGGCCATGTAAGCCCGACACCCTTATCTTTGTCAATGAACCTTAACCAGGCATCGCCTTTAGCACGTCCCTGTGGAACCGTTCGGAGGGACGGACGACTTTGACATAGGCCCTGACCGCATTATTTACACGACGAAAGCCCCGGATCTGCCGGAAGCCTGGCATACGAAACAAAACGTACGGCCTCGTCTTTCGCTTCCTGTCCCCTCCATGACGTGGATTAGGTCTATATAGTAGCCGTTTCGGGAGCAGAGAAGCCCCGGGAGTTAACCTCTGGGAAGCAAGGGGCGACGCATAGTCCCGTCTGGTCAAAGCAGGGAAACAAAGTTGCCTGGCTCGAACAAGATAAGGACGGCTACGAGTCCGACAGGTGAGTCACAACCCCTTATCACTGGGTAGCTATCGAACTGGCGTGCAGATCCAAGGTCGTCGTATATGACCTCGAGAAAGACGTGCGGTTCACTATCACACAGCACTGGGACCGGTCGCCCGACTCCATAGTTGTAAGCACATTTTTATTTCGAGAAAACTGGGTGGCTTTAATACCGTTTATTAGTTTTCGAAGTCGGGCAAGTCAATCATTGCTACCGCGGGTGACAGGGCCAAGATCAAAGTCTTCATTTTGCCTGTTCCGCCGACCCCTTCGGCATCGTCTGAACATCCTGCACTTGGCCGGCAATACACGAAAGATCCTGTGCCACTCATTGAGAGCGGAAGCTCTGGAGGGCTTCAGATCGTCGGGGAAGGGCGTGTCATCTTCACTAGGAGCTGCATGACGAGTCCCAATGATGTCTGGGTAGTCAAAAAAAATCTGGATAAACTGGAGGATATGTTGCACGAAGACGCTAACGCTACCCGCTCGGAACTGCAATCAGTTGTGCAGGCGGAACAGATCACCCGTTTCACCGGTGATGCCCTGTCAGGGAAGACCCTCCACCCTGGCTCGGAATTCTACTTCGAAGGTGCTGAAGGGAAGCAAGTGCAGGGCTGGCTCCTGACACCTCCCGGCTTTCAGAAGGGCGTTGACAACAAGAAGTGGCCAGTGGTCATGCTTATTCATGGCGGTCCACAAGGCGCTTGGGAGGACCAGTGGAGTACGAGATGGAATCCTAATGGTGCGGTTGGCTCTCTTTGATTCGGGTGTCTACAGACAAATGTGACGATGCTTCTGTAGTGTTCGCCAACCAGGGCTACGTAGTTGTCGCCATGAATCCCACAGGTTCCACCACGTTTGGCCAAGGTTAGTGTTTCTTCAACGGTACCATGGATTACTTCTGACTGTATGCATCCCTCCTGACAGAATTTACGGACGCCATAACTGAAGACTGGGGCGGCAAACCGTTCGTCGATATGCAGAAAGGGTGGAAATACGTGCTGGAACACTTCCCCGAGGTGCGTCGCATCACATCTTTACAAAATGCCGCTCCGTGACTCGCGAACCTTTCCAAGATTGACTCGAACAGGGCCGTCGCTGCAGGGGCCAGCTGGGGCGGCTATGCTATCAAGTGAGCGTTGTTCATAATCTTTTCGCAACTTACCCATACAATTTATCGACAGCTGGATACAAGGTCATCCCGAATATGGATTCGGTTTCAAGGCACTTTTCTGCCACGACGGCGTCTTCGATTCCATTTACAACGGCTACTCTACTGATGAGTTATTCTTCGTGAGCGAATTCCGCAGAGTTGTTGATCCGTCGAGTCTGATCTAATTGTTGTGGTTTTTTCCTCATTCATGACTGTCCAGTTTAATCATGACTGGGGCAGCGCTCCGTATGAATCCAAGGCAAGAGAGCTGGCTGAGAAATTCAGCCCGGTCAATTTCGTCCACAAATGGTCGACCCCCCAATTGACGGTTCACGGTAGCAAGGACTATAGATTGCCCGAGACAGACGGGATCGGTGCTTTCCATGCCCTTCAGGGGTAAGTCGTAGTTATCCTGCTCGACGTTTGAGCTGACATGCCTGGGACCTTAGGAGGGGTATACCCAGTCGGCTGGTTATTTTCCCCGATGAGAACCATTGGGTCCTCAACCACGGAAATAGGTGCGTAAACGTCCCGAGGCTACGGGGGAGTCTTTGCTCACGATAACACGTCCAGTTTGAAATGGCACTACGAAGTTTTCAGGTGGTTTGACAAGTACGTTGGAAGGAAAGATTGAGCATTACGTGGCCCTGGCTTACGTCGTGTTTGTAACTATGTATGTAATTACAATAGTATCTCTGAATCCGAGCTCAATGGCCCTATCTTCACGGACTCTGCTCTCTTTACTGCGATGTACATATGATCACGCGTATGAGTACCTTGCATTCACCGTCAGAGAAGTCCTGCCACCACGAACCATATTCGGCTATCGTGGTACCGGTTTAGGTAACGACGCGTCCAGCAAATAAATGCAAATAAACCCCGCAACGCGTCAACAGACGCGGTTACGCCCTAATTTAGGACGCGACGCGGGGTGGGCTCTTCACTGCGTCTTGACTGCCGACGCCAACATCGCCCACCACCATCAAGCAGTCTGGTCTCCATCCGCACCCGTATTCTCCATCGTTACATCCCTTGGGGCGTCATATAATCATGAGTCTCCCTACTCCGCCTGGTACATCTCATCGCGACAAGGAGAACCGGCCGCCTCAAGCTTCGTCTGGAACTCGCGTCGCGTGGTCACAACAAAACCAATATCACCTAGTTCCTTCCAGCCCCGAGCCATTATCCACCGGGACGGTCTCATCCAAGAATCTTCCTGTAAAGTCGATTCTCAAGAAGTCGTCACAGCCTATCTTCCCATTCCAAGATGAAGACGTGCGGGAGCCCACTCCAGTCCCAGAAGATCCAATGAAAGATGCTCTTTACCTCCAGTCCGCTGTCTCGAAAATTATTGCGGTGGCTTCTACAATGCGGGATATTATCCAAGGGTACTCTGTGCTTGGTGCGCGAATTCGGGAGCACGTCGACGACGACGCATTCCGAGCAAGTCAGTGCCCCTTGCTCGCACCTATTCGGGATAACCGTGATACACTAGCAAACGCTATTATTCGGGATCTCGGTAGGGCATTGATACATCCTCCCACTATGGACGTGGCAAAGGGCGAGCCAGAGATTAGACGGGCCTTCGGTTTGCCGTCGCCTAGGCAGAGTCCCAAGAAGAAGAAGAGCATGACTGAGGAGCAAGTCACCTACGCCCGAGACCTCGGCACCACGTGCCACGCAGTGATAAGGTGTCTCGCCGTCATCTGGACGAAGCCTGCCGTGCACACAATCTTCACTGGTAAGCTCTCTCGCCCCTGCGATGTCGCATACACTGAGTTTCGGGTACAGAACGCCAGCTCAACGACATGCTCACGGCACTCCTGGCCATCCCTCTGGAGTCTGAACTGCCCACCCCCAATGCACGCAAAACATGTGCGCTCTCGATTTGGTTAATTCAAGTTCAGCGATTACCTGAGGACGTCCTCTACCCTGCAAAGGACCGGATTGCGTATGCCATCCGACGAGGTATAGAAGGCGAGCTGGGGAAGGAGGGGAAGAAAGGTTCTGTGAACGATGGGTACAAGGTAAGTACTACTAGGCATGCCTCCCGGATCCTTTATCTGATCCTGCCTCCTTCACAGGCGATACATGACCTATCCATGTATCTTCCTGCGGTCTTCATCCCACCGTTCACGGATCTCCTGCCTTGCATATTCTCAGGACTTCTGGGGCCGACGGTAGTAGTGCGTGCCCAAGCTTGCAACGCCCTCGGCGGGTTTGTGCGTGGATGTGCAAGTTTGCAACGGTTACCCATTCACACACGGATAGCGACTCTCGTTGGTGACTTCTTGACAACGCCGTCGACTGCACTCCGTAAGAGTCCCTCTCCCAGCAAGCTTCCCCTCGAGTCCGCGATCGTGCGCACGCTGCGAACGACCCTGAATGCTGTTGAACCTGCACATGCAGCCCAAGGACCGGTGTGGGCCATCTCTGTGATGGCGAGCATGATTGTCCTGCTGGGGCCGACGCTAGGTACTGATCCGCAAATCTTGAGGATCATTACCGCCCTCCTGACGTTGGCGATTCGGCACAAGAAAAGCTCAATTCGTGCACTTGTCTGTGCGCTCTGGCCATCTCTTACTCATGCCTTCTTCCAACCTCCGCTGATCGTTGAACGTGACGAGGATGAAGATGGCTCCGATGGTGAGAACGACCAAGTCGTCGAGACTCGCGCCAGCGGTAACAATCGAGAGGCCTTCTGGAAAATGATCAAGAACATGGTAGACATGGGCGCAGGTGTATCAACCATTGCAGCAACACTTATCGCTGAAGAGGACGAAGAGGCGAGGTTCACACGAATTCTAACTGTCCTGAATCAGATGGTCCACAAGGGAGGCCCGCCGTCGAGCAACGCTATGGATGTGCTACAGCGTCTCGTTAATTTGGACCAGGCGTCCGACGACCACGATCCAGTCAGACTATTAGCTCCCGGCCTATTCTCTAGTCTTGGAGGTCTTCTCGCGACAGAATGGAAGTCAGTGCATAGTACAGTAAGGCCTCTGTTCGACGACCTTGCAAAGGTCGGAGCAGTACGACCGCTCAGCAAAGATGAACTGGCAGATGGACGGCTGTTCCAGGGTCTTATGGACATATGGAAGGTCGCCATGATGAAAGCCGAAATTCCAGGCGATCAGGACGGGCTGCCTGTACGTGAATTCTGCTTGCTTTGTCTGCTTTGCTTATAGAAGTGCACATAGGAGAATATTACTGCGGCCTGGGAAGGCCTGCTCAAATCCAAGATTTCTCTCATGCAGGGTGAGTGGCCACTGCTTGCGTGGATGTCCACAACTCACGGGTCGTGTCTTGCGCATTTCAGACGATGGAGACCATGACGGCCTCCTAGAATTCGCTGAGTATATAGTGCAGATCCTCGTGGACGTCTTAAAGGATGACGAGATAGACTTCACCACATGCTCGGCGACCTCGAAAAGCTCCTCGAGCTCGATCGAATTGCCGAAGGTGCTTGTGAAGTCCAATCGTTCACGACCCGCGTTGAGGCTATTGGTGGTACGAAAGTTGTGGATGGCTTTCCGACCTATGCTTCCTTCGCAGGACCTTGCGGCGGCGGCAGAGCAGCTTTTAGCGTGCCTGAGGCAGGACCGTCCTCAGATCATAGGCGATGAGAAGTCAGGAGGCATCGATGAAGACGCGTGGTCCCAATGGGCCACCTTGTGCTCCCAGACTCTGGCCATCTGCGACGTCGATGACCTTAAGACATTCTGGTCCCACGTCTCCGATGTTTCTCTGACGTCGTGGCCAGCTGGTATTCGAAGTGTTGTATGGGATCGCTTTACCAGCGAATGGTTCATTGATCCAATGGTCTCTCGCGAGACGGCCATGATTGTGCTAAATGTCCCATTTACGTGAGTCCTTGTCTCCGTTCCTGCCGAGTACCTCTGACAATTATGTTGCAGTTCTTCTGTTCCGTGGGATATGGATGAATCAGAGTTGCGTCAGTGGCACCATTGCTGCTTGTCAGGAGCGAGTGATATGGCGTACGACGCCGGTGATGACTACATCGGCGTCTTGAATGAAGTGGTCGACACTATCTCCAAAGCACACTGGCAACTGATGTCGTCCATGACGTCTCCGGCTCGTATTGCGGATATTCTGTTGCAGACTTTCGGGATCAGCGATGCTACTGAGTTACCATGCAGGCTCTTCGAGTTCGTCAACGATACATTGTTGGCATCCTACCCACCGGAGCCTCGCAACAAAGTCGTCTGTACCTGGTTAATTCGGACGTTCGTCCGATCAGTCGAAGAATGCCCGAGTGACCTCCTTATCACCATGTTGGAGTCCGTTACGGACGGCCTAGCGTTGTGGATCGCAGATGAACACGTGGTTTTTTCACAGGACGAATATGCTCTCGACGTGAGTCTTTCTTGATATGCTGACCGAGATCTCGTACTTACGCCCCTGTAAGATTCTACCCCTCTATCAAACAGTCCTTGTGACGGTCGGCGCTCTCCCCGCTTCGCTCGACATCTTGGATAAGCTGTCTCCTATAATCCATTCAGCTTTCCTGGTGAAGAACGAGAATTCATCGTCCACTGCTCAGGCTTTCATCGACTTCTGGCGGTCTGGATATGACCAGCTTCCGGTACCGGAAGACGGGTGGCCAAGCTACATTCACGATTGTCTGGTGGCATCAGGAGCGAATACCTCTGGAGACGATGGGGACAACGGGTACGAGGCAGACATGTCTCTTCTTTCGGCAGCAGAGAAGTCCTCGGTCTTCACGCTCAGGCAAGAGGAGGAAGGCGAGGAGCCGTTATCCTTCCCGGACAGCGATGAAGAAGATGTGGTGCATTTGCTTGTAACCGAGTCCAGTGCGGAGAGTCCTGAAGGGCTTCGAAATCAACCCCTGGCTGATTCAACGAGCGCGCCGATCTCATCTCCTACGACGCCCCCGACGAAGCCGTCGGCTGTGACCACCCCTTCAGCAAGCACAAAGGACAAGGACTCTGAATCTGGACCTAGCACCCCGCCGTTGGCAGTCTTCCGTTCGGTGCGGTCCACAGAAGGATCTAGACTACTTTCTGATTCACCAGGGTCCTCTATCAATACCAGAGCTGAACCTGAAACTCCGAGTCGTTGCGTTGCAGCCCAGTCTTTCTATGCCACGACTCCGTCTAGACGCAGTGCAAGGGAGAGTGCGTCTCCTATCGAAAGCGCGACTGGTTCTTCTTCAAAGACACCGGGAAAGAGACGACGATCGAGCGATGCTGTTGTACTTGGCGAGAAGCAACCCGACTCTGAATCAGCCGTAAAGTCTCGGAGGACCACGAGGGGAAGACTTTCCATCTCCCCAAGCAAATATCCCGTCTTCGCGAAAGCTCGCGAAGAAAAGCGAATGATGAGTATCGTCACTACGCCGTCGTCGAAGAAATCTGTCAGACGCAAGCCCAAAGGGAGCAGCTGTAAAGCAGCGCCGGTGACAGGCGGTGACGATGATCCATTCTCCTTCCATGGAGGCCGTGGCCTGGCATCTAGTTCGACAGATGTCTCTCCATCAGTCGTCCTAGCGACCCCCACTAGACGATCTCCACGAACAGCTAGAGTGATGATGGATTCGGTGGAGATTCCGACCTTCAGATTCGACAAGAATGAGTGGATCGATTTGAGCCCCGCATCCAGCGGTTGCAAGAGGAAGAGGACATTGTCTCGCACTGAGTCTTTGCCTCCATCGGGGCTCGATCATAACATTGGCTCAAGGGAGAGGTTGGCACAGGGCAAAAGACAGCGGTCAATAGTTGAGATCGGTAACTCATCTCCCAGAAAGACCCGCCGTTCCAATCAATCTGTCATGGTTGGTAAGTAGTCTGCTTTCATTGATTGCGCTACATCTTGTTTACTGACATTTCGATAGATGGTTTCGCCGTACCGGACTCTGATGAGATTCCTTCCTCCACCGGGCAAATTGGTCAAGTCACTCCCCACCATGTCATCTCCCCGACCCTACAAAGGAGGGGTTCTTTCGCTCTTGACGAAGACATGCCCAGCGACGGCGAGTCCGAACTGGGGAGTAGCCCGCTGAGGGCGCTCGCAGCGCGCAAGCAGGCCAGATCTGCGTTCCATGGCTCGACATTGGAAAAATTTATCAGGTCATGAAAGCTTAGCACGTACATGCAACTTACAATGCTATCGATTTCCTCTATTTTCGTTTTGTCTAGATCTAACGTTCCATCGCATTTGCATTTGCATCACTATTCTCGCATTATGATATGGAGTGTACAGTATATGACTTCGCTTTGCAAATTTATGAATGAAATACATTATACGAAACAAGCGGACGAGATGGTCTCCGAGGAGAGTCGGAAGTCCGTGAGCTCGAAGGGTAACTGTGACATCCAAGTTCTGATCTTGAGGTTGCTTCAGCCAATGGTAGCTGTTTGTTCTTAGCGCGCGATTGCCACCGATGGGCGTTCTCACGAACAGCTCTGAGCCTTTGGAGACCTCTCTTTGGCCCTGCCTCTGTATGAGTCCGTGTGCTCCTTCTGATAGCAAAGTCGCGAAGCTAACTCACTCACTGCACGTTGTCTCCTCCTGCAAGCTCCACATCACAGGATGATCCAAGTCATTGAAATCATTGAAGCCCCATATTACTCCCTCACGCTCTTGTGTCTACTCCCCTCTAACTCCGTCTCTGGTCTTGGCTTTGTTATGCTCGCTTGTGGCAATCACCGCGAGCTGTCCTATCTACTCTCTTCGGGCTATATACGATCTTTGCATGTTGTCTGCGGCCCCATGATAGGCTAGAGAAGGTGCTCCTTTACGGCATCTTGCGCCTTCTCTTTCCAGGCTGGCGTCCCTCCATCAGGATCCTCGTGAGCCTGTCGGTACGTTCACCATCCTCTTCCTTAACCCCATGCCAGCGGGTCCAACATGGCTGTATTAGCCGTACACACACTCCTTATACTATCTGTCTTTTCTACCTGCGGTCTCGTTCTCCTGTATTGTCACTACCTGTACTTGACTCTCCACTCGAGAGAATCTCAGCCCTTACTTTTGGCCGACGAAAACTTAGATGGGCAGAAGAAAACTGTGCGGATAGAGTCGTCGTCTGTGCAGGACTTCAAGAGATACCTGCTGAAGGACGTGCATCCAGAGCGTTCAACAGTGCTCTTGGCTTGCTATTGCTTCATGACTGGCATGGTGTGAGTCTCTGCCCTGCAGACCTAGTTCTGACAGTGTTGCTAATATTGCATGTGCCTATAGAGATGCTGTTGGCTTCAGAGCTATCTACATCTGGCCAGGTTTCCAGACCGGTAACGCAGTGCAGGTCAGTTCTCGTCCATTGCGAGCCCCACGTCAATCTCAAAGTGCTGTCTATTGGAATTGGTAACGTAAAGCTCGCGCTAGCTTTGGGCAGACCTTTCCTAGGCGACCATTCGTTCCACATTCCCGACCGCCAAGCGCTCACTTCCCTCCTCACCTTCATCTTTGGTGCACTTCTCGCCCGTATAGGCGACCGGGTTGGATCGAAATCCCGCGTATGGCTTTTTTCAGGCTCCCTCGTGCAAGCCCTATTTACTATGGCTGCTGCAGTCTGCATCTGGCGAAGTGGCGACGGGAGCGTGGCTTCGGACAGAGGTAGTCCTGCTTGGACGACGCCATTAACTTACGTCGCCTTGGGATTCATCAGTGCTAGCTTGGGCTTGCAGGGTGGTATGGCGAAGCGGATTAACACCCAGTTTGCCGCGACATGTAAGTTCTCGGATCCGCTTACTACGTGAACTAGACTGATATGCCTGTGTTCTGTCAGTGGTGATCACCACAATGTGGTGCGAGCTCATGGCTGACCCGAAGCTCCATCACATTCGTAAATGGGTTTCAACGCGAGATCACAAACTTGCCGTGATAGGTTCCCTACTGGTCGGTGGCTTCATGGGTGCCGTCTCGGTCGAAGCTATCGGCTCAGCTGGTACCCTGGGCCTGGCAGCGGGCCTGCGTGCCCTCATCGCCATTGGATGGGTTTTCGTTCCGGATAGAGAGAAAAAGAGGCGATTTAAGCCTGGGTTTCATAGTTTGCACCTGCATCCCGAGCAGATGGCTGCTCTTGACAAGGAAACGATATGGTCTGCCAAAATCGTCTGATGGGCGGTGGTGTCCAGGCCCGGATGGGCTGCCCTGTACTTCGGTCGATATCATTTGCTGCTTGATAGTCAATAATGTATGTGTACCTGAACCGGATACTGGTGACTGTCGACGTTGCTCAGCAGCAATATAGACAAGGTGTAATAAGACAGTTCTACCATCGGATATGGTGTAATGGCTAACATTACCGCCTCTCACGCGGTAGCTCGGGGTTCGATTCCCCGTATCCGAAAGTTTATTTTATTGGACTTGTTTACGCTCATCGTATCGGTCTCGGTACGTCGTATGTGTATTGCTGGTTATGTGCCGGATACCTTTCACTATGGTGCTAATGTGCCTTTCGAAGGCGAAGGGCCAGGCGAAGAAACGACGGAGCCTCGGAAGAGCTGATCGGGAAGGCAACGATCCATGACGATTGTTCGATCGCGACGATGGTTGGTCAATGAATCGGCAGTGATGGCTTCCGAGTCTGTCTGCTTGGTGACAGCTGGACGCCGTTACTGCTCGAGTTGACGCGCTGGCCGCAACCGTCCCTCCTCCTCGTCGCAAAGTATCTGTACATTCGCTGTAAGACATGTCCGACCAGCTCCTCGACACGCCCGCAAAGCACCCCTTCTCTCTCGCGTCGCTGGCAGACTCGGCATGGAATACGGTGCGCGAAGCTGCATTCAAGACAGGCTGGAAGCCCGTCAGTAGGCTGGCCGAAGCAGCGGTCGTCGCGTATGTTTTTTTTTCGCGTTTGCACGAAAATATCTCACATGTATCTCGTTTCCTAGCCTGATGCAGAATATCACCAAGGGCCAGCTACGCGTCTTCACCTATGATCACATATACACTTTCCCCGCTCCCGGGTCAAAAGAGGAAGCAGAGAATGAAATGCCCGAACTTAAGGCAGAATTGCGCGTCGTTAACGACGTGTTCTGGGTCAGACTGTGTACCATGAGTGACTTGGGCTTCGCGGAGGCGTACATGTATGGTGATGTTGAATGCGATGATCTGGTGTCCGTATTTATGGTGAGTCCGTGCCGCTTCCATGGCCGTCAGAGCTCTCCAGCTCCTCCATGCGTGATGTTCGCCACTATATGCGCGCCGATCTTGCCCGCTTGTCCTTCAGGCCTGGTTATTTACTGTTGCATTCGCGTCGCTCTTCAGATGTTCATCTATAACCGTGAAAATCTCGCCTCCATGACCTCTAGAGCATCGTACCTCTTCAGCATCCCACAAAAGCTGACGTCTTACCGCTTCGTCAACACCATTGGTAATTCGCGATCGAATATCTCGGCACACTATGATATCAGCAATGAGATGTTCATGGGCATGTTCTCCGTCTCTTCTACATAGGCATTCAACTAATGGTCATATGCCTATGCGCTTCCCCAGGCTTCCTCTCTGAGGATATGACATATTCATGTGCAATATTTGACGACCTCGATGGTGACCTGAAGAATGGCACGACCGTCCGCAGCGAATGGAGTGGAGGCCAGGGGCTCACTCGCTTTGACCTGGACTCAAAGAATTCGAGTGCAGACGCCTCCGAGGCTAATTCCCACTCCTCAACGCCGACTTTATCCTCATCTCCGCTGTTAAAAGCCGTCGGCGATGTTCAGCCAGACCCTCTGCACGTTGCCCAACTACGGAAACTAAATCATATTATCCGGAAAGCCCACATTCTGCCGGGCCAAAACATTCTAGAGATTGGAAGTGGTTGGGGATCCATGGCTATCCTCATCGCTCGGACCATCCCAGGGACTACTGTTCATACATTGACTCTGTCGGTGCACCAGCGTGAACTGCTGCTCACCCGGTTGAAGGAGGCTGGCGTCGAAGATGGGCGAGTGCAAGTTCATTTAATGGACTACAGGGAGGTCAAGAAACGGGCCGACTGGAGAGGCGCGTTCGATAGAGTTATAAGCATCGAAATGGTGGAAGCAGTCGGGGGAGAATATTTGGAAGACTACTGGGGTGTGATCGACTGGGCGATGAAACCGAGGACAGGCGCCGGTGTGATACAGGGGATTACATTGCCCGAGTCCAGTGCGTATTGCTGCTTCCATCCACCATTCCATAAGTCGGCCTCTCTATCCTCTTTCTTTCATCCAGGCTGACCCTAGGGTTAGGGTTTGAGAAGTATCAAGCTGAGGTGGACTTTATTCGGAAATGGGTGCGTCTCACGTCCATACACGCTTTTTGATGATGATTGACGCTCAGTATAGAGTGAGAATATAACAGCACTCTCCTCGATTTCGTCGCTGACGATGGTCCCTAGTTTTCCCGGGAGGGCTCCTGCCGACTGTCTCCCTGCTCGTCGAGTCCATGAGGAAAGGATCTAACGGCAGACTTATAGTAGATTCGGTGAGAGCTGACTTACGTTATCCATATCGAAGTATTGCTCCGCTTGAGGATCATGAGGGCATATAGACGCAGAAGCCTGCGGCTTTTATTCGCTTCCATTATCAATTACGTGGAGATTCTAATCTTGCTCTTTGCAATGCAGGTTTCAAACATCGGGCCTCATTATGCGCGCACGCTGCGCGAATGGCGGCGCCGGTTCCTTGAAAGATTCGACGATGTCATTGTGCCCGCTTTGGTGAAGGAGTACCCCGCCGTCATGGGTGGCCAGAGAGGAAGGAGCGAAATAGAAGTGTTCAAGAGGAAATGGATATGTGAGTGTGATTTCACTCCTCTGATATCATGCTTTCAGACTCATCTATGCTTTCAGACTACTAGTAAGTACTCTGTGAACAGAGGCATAACGCAATGAGCTAATGGAACGATTTCCCAGTTGCTACTGTGAGGTTGGCTTCACGACAAGGACGTTAGGAGGCGAGTGCTGAAGCAGCTTTGCATATTATCGACCTTAACAGACCCCATTTTAGACCACATCATTACCTTCACGCGCGAAGGCAACGAAGAGTATGGCTGTCAGGTCTTTGACTGAAGGCCTCACTATGAACTTCTTGTCGATGTTCTCTCGTTGGGGATTTCCCCGGTGAAATCATGCGTAAGTACCATGATGAGTCGCATACCCAACAGTGGCTATAGCTAATACTAGTTTTACCTATTGATAGTACAGAGCAAGGTAGAGAGCAAGGTCACAGCATCCGAGCAGAAGAAAATGGACATGGGAGTAATAAGTTACATTTTAGAGTTCTGGGTCGTTGGGTCCATTATATCACCGACACATACTGCATCATCCAGGGGCCCCACGAAGGCGCTTGCCTAGCTGCTCAGTGAACGTGTATCCGAGTTCGCTCACGAGTTTCTGGCCCTCCAGCAGCTGATCTAACGACAAATCCGGGGCACTGTCAGACAGAAGTGTGACTGCTTGACGGAGAGTTTCTAGATAGTCCGCAGAGGATGGGGCTGGAGCCGTTAGGGACCTTCGCAGCGTGCGTGCTTGGGCATGCGAAGAGCTCGCGTGAGAGCTGCTCGCCGGCGCTGTTTGTGAGCGGACGGGACGCGGTAGATCCCCACCAAGGCTCACTGAGCTCGAATCGAGGACTATTGAAAGGGAGGGTTCGCCGACGTCAGATATCCTAGGCTGGTGAGAGGGCTTACCATCGATGCTATGCCTGTCGTTACTCTCAGTGCGGTCCCAGGCGGTAAGGATGTGGTCGTCTGAGATGTCAGTCGCCTGGGTGGGCGGTTCAGCCCATCCTGGAAGGCGGCGTGCATTAGCGGAATGCGAGAGCTTAACAGATGGCCAGACTAACCAGAGTTCTCTACCCTATCTGATGCCTCAGGTGCAGGCTGCACGTCCACTCCGCTGTCGTTCATTGAAACCAAAGATGAACTGGCGGTGGAATCTTCCTCGGCCCTCATACGCTTGAAGGGTCTTTCAACGAACGGAGAAGCGAGAGGTAAAGCGTAGTTCAGCTGATCTTCTGTAGTCGAAGCTCTCGTAGGAAATATCCCCGGTGACACCACATCAGGCTTCGCTATGGCGAAGTCTAAACGACTGCCAGTGGCAGGCGCAATTTTGATCCGTGCGCGAGTCCTATCATAGGACGAATACCCTCCACGACTCACTGACAATCCCAGAGCGTCCGAGAATCCAGAGTGCTTCTTGCCATCAAGAGCATCTGGTATAGGTTTACCCGTAACTGGACAGGCATCCAAGGGAGTGTCCATGGGAGTACGGCGTTTATTCTGATTCTGCCGCTGCCAGCTCACAAGAGGAGAAGATAGTGGTGGAGAAATCGGCCGTGGCACGCTTGATGGCACAGACGAGGCGTCTCTAGCAGCCTTAGACAGGAACGTGCCCGGATGCCGAGAACTGTTACCTCGGTTACCTACAGCAAAAAATGGGGGCGGACGCAGAGCAGCGCTCTCCTCAATCTGCTCTTCCGTCTTCCATCCGTGTGATAACGACGGCGAGTCGATGCCACCTCCTTGGCCGTCTTCGGCCGGCAGTCCTTGTCGCTTCGAACTTGTCACTGGGGTTTTCCGGTGAGGACGGGGTGTAGCCTTCAGCGGCGAGGTGTATAAAGACCCTACGTCTTGATCACTGGCATGTCGCAGAGAAGTCTGAGAAGTCTGCAATTGATTGCCGTAAAGAGCAGCAAGACAAACGCTCAGAACTGGAGGGAAATGTTCATCTTTTTCTATGCCGCGGTAATGCGATTCCCAAAATCTTTTGAATGTCGACGGCCCCAAGGCAAGGGGCCGAACACTGTAGAACGCAGATGCGAGAAATTCTGCCGTGCATTCGAGGATGCTTACACTGCGAGGAAGCTCGCCGAGCTTAGCCAGGGTCGTACTGTACAGCGACATAATCTGGCACAGTCGTAAGTCCCCAAGTTGATGATCAAGGACGTGGAGAGCTCACAGTATGATTGTACTCTTTCTCCGGGATAAGATTCTTCTCGTCTTGAATCCATCGCAGCAGGCCCGCCTTCATGATTGTCATAGCGTTGAGCACGTGGGAGGGAGGCAGAGAGTTCATGACTCTCTCGAGAATCTCCAGGGGCTCATAGAACAGAGAACACCCAGGCGAAGCTGAACCGTACATCTCGGCTAGCAGTTTGTCCAGAAGCAAAAATAGGCTCGACGGTATGTCGTCCGCGGTAGGAACATCCACGTGACGCAGCAAGACGCATATAGTTTGTCGTATAGACGCAAATCTGGGAAAGGTCAGGCGAACGGGACGAAGGTAGGAATTCACACATACGTTGTGACCTCTTCAGGCTCTATTGCACTGCATACGTCTTGCAGTATGCGAGACGGGTGTGAGGATGACCCTTTGCCCAGCGTGATGGCAAACTGAACCAGAGCCTCCCATAATACTATCTCATACGCTGTTAAGTCCCAATGTCTGGTATGGACGTGAGTAATGAGCAGGGATCACTGTAGCCTTGTATTACCTGAAGGGCTTGATTATCAGAGCCAGAGTGTCCTGGAGGTCACTTGCGATATCGGGCCATATTCTCGCTAATCTCATCCAGCGTTTCCTGTCTTGTGCTATGCGATCCGTATCAGCAGTGCCAGAATGAAGGCTCAGAAGCAAAGGCGGTGTGCCGCAATAGAGCAAGGCGTGACACAGGCGGCCATAAGGGTCTTTCGCGTCTCCTGCATCGGAAGGCATGTCGATGTTCAGAAGCGCAGTCAGAATAACATCCGCGGTTCCAGATAGCCATGGTGCAGAGAAAACATGAGTGACCACTACCCATAGTCGATACAGAAGTCGTAACGAGTCGCTCATTTTCGTCGGAATGGTAGCCGCAAGAGCCAGCAATCGCTCGAATAAGGCTGCGACCTGACTAGCATTCTCTGGTTCAGCTGTGAGGTGACTATGCCCTTGTGTGAGTTGCGCTTGAACAAGCAGTAAAGATTGCCAGATGAATTCGAGATCATTCTGGACGCCGTCGTTTAGCCTTGCTTCGGGATGAGAAGGAAGGCACTCACGCATACAGCGATGCCGGGAGCGTCTTTTATACAGGCCTCAGCCCCTCGGGTCCAGAGGGCAAATATAGGATCCCATTGCTCCATTATTTGCTCTTCTGAAAGAGACGGAAGAATATTCAGAGGGAGCTCGTTCATTTGACGGATGACCTTCTGAAGCTTGTTAGTGTCGTCCACCGGTAGTGTGGAACCAGTTAAGATATTACGATTGACGAGGTCAACGGCCGTCCACTGGCGTTTTGGGGTATCCTCTGAGACAGCAAACCCGATTGTTCCGACCAGGTGCTTGAGAATAGCCAAACCCTCAGGCAGGTGAGCGTGGACCATATCGGCGATAACGGCAAGTGCTTGCGAAATATTATCCGTAGAAAACTCTTCCCGTTTATTGCTTTCTGCGACATCGGGGACGGCACCAACAGTATATCTGCGTCGTTGGCACAACAAAACGGCGACAAGAGCAAGACCCAGTCCTTTACCCAGTTCTTGCTTTACGACGGCGAGAGCTCTCTCCCTAGTGTTATCTTCCGAGTCCTCTTGAGAACGTTCCGATCCATCAGCTGCTACTTCGGAGAACGCCCATGTACAGCATTTCCAGATCAACGGATGCAGTTCTCTTGTTACACGGCATTTGCTGGCCGTCAGCGTGGCTACACACTGCAAGACCATCTTGAGAGCGCATGGCTGCTTGTACAGATCGTGACCCAGAAGCACGACAAGTGAGGAAAGTACAGAAGCGCCCCACAACGGATCCTGCCGGGCCGCAGGACTATCACCGGTGTCAGTGTCGGAGAAGGCTGAGAAAATTAGGCCGGGGAGTGTAGTACTTGCAGCTCGGCCGCCAGACCACCCAGAGCGTTGCTTACGAGCTTTGGAGTAGGTCTGCCATTGCCTCGTAACGTACGTGATTACCGCATCGGATATACGCCGGGACAATCGCGATGGATATTCGTTTGGAATTTTCCGGAGGTCGAGGAGGCAAAGGGCATATCTACCCAACGCTATTCCAGCTTGCGATCTTATCACGAAAGACGCTGTAGATATTCGGGTGAGGACTTGCGGCAGCAATCTTGTGAGAGGTGACAGAAAAATACTGGGCCGGTGCCGCAGTAAATCAGCCGTAACCTTGAGTAATAATGGTCAGTGCATGAGCGTGAAGGATTACTGGAAGATGCAACCTTCAGTGCGTCGCATATTATGGACGAAGTATCGGCGTCCGCTACGTCGTCCGTTCGAAGCCTCAACTTCAGTACCTCGTATACCCGCTCGGCTTTGGCAGAGTATATGCTCGCAGGTAGCTCCATACTTTTCAGCGTCCACATGATCGCTTCGTACGTCTTATGTCCATTAATGCCATGGGCTTGCCTCTCGAATAAGGCATCCAATAAAATATCCAGTAACGTTCCAAGGTTGTGCGCTATGAAGCAGAGAAGTTATGCGTTTGAGATTCTTGTGTGAGAGGAGCGTGACACACCAGCAAATACTGATTGCAATACTGGCATTCTGAAAATGACCGATAGGAATCTTATCGCCGAGTGACAGCACGCTGTCGACTCCAATGCCCGTCTGACGACCTTGGGATCACGTTTCTCGTCCTCTGCGCCCCCTTGATGCTGGGGTGTTCCGCAATCATGCTTGGCACGGTTAATGTCGCGTCTGAGGCACCCGACGATGGTAAGCAATTCGTTCTTCAGTGGTTGGAGTACAGTTGTGGCTCGCTTGGGGTCTGTGACGATTGAAGGGTGGGCGCGTATGCGGCTCGACATAGCATCATAAGCATCACAGATATCATGTGGCGTCGGAGGTTTCTTAGTCTCGTGTCGGTCAGACTTCACCAGCGTCTCTATAGATGACCGGAAGAGTTCTTCGTCAGCGTCTTTGGGCTTCTGCGGGGTAGATGTCGGTGTGGGCAGAGCATGTTGTGGCGCCATTATCCTCGGGGTTCGACTAGGTTTCTTCAAGATCGACTTCTGTGGATGACAGGGCTGGCGGGACGGAGGCAAGGAACGACCAGGTAGGGGGCTAAGTAAACTCTCTGAGATGCCTTCAAGCCAGCTAATATGAGGCGATTGGTGGTCCAACGGACGGTTTTCCTTCTGGCTGTCGGTATAAGGGAGGGGTTTCATGACTGTGCGCAGCCAAAGAACATTCGTTACACAGCTATCGCTTTTGTTGTCGTGTGGCTAGAATACAGTGTGGGAAGTGAAGATCGGTCCCAAATATGTACAACGCTGCATTCGCAACAAGCCCCTATTCACGAATCCCAAGTATCAGTCATGAGCAGACAAGGGTGTCCCGCAGTTCAGAAGTCTCCCAGAACTTACCTGATGTCCTATGGCAAAGGATGAGAACAGGACTACGAAATAGGGTCAGGAAAGACGCCACGCAGGAACAGCGCCTTCCTCGACACACACATCCCGAATCGTTCAACTCAACCCGTGGGAATTGACGCGTCAATCACGGGATTCACTGTCACACTTCCGTCACGTCACGGAGCGTTAACTTCGAGTGAGCTGAGTGGGCGAAGGTATCTTCCTCTTACTTCTCTGCTGCTCGTAGCGCCTGGGTGCGCACTGGCTCTGGTAGCTGACTATTTGGCAAACTTGCTCTATTGAAACTACGCGTTGCTGCTGTGCAGCGAACTTCTACCGTCAGGTCTCAGACTGTCAGCCTCCGGCTTTGTTCCGTTCACCCTCGCCTCTGGGGAAGCTCCTCTGGACGTCAGTTACTGGTCTCAGACTGCTAGCCTTCTCTGGCGCCTATTTATTACCTTCCTGCGCTCGCACAGGCCCCAAGTCTTCTGCGGATCCTCCTGCGACTAAGATGATCTACCCTCGGACTGTCCTCTCCTCGCTTCTCTGTTGGGCTACCATCATTCGAGGCGGAGAGGCTTTGAGTGCCTGGAATGCCGATATGGCTATTGCTAATTCGCTGTTCTTACGGGAGGCTGACTTCAATCAAACTACCATTGAAGATTTCGGGAACACGACCGTCCGAGACGTCTATGACCCTAGGATTACCAGCCCCAAGTCCTCCACTGTCTGGGTGGTTGGGCACTCTGTGGAAGTGACGTGGTGAGCTTGGACCGTCTACTACCTGCTTCCGACATCGTCGCAAGGGAATGCCACAATTCGGTATACTGGGATGCTGAGATTCTGCCAGGGACACATCCGACAAGCCCAAGCACGTTACGAACCCCGAGGGCAAGGTCGTGCTCGGCTACGTTGAGGACGGCGATCCCAGCGAGCATCTTGACATGGGTATGCGCTTCTCCGTTACGACCTTGATGCGCTCTGACTTTCCGGACTCACCAGATCATCCCTTGGCTGACGGCTTCGACATCTCGGATGGCCATGTTAAGATCAAAGTGCCGAACGTCGAGCGTCGGAATGATTACATCGTCATATGTCAGTAGATTGCCATCTACTCATACCTCGGAACTTGCGCTCATGTCTTCTGTCTAGTATTCGGTGACTCCGGCAATAGGAGCCCAGCCTTCACTATTAACTAGTAGTGGTTCTGTAATAGCCCTTCCAGTTGTACCCAGCTCCATGTATTTCATGGATCTCCGTTGGTATTGCACATCGAAATATCTCCCGAGATACCGGAACGCCAGACTGTCCGAGCTGTCGCATCTATCAAGCCAAGGGTTTACAGTGTCGGCCGTTCCGTTGTCCAACATGAATGCTGGGGCGTTTATCCACCTACCGTTTCCTGTGGGTAATTGTGGCCACTGGTCCGATTCAGTTTGCCATGAACCGCGCGCTCGGAAAGCGGTTGCTCCGCGGGCAAACGCCGAACACACTTGATGTTCCAAATGCAGTTAAGCAACTTCCTTTTATGATCAGAGAAGCTTCATGTTCGCTTCTTTACGCTATGGTCGGGTGCTACGCGAAGTTCATCCCGTCGCTTGGCCCCTGAGCTCGGTGCGAGAACCCGCAAACCAGGATGCAAGCGAACAACAAACGAACGCCAGGTTGGGCTCCTGCAGTCCCCAGCAAGCTTGGGCAAGACGGAGGGGATATCCGCTTGGTCTGGTGATGATACCTCTGAAACAAAGCTCCAACGTGTGAGAGGTTTACTTCGACGGTTGCCATGTGCAACGGCCCGCGAGAACCCCAGATCATGTCGAACTGCGCCTGTGCACGAACTGATCATGCCGACTTTGCTCGGCAGGCTGGTTCACATTTCACAAACTTGGTATAAAATCCTCGTTCGATATTGCCGAACCGCATCTCTCTCCTCTCCTCCACCCATACCCGTCGTACCCCCTCCGTTCTTTACAACTTACCCTTCGCAAAGGCCGTACGACACCCTTCCCCTTACACCCAATACCCAAAGTATTATCGCAGCCAAGATGATGACCTCTTTCACCACCCTCTTGTCCGCTCTCCTCGTCGCCGCCTCTTCTGCGGTCGCTGCCCCGGCGTCCCCCCTCGAGCTGATCGTCTTCAGCCCCACCATCACCGGACCTACCGCTGGCGCAATCTGGACGTCGGGCTCCAGCCAGACCGTCACCTGGGACACTTCCAACATCCCCGCTGAGAAGGAGAACTCTACTGGTCTCTTGTTGCTGGGTCGCCTCCAGAACAACAGTGAGAACCTCGACATCGGTACGTTGATCCGCTGCTGCATTTATGACTTCGCTCCTGACATTGGCTCGTTTCATGAAGCCCACCCCCTTGCTGTTGACTTCCCCATCAAGGACGGCTCCGTCAACATCACCGTTCCCAACGAGCCTTTCGGCATGGACTACATCGTTGTTTGTATGTATCTCGCCTCACTTGTATTGTCAGTATGAACTCATTCGGGTTTCATCTAGTGTTCGGTGACTCTGGCAACAAGTCTCCAGAGTTCACGATCATCGGTGGCCAGTAAGCGCAAGGCATCCGGAGATGAGGAAGGACGTTTGCCTTACGTAGGAGCACGACGGACTCCATCTTGGACTCGTAATACTTGTCTCGCATTAGCACCAGTCGCAGTACTACGCTCTCGTTTTGCAATTCATGGATTCCTGGAATATCGTTCTGAATCTGAACTGGACTGAGTCTTCGCTGGAATGAGCCAATTAGGATGCAGAGAGGGGGTGACGTCACGCGTCTTAATTGACAATTGCCTCCCCTTTTGAGAGTGAGCATCATTGTACCTCATTGTACCTGGACTCCACTTGGCTGTCGATACATAACAGACCAACATGCGCGCTGTCCATTCTCCTCACAATCCGTCTTGTATTCTTTCCTTACCGCAACCATGTCTGCTCCTAGAATCGACATCGAGCCCGGTACTCCCGCTCGCGACTGGGCGAACGAAACTATTCTGCAAGAAGCGGCTGTAAACCCCGACCCTTACTCTACACCAAACCTCGAGATCCCCGGTGCATACCCACTGACGAAGGAGGATCATGATCCCGACGCGCAAGTCGATCCAAATCAGCTAGTGGATCGCGCGAAGCAATACCTCCCTGCCCAAGAGGACGTCGCTGAGACACTGCAGAATGCAGGACAGGTCGCTAGCTCCACTTTGCAGTCTGCAGCTGAGACCGCGAAGCAATACATACAAGCGGGGGCGGCCACGTACCTGCGTGAGTGACATTTATTTTATTCTATACAACCCGTATGGCTAAGCCTCACCACGTCCCCGTTAGCTGTCGGGAACTCTGGGGATGTCTCACTGCCCTCCACTGAAGTAAACGGCGCACGTCCATCCGAGCATGTGGACGGTGTCGGCGCACTGCCGGGGAGGATCGGCGAGGCAGGGGTGGCCAAGTTACCCGACGAGAGGGAGCCCCAGGAGAAGCAGAGCACGCTGGCCGGGGTGGCCGTGACGGCGGGAGAGAAGGCCGCCGCGGCGCAGAGGAGTGTCAGCTCTACTATCGCCGGCGTGCAGAGCACTGCTAGTCAGGTGATGGGGAACGCAACCAGCGCCGCCTCGGACAGCGCGCAAGAAACCGTTAACCAGATCAATGGCACGACATAGAGCAATGGTGAGTATTCAGTGCATTGTGCAAGAGTCTTAGACATAAGTTCAAAAGATAGTCAGACCGATGTGCGATAGGTCGTAGAAGGACAAGTAAAGCAGTATCTCCTCAATGTAAAATCACGATACCCTCCCTTACTGCCTGGCTACATTCGCCGATTGTATAGCATACTTGTGTTATGACCTTCAATAGCAAAGATTTTCATACGGTTGTCCGAACCCCAGCATAACATTTCCTTGGCCGGGTATACTTCGTACCTTACTGTTAGATGCGGTATGCTATGCTACGCTATGGCCCCCGCTAGTTGTGCATATTTGCGCGTCTGTGTGGTACCGCTGACGAGTGGCATGCATATCATTCCTTTTTCGATCTCGTTCTAGCTTGTGCCAATCGCAAAGACTTCGCGATATGGCCGTAGGAATCTACCATGAGCCAGAGGGGGACGAACACCCATCTGGATGATAATAAAACCTTCGTCAGTGGATTTTGACTTCGCTTGATACATTCTGACTTACATGATGTTCATAAACTGTACCAATGCAACGCGGGATCATGATTAGGCACCAGTCAAAGGTTGAGGCAGGAGCACTTACGATGAGATACACGTAGAAATACAGGGGGTTGGACGTGTCCAGGTTCGGGCTTCCTGTCAACCACTCAGGGCAGAACGTCATCCAGCCGCCATACAGCTCCGCCGTGCTCAGGACGACGATCCAGTAATGCCTCGCAGGATCATCCCTGACGACCTGGTAGATGATCCAGCAGCACAGCGGGCCCGCACCGAGGACGGTCAGGATTTCCAGGGAGACGACGGTCGGGTCGGAGAAGCCCCAGCGGAAGTCTGCGCGGGCGTATTCCTTCCCTGCGCTCCTCAGTCAGGGCGGGCTGTAAGACCGGGAATGGGGGCATGCTCACACATCTCAGCGAAGGGCCCGACGCTGGTATTGACCTGTCGCCCGAACGTCGAGAGGTACAGGAAGGACCCCTCGAACGAGAAATGGATTAAAGCATCAAACGCCTGTGCCCAATGCGTGTATATGAGTTGCGCTGAGTGGCAGCGATATAGTTGGCTCAAGACGTACCAGCCAGATGAACGTCGCCTTGTCCTGCCATCTCACCGACCTGGGGAGTAGAATCTTGGCCCCGAAATTCGCTATGAGCGCGATGGTAGCCACTCCGGCCAGAGAGCATGCTGAGGTCGCAGTGAAGAATTCCGGTTGCGCTTTCGTGTCTTCCAACATATGTCCAAGATGGCTAGGGGTTAGAATGTGGGGCGGGTGTCAAGAGGGGGCGTGTCCAAGGACCGTGAACTGTTTTTGATGACATCGTACGTGTTTTGAGTCTCTGGGCGAGATACAGCGAAGTGGTGGGAAGCGTTCCACGCTGAATGCGCGTATGTTTCATTTAGATTCAGGGTTTCTCTACCGGTATATGCAACTCATACTGCAGCCTACGTTGTAACAACCACCAATGCGTCTACAAGGTGAAAAGAAATGCCAAGCTGCGGCCGTGCAATGGAGCTAGCTACGGATGAACTCGAATTGGTTACTGCAGAACGGAGACCATCCGACCTTCGACGGAAATCGTTGTAATCTGCATAAGTACAAGACACGGCGATGGGTAGGGAGCCGACATGTCATGGAACGGGATCGTTGCACGCTTCGTTCCTTAGCCAATCTATGCTGACATCTTCCAGGTGATCGTCAAAGTCCCCGAACTTCTCGTGCAGACGAGACTCCCGAATCAGAGCCACTGCACGAGTGGGCGACTTCTCAGATACCAAACTGAATGTTGATCCGAGTGTGAATGGAGGAGGAGACGACGAGACTGGCCTCCATGAAGTTCCTGATGCCGCCACAAACGGCTGTATTATCGGATGCGTTCGTTAGACAGACTTCCACGCGAGCAAGAATGGGTAACACATAACGTACCATCAGAGCAGCAGATTCGGAGCCAACTTGTTGTCCATCGACCTGGTGGAAGAGCGGGAAAACATAAGGGGACCTGGACTGAGCGCAAAGCACGAGACTTACGACCAAGGCAATAGCCTCAGGGAACGCCTCACTAATCTTGCTCGCCATCCTCTCCCCAACAGGAGCAAGAGCCACCTCGCCGACGCGCTCGCTGGCCTGATAGTAGCCTACGACGTGCAGGCCCTTAGACTCCGCGTACCCGCTGGCCTTGCCACTTCAGTTGATTCGACAGTGCATTCTCAGGTTAACGGACATGTCCTCACAAGATCAAGGCCGATCTCCATCATGGGGCTGAGGCTCGTCCAGTTGTGCAGCAGGGGGACGGCATCGTCGATGGCGACTTGGTCTGACCCGACGCGTTTCCCCAGCAGGACGCCGTTCACCAGTTTGTGCGGGTACTTGGCGGAGTGGAGGATAATTTTGACGTAGGCTTGATGTGAGACGGTGTAGGATACCATTGCGCACCCGGGATTATGTGGAATCTGAAAGGAAGTTGAACTTGGGCGCGGACAAACGTCGGAGAAGCGTTTCTGCTTTCCTACAGCTACCGCGATGTGCTTCCGACGAAATGAGGAGGCCACAGTGCAAATGTCTGCTAGCTGGGGGAGATAGCGGGTTCTTATCTTACCATGACGCTCGTCAGAGGCACGTTCGTCCACTGCCCGAAACTTGGAGAACTGGATATCCTAGACGACCATCTGCTAGGTACGGGTTCATTCCTTTACTCTACGTGTACACCACCAACATACCATTCTAGGTGTCGACGATGCGGGATTTATCACATATATTGGTCCAGCTACTTCTACAGAAGCCATTCAAATGCTGGGAGACGGGGAAGATGTAACAATCATCCCAGAAGGCAGCTTTCTCCTCCCAACCTTCTGCGACCTGCACCTCCACGCACCCCAATTCCTCTACCAAGGCACCGGCCTCCACCTTCCGCTGATGCAGTGGCTCGACGAATACGCCTTCAAGGCCGAAGAGAAGCTTGACGCCGACCCGGGGCTCGCGAGGAAAGTGTACGAGCGGCTGGCGGCGAGGCTCGTCGAGGCAGGGACTGGCGCGGTGCTGCTCTTCGGCACTATCAGGGAAGAGACCAAGTACGCATATGGCCCCGTGAGTACGGTGTGAACGACGTTGAGTAATATTCGTGTCTCCAGCTTGATCCTGGCGGAGGTCATGCAAGCAGCGGGCATACGCGCCTTCGTGGGCAAACTATCCATGGACATATCCTCCCGTCCGTCCTATCGTGAAGCCTCCGCTCAAGCGAGCCTTGCATCCGCCGCGTCGTTCGTCCACGGATGTCGCAGTCAGACTGCCCACCTGCCGCCGCACGTGCGACTCGTGCAGCCGGTCATCACGCCCCGCTTCGTGCCGACGTGCTCGAACGAGCTGCTCGCGGCCCTTGGAGAGCTTGCGGAAACGGAGGGACTGGCGATTCAGAGCCATATGTCCGAGGCGCGGGATGAGATCGAGTGGGTTCAGCAGGAGAGGGGGATGGAGGATATGGACGTCTTCGAACAAGTCAGCATTCTCGCACCCCCCCCTTCTTGCACCATCTCACTGGGACTACAGAATAAGCTGCTCACCCCGCGTACCATCCAAGCGCACTGCACTTTCCTCTCCCCTGCGCAACTCACCCGCCTTTCCTCGCTGGGCAGCGCCGTTGCCCACTGCCCCCTCTCCAACGCATATTTCTCCGAGCGCCCTTTCCCATTACGCGAGGCCCTCCAGGCCGAGGTGACGGTAGGGCTAGGTACGGACGTCGCAGGTGGGTACTCCATCGACATTATGAGCGCGATGAGACAGGCGGTGGTGGTATCGAGGATGCGCGAGGGCGCACGGAAAGAGGCGGGTGGGACAGGGGACGGGGAGCAGGTGAGCGTGGATTGGAAGGAGACGCTGTATATGGCTACGAGGGGCGGGGCAAGGGCGTTGGGTCTCCAAGGGGGGCTGTTCGAAGTGGGCGCGCCCTTTGATGTGCAGCAGAGTTAGTTCTGTTCAGTATTATTCCGGTGCTTACTCTCGTATGTGTCTGACAACGTTGTCAGTTCAGATGCACGATCCTGCGACGGCCTCGGGCGTCGGCGCGCTCGACTTCTTCGGCGATGCTGGGCAGGATGGCACGACGGTTGATTTACGGGTGCTGGAGATGTGGTGGTGTCTGGGTGATGTGCGAAATCGAAAGGGGATGTGGGTGCAAGGCAGGAAGTTGAAAATGCCGATTTGACTTGAGGGCAGTATGAGCCGGATATATTCGTTGTATAGCATCTCGATATCTCTGTATCATAGTACATTCCGAACAGAGAAGAAACACATCAATAAACCCCACTGGTATACCACATGCTAGAGAATCCAGAAACAGAAGCCCGGTCAGTTCGACTCCAGATCCCGCGCAACAAGCTCTTCCCAGCTCGGCAAGCCAATAACACCAGGCAGGCCATCCCATGTCCGCTGCCTGAACGCCATCGCCTCCGCCTTGAACAGCTTCCTGCACGGCCTACATACCGTGTTATTCTCCTTGAGCTCCAAGACCGCTTGGACGATGAAATGCATGGGGCCGCTGCGGACCCGCCACGACTGGCTCAGCTTGCCGACGAGCTTGCGGAACCCGCGCACGCACGGCTCCGCGCCGTACTCGCACGCGGGCGCCGCGCCGCGCTGCGCGCAGAACGCGTGCACGAACTCGCTGATCGTGCTCAAGCGGTGCTGGAACATGAGCGTGTAGGGGCGGGTGTCGGGGAGGCTGAGCTCCGAGGAAGGCTTCGACGGGTGGGCGAGGTGGAGTTTGGGATGTGCGCCGGCGAGGATGTCGTGGAGCTCGTGGAGGGAGAGGAGGTAGAATGCGGAGGGGAGAACGATGAGCACGTTGGTTTCTCGAGCGAGGTTGATGACGTGGAGTGGGTGGATGTAGGGGTAGGTGATCTGGACGGTGGGAGTATCGGCGGTCGTGTCTGTATGACCGGGTGGATCGATTGAGACGGGAATAGAGGGCAATGACAGGGTTTTGTCGAGCATCTCGTCATGACCGCGAAGTGTGTGGGACCATATAGAAGTAAGCTGCTTGATAGCCTGGAGACGTAGGTGGGCAATGAAGTACTTGGTGGACAAGCGCAAAATGCCCGCCAGGTGGAAAAAGTCGTCTGCATTGCGATGCTGGAAGGTGCTAGTCTCGCAGGATAGAGTGAAGCAGCCGGCAATACCAGTGGCAGATGGCAGAGTGCGAGTTAGATCAGAAAGGAAGCGGATACGTACATATGTGCAGGGTGAGACTCACACCCCGTCATAGAGCGCCTTGATGAGATTAGAGAGTTCGAGCGGGGGGTCGTACATCCTGACAACCTGGCAGCCATCGAGGGTCTCCATTGCAGCCAGGTCAGCCGGCTGGGGCATTTGGAACATGGACTGGAAGATTTCAGAGTGACGAGAGAGAACGCCCCGGTGAACCTTGAATGCGACGCCGTCCGGGTCGGTCAAGAGCACGATGTTGCCATCGTCGAACCATGGGTCGCCTCGCTTGTCAATTGGGACCTCCATGCAAGTTATTATAGGCCGTAGGAGAGCACGTTCCAAGCCGACGTCGCGGGACCTAGCTGAGCATACTCGACGCCGGTGGTCGAGTGCAGAGTTGCTACCGTGACGACAGGCTGTGTGACTGCGAGTAACGGTGTAATTGCGCTGAGGTCAGCTAATGAGCGCAGGTTGACCAGCCTCCTCAACCCAAGTCCTCGACGATGTCCACAACACCGCGTTCCCGAACTCCCTCTCGCGTCGGCACACCCGTCCCAGGAGGCTCGCCCTCCCGCCTCGTCCTCGCGCCACCGCTGCGCCCGACCCACTCCCTCACCAACCTCCGCGTGTACTCCAAGTCCTCCAGCAGTGGCGCATCCTCCTCCTCCCACTCAACCTCCCCCTCGACCACCCCCATCGCCATCTCAGCGGTCAACACCCCTCCGCCCGGCAATGCGGAAGGGATTCTCGTAACAGAAGCAGAGGCTGAGCCTGACGTCGAGGAGAGCGAGGCGATAGGTATTGGCCGGGTCGCCAGCCCTGCCGGGGATGAGGACTCAAAGAAGAACCTACGCGACCATCTCAGGCAGACACTGAGCTATAGGCAGAGTACGGCGGGTAAGTCTCCCCCGTTGACATGAAGGTGCGCCAGCAGGTGCGAAGGTGTCTGAAGTGTGTACTTCGACCACATAGATATGGCGTCGAGGCCGCCGAAGAAGAAGAGCAAGACGCTCAACCTGAATGAACTGCCGCACGAGCTCGGTATGCTTGCTTTCTCAGAAGCTTCTATCTTTTTTTGAAGGACGCGGCCTATAGTCGACAGCTTTACTCCCCGCCAGTACTTCGTGCTCACCGAGGCCGGTAAACCCGTATTCACAAGGTCGAGTCTCCGTTACCCTCTGCTGATACGTTAGCTGAGTCCACTTCAGCCGGCCAGATTCAACCGACTCGGACGACTCCGCCTCCGCCTATGCCCTCATGCAAGCCCTCATATCCATCTTCCTCGACGACAACAACGACAAGCTGCGCTGCATCAACGCCGGCGCGACCCGCATCACCTTCCTCCTGCGGCCTCCGCTGTACTACGTCTGTATCTCAGACTGGGGCGAGCCAGAGGGCGTGGTAAGTTGCCAGTTACACAGGTGCTCGAGCTTGATGGGTCCCTGACACGACCTGGAAGAACAGACGCGAAATCATCTCGAATACCTCCACCTGCAGATCCTCAGCGTCGTCACCGCGAGCCATCTGCGCAAGATGTTCGAGCGCAGGCGGAATTCTGACCTCGGGCGGTTGCTCGGAGGTACATGCCCTCGTTTGACTACGTCCTGAAATTGAGTCTAACGGCGGGTTCAGGGGCTGAGAATATCCTGAACTCTCTGCTGCATAGGCTAGAGTGGGATCTGGCGTTGTCGACATCATCGCTGCATTGTCTCAAACTAGATACCGGGTTACGGGCCAGGCTTGCCGATGCGCTGGTGCCCTCATCCAAGGCTAAGGTGTGAACCGTCCACACCGCTCAACACCCGGGTCGACTTACTGAGATCCACATTTGTGGATTTATAGGACGTGCTATACGTCATTCTAGTCGCCAACGGCCAGGTCGTGACCCTCGTCAGACCGAAGAAGCACTCGATCCACCCAGCAGGTTCTCCAATTCCCGCTGCTATATCATGATGGCTATGTTTACTCACCCTCCGCAGATCTGCACATCCTCGTCAACACCATCTACGCACCTTCCATCCTCACCTCCCCTGCCGCTGTTTCCTGGCTGCCTATATGCCTCCCAAAGTTCAACCCGAACGGGTTCGTGAACGCCTACGTCAACTTCCTGGTGCGCGGACGCGGGGATGAAGACGAGCCAGGGCAGAATACGGCCTCGAGCGCGGAAGAGGCGTCTTCTCCTACTGCGCGCGAGGGCCCAGCGCCCGCGCAGAGTGCACCAGGTAAGGAAGAAGAGAGCGGGGGCAGGGGCAAGGACATAGACATCGGGCTCGTCTGCATCAGCGGCGGGCCGGACTTCGAGACCGTCCGGACGTGGTGCGATTCCGTGATCAAGGTAAGCTTCCTCCATCTTCGCTATCCCTATCGCAGTGCTCAATCTATCCTTCCCGGACGCAGAAAATGGGGAGCGACGGCGCGCTGGACGCGCTGATCACGGCTGTGCGCACGGGCGCAACGGTGTACTCCGTGTCCGAGCTGGGCATACCCGGCCTGCGCCACTTCGTGTACAAGTCGCGGTCGCATGTGCAGATCACGGCGCCGGTGTTCGAGGACCCGTATGATGTCAAGCGAGAACAGCAGAGGTGCGTGCATGCCTCTCACTACTCTCTTCTGCCGTGCTTGACGGCGGCGGCGGCGGCGGGTAGGTTGATCACGCTGTACCAAACCCTCCACGACGCGATTCACGCCCGGTCGGGCCAGGCGGGAAGTCTGAAGCTGCAGTATATCAAGACGCAGAAGGAGAGCGTGATGGGCTGGGTGCGCGACCTGGTTCTACTCGCACGGTTTCACGCTTAACAAAAATTTGCCTCAGATAACGCAGCCGTTCGAGCTGTACGTCGCTCTATCTTCGAGGCTGCCCAAGAGCGCCGTTGTCGGCGCGGCGAACGCGGTGGCTAGATGGGTCAAGAAGGAGGAGGGCAGGTTGTTCTTGACTAACGCTCCTGTGTTCTAAGGTCTATATACTACGCTCGGCAGATAGGCCAATCACTATCTGACACACTGGATAATCCGCGTGTGATGTCTGTCACGAAGCTGCGTTGCTTATGGTGGGTGCTGAACGTCATTAGCGGTAAGATTATATCGCGTCGCTGTACATAACTTTTCTCGCTGTCTAGTGAGCAATGGAGCTGGGCCCAGTGCAACCTGTGGGGAGAATGAGGCAGTATGTCTATCCGTTTCCACAACTTGCGGGAGGGAGGGGGGTACGAGGCTCGGGCAGCACCTAGGCCCTCACCGATCCCTCCTTGACCGAATCCTCTTGCCGAACTGGACCGAGGGACCACGCCTGCAGACATAGTTGAGCACATACCCAGATGGCACAGCAACACGTAAAGAAATGCAGGGGTGCCGTCGAATAGTTGTCTACTGGCATATGACTGTGGAACTCACCCGCGTATCTTCTTCTTTGGCTTGGGTTCGTGTGCGAAGTCCTTGATCGCCCAGCCCAGTCGGTATTTCTCCATCGACCATAGGATATACCTGGATGGAAGAGAGAACAGTTAGTACCCCGAGGGAAGGAGACAGGCCAGAAGATGGAGTGCAAAGGGTATTGTGAAGTCTGATGACTGGGCATGTGCAGGAAGCTGCACCCAGCTTTCAAGGACAGGCCGTCATAGATGTGCGTAGGAGAGTAAGAGCAACCACAGCTCGGACCTATACAACCGAGGAAAGCCCACGGAGGATATACCTCCACGAGGATTAAGCAGTGCTCCTCTGCGAGGACGACCAATAACGCGTGAACTTCCGCCTGAAGCTTAAGCTCACTTTCCAGCCCATGCACTCAGAACGAGACAGTTTGCGCAGGTAACATCCCGTTAAGGTGGCAGTCGAATGGTTACTCACCGACGGTCCTTCACTGGTACCCCAGCCTTCTTCATCTCCAAACCCCCCAGCTTCCAAAAGTTACTCCATTCTGAAAGCGACTCGGATAGCGACGATAGTTTACTATCCGAAGAACGTCCAATAGCTTTCAGGAAGGCCTCCGGGCTTTCGATCCCTACTTCACTTGCAGCAGTCAGAACGGTCCAGCCCATTCTAATCCGACGTTTGCTCACCTCTCTTGGGTGGTATTGGCCTGGTGACGGCACTGCTGCTCAATGACCTAGCCAGAGGTCGCAAAAGTTTTTCGTATGCCCGGACACTGAACATAGAAAGAAGAATGTAACGATGCAAGTCCATGCCGCGGGTCAACGTTCGGTGGGGTATCCCGACATGACGTGAAAGAAAAACAGAAATTGCTACGATTGTGATTCGGATACGGGGAATCGAACCCCGAGCTACCGCGTGAGAGGCGGTAATGTTAGCCATTACACCATATCCGATACCATGCAAGTCTTATTATATTATCTATAAAGAATAACTATGGTCCCGCCACGTCACAACCTGCTCTGTTCTTTTATATTGACGCTATACATCGCGCATGGCAACCTCCTCGAGCATGGGTCATCTGTCTATTGCAAGGACCCGAGTTGCAATGAAGTTGACGAATATACCCTTCGATTCTACTGCGATAGGCGGCGAGCATCCTGCAGGGGAGGCCGCGCTTTAGCCAACGCTTTGGCCCATACGTCAGTCGAGCTGTGGTATCACCAGCGCTTTGGCCGACAACCCTTACGCTTTGTCCTTCATGAGCAATGCCTGATACCCAAGCTATACCATATGTGGATGGAGCATATGATCGATATTCTTTGTTCCTGCCCTGGTGCTGCCCCGACGAACGACGACAAGGCGTCGAATGCACGACGAATTTGTCTAGAAGGGCGGTGTGGGACTTACGCCCCGTCCTATTATCACATTGTGATAATAGGACGGGGTTATGTTCCCACCATCCTGCCTTTCTGGGCAATTTCTGAACAAAAGCGGTAAGACATCGTAACCGGTGCTTGGAACGCTTGGACCGAATCTTTGACCTTGAGGACCCCCTCCCCGCCTATAAAGCCATGGCCACTCCGCCATCGTTTCTATCAACATCACCCGCCCTCTTCAGAACACACCCGCCGCTCCGAACGACCACCCTTACCCAATGGCTGCCATCTCTCGCAAAGCCTCTTTCTCCAATGATATGGACAACCTTTCCGACTGCTGGTACATGGCTCCAGAAGACGCGGCAAGCACCAGACTAGTGTCGTACAACTACGACTATGGTGCCCCTGAGGCTTATTTCTCAGACGCAGAGTCAGACGGCCAGTCTTCGTCTCAGTCAGAGGTTGACCCATATGAAAGGTCGATATACGCCCACGCTCTGTAAGTGGTTTCCTTGTATGATCCCTTACAATTCATCTAATCGGGCGATTGATTATTTCATTAGTACCTCCGTCGACACCCCATATCAGCCCCCAGCCGTGAACACCACATCTCTTGCCTACGTCGAAACCCAGTCCAGCTGCGTTGCGGATACCTCGACCTCCTCGCTGGTCAATACGGGTTTTCTGGCACCAGAACTCGCCCCTGCCAGCGCCCATGAAGGTCGTCGCAGTACTCGCGCTCTTGTAAGCTACCGGGAGGACGAGTCCGACGCAGAAAGCGACGGGAATGGCACCGAGGACGAATATCGCCCCTCGCCTCCGCCCAAGCCCGCCAAACGCCGAGGAGGGTTCAGCGCGAAGCAGACTAGGGCTGGGGTACGAAGAGCGCCATATCCTCCCTCATCAAATACATCCGCTGCTTCATCGCCTTCACCCTCGTCGCCATCTGGATCGTTCAACCCCAGAGGATTTACTCACAGGAATCACGAGGACACCTCTCCTCGGTCTGATATTCCTGACATCCTAACTGATGAATCTGGTGCTCTAATATGCCCAGTAGAGGGTTGTGACCACGTCCTACGCCCCAACCCGACCGATCCGAAGCGCAAGCCGCGACTCCCGGACATGAGAAGACACGTTGCTACTCATTATCCCCGTCTTAGCGAAGGGAAGTGGGTGTGCCGTGGCTATCCACTAGAAATAGCAGACCGCCTCCGTGTGCCAAAGCGTCTCATAATCAATGTTGACGGGGTACCTTATCGGGGAGGCTGCGGCCGCGGCTTCAGCAGGAAGGATGCCTTGAAAAGGCATCTTGATAAAGTAGGGGCCCAGTGCCGCGGGGACCACACCATGCGATGCTAGGTAAGTTTACGTTCGGTGCGCCTTGATAGCTCTCGCGATACGAGCTTACACGAGCTGTCAACAGGAAGCGCTTTGATCTGCCAACATCCCTCTCACTTCTCAAGACCGATATCATGATGTCTCCCTCAACGAAGGACTATGTGTTACCATCTGCGTCAGGCTTCAATCTACAACTGTTTACTGTCTGTGTTTTCATTTTCTCCTACCCTCCCCGTCCTCTGTTTGATAACATCTGATTGGTGGCTCCGGACAAATACGATGTTTTCTGTATTATCGAAGTACTGTGTATTCTGCTTATTTGCTCCCCATCTTGTGTACATAGTCGATTTATCGTATTCCTTGTTTCCGCCACGGTCTCCTTCGTTGCTGGACCTCGTATGGTCTTCCACGCTATGTTCATAACAGCTGCCCACATCATTCGGTCGCAGTGAACAATGTCGCTATGCAACGCACCCGAATAAGGCCAGCGCACTTTGGTCATAGAGACATCCGGAACAGGTTCCACCTGAGGGCGCGATACCTGTTCCGGATGTAGGGACAACCACTGTGGCGAAGGCAAACAGTTATATCTAGTATATTCGTAACCGCACGATATGTACGAGTACGGTCGCTAATTACTTACACGATGCATACAACCTCGCCAGAACCTGCGATATCCTGGTAAGAACATTCTACCTGACAGGGCGTGCTTTTTCCTGTTAATTAGGGTACCCTAAGCTCTAGATCCGAGGAATTTCCCGATGTTTCAGGTTGCAGTAAAGCGAAAGTGCATGGGTCACCATTCATGCAGCTTCATCATGCAGAAGGACGTACTCCCTCAGGGAGTCACCGAATTTGATGACTGTTTCGGAAAAGTGAATTAATTTTCGATTGTGACGCATCTCAGCGGCGTTACACGCCCGCCAGATGCTACAAGGGAGAAAGCACAGGCACGAACTCACCATCGCCAGCCTGCAGTTCGAAGTACCTCGAAGTGGGGATCTGTTCATCGTTAACAGAAGTACCATTCGTGGATTCCAAGTCAATGACGAAAGGCCTACACGTCAATAATATTAGAAGGGCAGCAATCATTTAGCGGAGCATTCCCGACGAAGCAGCTCACTTGATGACCTGTTTAGCCTCGCCGAACTCATTCTTTTCCATTACTTGTCGGTCTGCGCGCAAAGACGGCTTGTCAGCAATATAACGATTACGAAGATGAGCAGATTACGGCGACATTTGAGACGTACGTTGAATCACGGCATGCTGTTTCGAGCATGATGGGTGTTCGACCGGTATATCAGCGACAGTCCGATCTCTTCCAATCAGATACGCGCTCTGGCGATGTATATGGAGCAAATCTTTGCAAAGAGCAACCATGAGTTCTCCTGCAAGCCTTCGAGGGCGGCCTGCGTACCGACTTGTTCCTTTCCCTTGAAGACGTAGAGCCGCCACCCTAGGTGAGGCTTCCTAGCTTCAGGCGGTTCATGGTACTTGAGTACCGTCTTCGACCCATCGCCATGTTCCACTGTCTTGGTGGCGGCAGCGAGTAATCCAGAAGGGTTGAAATTTGGTTTCGCTTTGTCCTTCTCTTTGTCAGCTACTGACTCTGACCGAGAGCGTGACTCAGAACGCGAAGGCCGCGGAACTGACGAACGCGAGCGAGGCGACGCCGAACGACGAGGGGATTCCTGCCGCTTTCTATCGCGACCCCCTTCTTCCGTGTTACGGTGTCGGCTATGCCTATCTTCTCCCTCGTACCTATTTTGTCTCTCACCACGCCTTTGTCTGCGCTCATCGCGTCCTTGTCCTTCTCGATAGTCCCGATGCTCGTCCCTGGTCTTGTAGTCTCTGCGTTCATAACCTCGATCGGGTTCCCGTCCGGCATCGCAATAGGTTGGACTGCGCCGTCGTCTTGTCTGGCCTCGGGGAAGGTCATCCTGTCGGTCGCTGCGCCGATTGTCTCGGCTTGGACCTGAATATGACATGGTGGTAGTGACAGTGGTCGAGTAGTCGGAAGGGTCCTAGCTATGGTTTGATGTCGGTATAGCCGCTGCATATATAATCCAGCTTGCCCACCACATCTGCAATCGGATATGGTGTAATGGCTAACATTACCGCCTCTCACGCGGTAGCTCGGGGTTCGATTCCCCGTATCCGAAAAGCGTGTAATTTTGTCCAGTCGACAGTGTCCCGCACTTGCGATATCAGTTTTAGATCCAATTTACAACACCATCTGTTGCATTTCAACCATTCATTGGACCAGAAGTGAATAATTTGAACTGTTCCCTGGTTAAGTCATCTTTCTCTGATTGCATGTACCCCAAATTTGGTGTGGATAGTTCACATACTATTTTACACCCTCTGCAAATTTCTAAGATTTCTCCAGTGGGCATAGAGATTGTACGGCATAAGGGGACAGGAACTGGTCCAATGATAATACTATCATTGAGGGTTTCTGCAAAATTTGCAGAACCCCCTCACCCCCTTATATCTTGTTCCACACTCAACTGGAAAATGTTGGGTAAGCTCAGGCAGGTATATATGCTAGAATATTCCCTCTGCCAAGTCAGAACGAGAATATTTGTTGAAGAGAGGGAGAGGAAACGGGTTGTGTCGGCCATGGGAAAGAAACAGTATCTGCTAGATCTCTCGTGATGCTCTCAACAGACTGCAGCAGGATGACTCGGGGTATCATGAATATGCCTTCTACAGTACAATACACCAACCTGATAGAGGCAACTTTGCACATCTCCTGGGCCCATATCATGACAAAAGTGTGACATCACTCACAGTGAGATCCCACTGTGACCGCATTCCGATTCCTCTAGAAATTGGTTTACTGTTCAGTAGTTGGATAGGGCTCTGGTGATGGAGAAAAGAGAGTGCTTAACAGTGGTTATACCACTTATATTCCAAATTACAGTGCTTTTCATATGAAGCCCAAAAACGTTGATAAGCCTCAAGATCATCTGACCCCCGAAAACGAGGACTTAGCACGTCGTACAAGCCCCCCCGGAGCTTATTCGACATAGCGCTCACACACCTCTAGGCTTCTATGGGCTCTAAAAGAATTTTTCTGTTTAGCTCCGGACTTCCTAACATCCTTGAGGCGTACACGGATCCATTCCACGATTTATCTCCGCGAACAGGAGCTCCGGAGCGACTTAACCAATGCGACTTCTAGATGCCTTAGCTCCGGGGCCCGCGGACGCTTCTGTCGTCCTCATGCCCAACCTCCAACACTCACTCCCTCTCGTTTCCATCAAACTACCGAAGGTGCGGACGCATATGAGTCACCATGAGGCCAGCATCTGTCAGCAAGCGGCCGGAGGTAATTAGCACGTGATCGGCACATCACGCGGAGTGATGGGACCTCTTAGGGCAGGTGGCGGAGCGTCGAGGCGACCTCTAGGGGGTGGGACGAGCAAGTGGGAGTGCAAGAGAGTCGTATGGTGTATGGTATAACGGCGGCAAGTGCTGAGCAATCCTGTGGGTAGCGGTGTTTATTTGTTATTTATCTCCGGACGGTCGCAAAGCCATTTCTGTAGTATAAATTGTACAAAGTAGCGTACAGAAAAACAAGTTTCGACTTCACCATCTCAGAGAATTAGCGTTACGATCTCAGCGACCCGAGAAGTTCGAAAGCACCGAACTTAGCGAATTATAACCGACCCTAGCTTTGCCAATAGGCCTGACTCGTCGAGTGAATTATCTCCGCCATCGATTCAATTAGCTCTGGTGAGCCTCACATAGCGAAATAAAATTAAACAAGTCTTTCTAGCGTTTCTTACTTCCGTGGGCCCGAACCTACACTCGGTTCCGTGGTTTGCGACTTTGTTTGCGACTTTCTGGAGATAAATACTCCGGAGCGTCCCTTAGTGTTTGTTTCAGGCGTCAAGGCTTTTGTTTTATTTTTCTAGGTCTTCCTACGGACTACCCTACGGCGTCTTACTCCTCCTTCCCCCTCAAACTATTAAAATACCCCTCAGTTGTCTCGGACCGCCTTCACCCATATCACGGGGTTTAGGTTTATTCCTTTTGGTCCTTGGCAATTGTTGTGTGTCTGTGCATATCAACGTGTTTCACAAAATATTGTTTGGCTGGACCAAATAAACCTATATGGGGTATTTCCATCACCGACTCATGGCAGGCTGCTTTGCTTTTACTTTGTGCCTGACCACGGTTGTGACTTCTTTCAGAGCTTTTTTGGGATAAACAAAGCTCATATATGCTACAATGTTGTTGGTTACATATGTTATGAGTTTTCCATGTGTTATGATTCCTGTAGGGTATGCCTGGCACACCCAACTTGCTGTCGTCGAGTGCCCTATATAGGTTGGTGTTGGCAGAACAAACAGAGACAAACAACATTTTGCAAGACATGCTTTCCAGCTTCATATGCAAAGCGCTGTACTTGAAATGTAATAGGATAACTGGAAGGTTGACTGACCCAAATCTTACCACCACCATAAAATAGGGGCTATTACTTCTTACATGTATGCTGATACTTGCCATTTGTGTAATAGGGACTAACTCCAAATATGTCAGCAATCAGCAAAACAACAGAGAGTTTTCAGAATTCTTTGCTCAGGCAGCTGAGCCTGGAAAGGTAATTATACCCCACTCGGGGCGGCAGTGCACCACCACTCACCACTGTTGTTGATCACAACACAGCATTAGCAGGGCAAAACTGGTGATACCCTACTCCAATAAGTAAGCAGCTCCGCAGCTGATGAGCATGGAAAATCCCAAACTTCTCTATTGTTTCACCAATGCTGGTAGGGTGGCTCTGCACATCACGATCCTTTAGAGACTGTCAGGCATCCCCCAGCTTAGGCTACCTGTGGAGTTGCGCCAATGGCAACATCACCTAGACAGCCCAGACCCCAAGCCTAATAAGGCTAACTCATCTGACCTCCGGTCAAGCCTAACAAGGCTCAGCAATGCCTGTTGATTGACACCAGCGGTCGTACCGGGGGTCGGGGCTGTCTTAGTACAACTACTATAGTATGTATTAGTGTTATAATATGGAGCATTGCTCGTAGCCACCGTCCTCGTCGTCGGGCGTCGTCGGCGCTTGCCGGTCTGCCTAATCGGGCAACCGAGCGCCTCCCGCCCGCCCTCCCCGACGTCGTCAGTAACAGCGCGGTACAGCACCACTGCGGTGGGACAAAAATGCGCTGTATAATATCTCGTGTAGCATAAGTATGGTGCTATTGAGCACCGTGGGAGCGGTGCGGAATGACGCGGCGGTCGTCGCCCGCCATTCTCCCCGCCGTCAGTGGCGGCAGCGGGGCAGCCTGTAGTAAACGGGCTCTAATAAATTCGCTAAAATCATGAATAAATTGTAGTGTATTCTGAAATAGTATACATAGCTTATATACAGAGTATAAGACGCGTACCATGGGATAGGGATCGAATATACCAATGTGGCAAGTTGGGCATATAACAGAATAAAATATAAAAGGCAAAAAAAAGCACCTGCCTGGATACACCAGCGGTATACCATTCAAAACTTCAGACTCCATATATAGAGCATGCTAGACCGTCAATTCAGTGTCCAGGATGAATGGAAACAGGCACTCACTGGTCAGACCACACATGGAGGAGACAACTCCATGGAGCGGTCCAAACGGCCTCAGACGGAATCTATTCAGCACAGGCAGTGGGTATGAAGTGAAGGTACCCATAATTCCTCTATGCAGGGTAACAGGAAGGTTCAAAACAAGAATACCCTATAATGGTATTAACTGCATTACTTGCCTCAGTGCAGGAAATCGGAATATATAAATTGTTATAGGCTCACCAAGCATCAATCCTTCCAGAATGACGTGTCTTCTTTGGCAGATGGAGGCTCTATCGGAGCAGCATAGTGCTGGCTTCCACTAGCACACTATTTTGGAATATCAGCACCTGGTGCACGGAAAACGCACGCATACATCGCGCAATAGTTATAAATACATATAATATATACCCAGAAATCATCTAACGCTCAATGACGAGGCCAGTATATGCACAAACTGGCATAAAGCTGAGAAACATACCGGATGTGGCTAACATCTTATAACGGCTCCCATCCCACCCTTTTTTCGCAGATTTTCGCCGTAACTTGAATTCAAGTACTTCTGCATCTCAGGAGGCCAGTAGAAGATAATATGAGAGGGTATCAGTAGCCCGAGAGGTCGGAGAGACCGAGGAGAGCAGAATCAAGCAGATGTCACAGCATGTGTCACGGCATGAAGGACATCCGAATTCATTCGGACGGAATGCGCTTGCTGCCTGCGGTGGCTGAAGACCAGATAGCGCACATTTCGAGACTCTTTGCTTTCGTCTTCCTCTGTCACCCCAGAATTTAGCTCTCTCTTGTTCTGTGCCTTTATGTGCACTCTATGACGCCTCAATAGAGTCCTGCTGTTTCTTCAAACCTAGGTTATCTTACAAATACTGCATTTCAGGAGCAAGTTAATTTCTATTTGTCTCCTTTGTTCTCAATTCCAGTGGGAGTACTGTATATAGCTTCTGCAGGTAACATACTATTTACTGCATTGTTTGGCACCCTTCCTAACTTCCCCACTATCCGCGATCCTCCGGTACGTCTTGCTCAGCATTGTGCTACTCACGCGGCTTCTTAGGCTTGTCCCGTCTTTCGGAAGATGGGTATGCTACGCCCGGAGTCTGATAATGCTAAGGTAAGCCCTTCCCAATAGGGGGCATCAGCTGAATTAGCTCTCAGCAGCCCAAAAGACCTGCTGACAACCAGGTATCCCACCTCTACCACACCCTCATATACACCAGGGATGTGGAGATATCCTCACAGGTGTGTGTTATCACTCAAAAATATAGTGATTCTGCTGATTCTGTTCCTTTCGAGGTTGCATGGACCGCTCCCTCGACCAGTCCCATCCGTACCTGGTAAGTGTGTGTTCCCCTTTGTCCTGCACCCTTCGCTGATGGTCTGATGGTCTGTTTATGTAGAATACATATATTCTAACGGTATTCTACTGGTTGATCCAGGTAGGTGCGTGTATTCCGATGCTCACATTATATTCTGTCACATGCCCAACTATTTCAGAATACACTACAATTTATTCATGATTTTAGCGAATTTATTAGAGCCCGTTTACTACAGGCTGCCCCGCTGCCGCCACTGACGGCGGGGAGAATGGCGGGCGACGACCGCCGCGTCATTCCGCACCGCTCCCACGGTGCTCAATAGCACCATACTTATGCTACACGAGATATTATACAGCGCATTTTTGTCCCACCGCAGTGGTGCTGTACCGCGCTGTTACTGACGACGTCGGGGAGGGCGGGCGGGAGGCGCTCGGTTGCCCGATTAGGCAGACCGGCAAGCGCCGACGACGCCCGACGACGAGGACGGTGGCTACGAGCAATGCTCCATATTATAACACTAATACATACTATAGTAGTTGTACTAAGACAGCCCCGACCCCCGGTACGACCGCTGGTGTCAATCAACAGGCATTGCTGAGCCTTGTTAGGCTTGACCGGAGGTCAGATGAGTTGGCCTTATTAGGCTCAGGGTCTGGGCTGTCTAGGTGGGCAACATCCTGTTGCCTACGGTACAAGCTATGACAGTGTTGAAAACATGCTGTATACACTACACTGACTCTACAGTAACACTAGTCAAGGGTGGCAGAACACCACCCGAGGGCAGCAAAGAAGGTATTTATTATCTATTTCAGATATATGTAACTGTAAAGCTTGACACCAAGTATCAGGCCCTCTGAAAATGCCCATAGTGGTCTGATACCGGTTTCGGTAAAAATCACCCTCAAATGGGTGCCAGGTCTGATACAGTTTTGGTAAAGGACCTGCCGGTGGGATCAATCTTGGATACCAATTTTTGGGTAAAAACAGGCATCCAGAGCAAAGGTCGGATACTATTTGGGTACCAATTATAGCCACAACAGTGCCACAACTTGCCACAATGATCAGGTGGCGAGATTCTTGGATTCCGTATACACCAGTGCACCTCGTAGAGGCTCATAAAGCCCATACATAACTGAACCTAGTATCACCTCACGCATCGAAATTTGTTTTGTGAATAAATATCCTCAAGCCCACAGGTTGGATACCAATGTTTCAGTAAAAATCACATCTAAGGCGAGAGGTCGGTGATATGCACTGACACACAACAGACACCAAAGACCAAGGGGAAATAACCTTACACACCCAGCGGTATGGGTGGAGGCAGTCTGAGATGACTGAAGGGTATAAAGTAGTTCAAGGGAGAAAGGCAGTCCATGTGTAATAATAATGTGATGTTTCTGGAAAACACTCCTGTGCTCCTTTACAATGTTTAGGGACAATTGTCAAGGCCTAATGTAATGGGATTTCAGGCGGCAGGCAGCATGCCGTGAGCCGGGCTGAGCTTGAATGGCCTGCCCCAACATCCCGGTGATAAGCCTCAGGATTGTCTGACCCCCGAAAACGCAGACTCAGCGCATCGTACAAGCCCTCCGGAGCTTATTCGACACAGCGCTCACACGCCTCTAGGTTTCTATGGGCTCTAAAGACTTGCTCTGTTTTAGCTCCGGACTTCCTAGCATCCTCGAGGCGTACACGGACCTATTCAGTGATTTATCTCAGCGAACAGGAGCTCCGGAGTGACTTAACCAATGCGACTTCTAGATGAATTAGCTCCGGGGCCGCGGGCACTTCTATCGAGGGGCGTTGTCCTCATGCCCACCCTCCAGCACAATCCCTCTCTCGTTTCCATCAAACTACCGAAGGTGCGGACGTATACGAGTCACCATGAGGTCAGCATCAGTCAGCGAGCGGCCGGAGGTAATTAGCATGTGACCGGCACATTGCGCGGAGTGATGGGACCTCTTAGGGCAGGTGGCGGAGCGTCGAGGCGACCTCTAGGGGGTGGGACGAGCAAGTGGGAGTGCAAGAGAGTCGTATGGTGTATGGTATAACGGCGGCAAGTGCTGAGCAATCCTGTGGGTAGCGGTGTTTATTTGTTATTTATCTCCGGACGGTCGCAAAGCCATTTCTGTAGTATAAATTGTACAAAGTAGCGTACAGAAAAACAAGTTTCGACTTCACCATCTCAGAGAATTAGCGTTACGATCTCAGCGACCCGAGAAGTTTGAAAGCGTCGAACCTAGCGAATTATAACCGATCCTAGCTTTGCCAATAGGCCTGACTCGTCGAGTGAATTATCTCCGCCATCGATTCAATTAGCTCCGGTGAGTCTCACATAGCGGAATAAAAATTAAACAAGTCCTTTTAGCATTTTCTACTCCCGTGGGCCCGAACCTATACTCGGTTCCGTGGTTTGCGACTTTGTTTGCGACGTTCCGGAGATAAATACTCCGGAGCGTCCCTTAGTGTTTGTTTCAGGTGTCAAGGTTTTTGTTTTATTTTTCTAGGTCTTCCTACGGACTACCCTACGGTGTCTTACTCCTGCTTTCCCCCTCGAACTATTAAATACCCTTCAGTTGTCTCGGACCGCCTTCACCCATATCACGGGGTTTAGGTTTATTCCTTTTGGTCCTTGGTGATTGTTGTGTGTCAGTGCATATCAACGGACTACCCTACGGCGTCTTACTCCTCCTTTCCCCCTTGAACTATTAAATACCCCTCAGTTGTCTCGGACCGCCTTCACCCATATCACGGGGTTTAGGTGTATTTCTTTTGGTCCTTGGTGATTGTTGTGTGTCAGTGCATATCATCGCTCTCGCCGTGAGAACCTCATGTAAGCAATGTCCCAACCGGACCGATGCCACTTTTGTTTCGACTTGAAGACAACTGCCCACACACACCTGACGTGAAAGGTCAAAGTGATGCAGTGCACAGCATTCGATAAAAGGATGCATTGACACAAGTGAGGCTGACAAATGAGACTAGTATCTCTGAGTGGGGACTGGGAGGAAGCCCCTTTAAATACTGATGTAGATATAAGACAGGACTATATCAATACTGTGTATGTGTCCATACGCGTCAAGACTGGCATTCCGCAACTTGACCAGACACTAGTACTGGAATACTTGATGGTTTCTGACTGGAGTCGGGGATTGGCGCTTGCGCTGCTACGATAAATAGCTGATGGGTACATATAAACCATGGCAGAATGCAGCTTGGCAGCCCATAGAAAATCAAAAGAAATGCAGAGAAGTACAGAAAAATTCAGGGCTACTGCCAATAGTTCCTGTGCACTAATGACATCACTATATTACATAACACACTTCCAAATGTGGCAAGATGTGGTGTGGTACACTGCTGGAACCCAAACTTTATGCTCTTTCTGGCTCTGTGGTCCATTTATCCTTATTCTTCTTTGTTCTAGCTCATATATTACCTGACCCAGGCAACTTATGGAGGGGCAATATGTGGCAGTCATCCATAGAGCCTAGTGGCTATCCATTGCTGTAGAAATATTGTTTCATCACCGGCTCCAAAACAATATTTCGGGGTTTCCCACGCATATACTATATGCTACATCCTGATTTTATGGGATCATACTCACCCCATATATATCTACAGGTCTACATAAGACACCGAGAGATTCCAAGCAGTGCATCATTATAAACCGCTTTTGGGTGGTACCCCTCCTGCGGACCCCCCAGGGGAGTGGAAAGTGGTTCAAGTGGTTGTAAATAGTTCTCCCTATAGTAGATAATCACACCACATCATGTGGACCACATTCCAGGCCACACAGCCCATTATTTCCTCAAATTGTATTACTCCACCTCAGAAACACACTGTTCACCCCACCCTGCACCAGCTGGAATCCAGCCCGGAAACAAGTAGTACTACATCCCAGAGTGTGCCTCATCAAGCACGAATCACACCCTAGCTGCCCCCAATGTGTCCCCATCCCATGAGCCCCACTAAGGCAGCATTGATAGCAAGGCTTGCCTGTCCGAGATCTGTCCGAAAGTCATCCGAAAATAGCCTGGGGCACCTTTCAGTGTCCTCTCGAAGGAGAATGCACCTGGGGTGGTCAGGACAAGATGTCGCACTACTGGGGTATACTCTGGGATGTAGTAGGACTTGTTTCTGGGCTGGAATTCATACCAGCTGGTGCAGCAGGGTGGGGTGAACAGTGTGTTTTGGAGCTGGAGTAATACTATGTAAGGAAATAATGGGCTGCGTGGCCTGGAATGTAGTCCACATGATGCGGTATGATTATCTAGTCTAGGGAGAGCTATTCACAACCACTTGAACCACTTTCCACTGAATCCCATTACATTAGGCCTGGACAATTGTCCCGAAACATTGTAAAGGAACACACGAGTGTTGTCCAGGTTTAATGTAATACTACTACAGCATCAGGTGGGGAAAGGAGGAGTAAGACGATGCAGGGTAGTCCGTAGGAAGACCTAGAAAAATAAAACAAAGCCTTGATACCTGAAACAAACACGCATCGAAGCTCCGGAGTATTTATCTCTGAAGAATCGAAAATGAACAAAGGTCGCAAGCACCGACACCTAGCGTAGGATCGTGCTTGCGGGATAGAAATTGCTAGAAAGACTTGGTTAATTTTATTTCACTATGTAATACTCATGGGAGCTAATATTTCAATGGCGAAGATAATTCAATCGATGAGTCAGGCCTATTGGCAAAGCTAGGATCGGTCATAAATTGCTAAGTTTGACGCTTTCAAACTTTGAGGGTTGCTGAGATGGTGACTCTGATATGCTGAGATGGTGAAGATCAAACTTGTTTTTACTTTACTTTCTATCGCACATTTTATACTACAGCAATGGTCCTGCAACCGCTCAGAGATAAATAACAAATGCTCGCCGCAACTTCCTTGACTGCTCAGCACCCATCCGCCACTATACCATGCACCATATGACTCCCTAGCCCCTAGAGGTTGTCCTGACACGTTAGTGCTTATCCTGAGCCTTCCCAACACGCTGTGCAGCATGCCAGTCACGTGCAAATTAACTCCGGCCACTTGCTGACTGATGCTGGCCTCATGGTTGCGGATTTACGTCTGCAAGCTTGGTAATTTGATGGGGGCAGAGGGGAGGAAGTACTGGAAGCCGGGCGTTAGGACGACCCACAACTAGACAGGTGCCTGCAGCCACCGGAGTTAATTCATCTCAAAGTCGCTTCCTGAGTCACTCCGGAGTGCCTGACCTCAGAGCTAAATCATCATAGGGATTCGCGCTGGCCTTGAAGACACTAGAAAGTCCAGAGTTAAATTGATAAATCCTTTGGAAAATTCATTGAATTTGTGATTTCCGGGGTCAGACGATCCTTGAGGCTTATCATCAGATACTTTTCGGGTAAAATGCATCCCAATATGGTAATTTTGGTTTTGGTAAAAATGGGGGGAAAGTTGATATCTGGTCTCAGACCTCTATGGGTATTTTCAGGGGGCCTGAAGTATCTGATGGATTGAAGACTCTGACCGCAATGTGAACCATTAATTTGAGAGTTAGAAGTTGATATCACCCAGTATCATTCAGGTCAAGGTGAAATAACTATTGATAGGAGTGTTCTTGATGCCATGTAGCGCCCGCTGGGGGAGCAAAAAAGATTATTTCCCTGCTTGTAGAGTCCCTGTCATTGATTTACAATAGACTTTTACATGTGAGGAATTGGACCTGGCGTGCCGCGCAGCTGTAACGGTCAGTCTGAGAAGACCGACTGAAACACCTAAGATCAAGAGAAGAGCGAAAACAAGTGTATAGGGTGCCGTTACTGGCATTGACGAAGCAAGCTGCAAAATGACTACAGCAATGCATAGGTATATGGGTACATTACGTAAGCAGATGGAATGGCCATGCCCATTACAGCAGCGCCGAATACCTCCCAAGTGTGATGCCTTTTTGCTGTTGGATTCTGGATTTCAGGTTCGAGCTTGCAAGCTCGCACCATGTTGCACATGGTCACCAGTCAGGAGGGACTGCCGTGGGCTTGACTGATAAGATGATAAGGAAATCTTATATGATTGTTGTTATCTACTTGATGTAGCAAAATGCAATCCTCCCAACAAAGCTGAGGACGTGCATTACATGCAGGGCAGCATGGGGTTGGCTCAGCAGGTCAGCCTATGCTTGGCTGTATATAAATAACAGTAGACACTGTATGCAATATATAACATTGGACATCTATATACATATGTTCTTGTAGTATAGATGGTAAGCATCTTGAAGGGATCGGAATGCCCAATGCTCAAGCCTGCAGGTTCAATTTCCACCCTGTTGATATGCACAGACACACAACAATCACCAAGGACCAAAAGGAATAAACCTAAACCCCGTGATATGGGTGAAGGCGGTCCGAGACAACTGAAGGGTATTTAATAGTTCGAGGGGGAAAGGAGGAGTAAGATGCCGTAGGGTAGTCCGTAGGAAGACCTAGAAAAATAAAACAAAACCTTGACGCCTGAAACAAACACTAAGGGACGCTCCGGAGTATTTATCTCCGGAAAGTCGCAGACAAAGTCGCAAACCACGGAACCGAGTGTAGGTTCGGGCCCACGGGAGTAGGAAATGCTAGAAAGACTTGTTTAATTTTATTTCGCTATGTGAGACTCACCGGAGCTAATTGAATCGATGTCGGAGATAATTCACTCGACGAGTCAGGCCTATTGGCAAAGCTAGGATCGGTTATAATTCGCTAGGTTCGACGCTTTCAAACTTCTCGGGTCGCTGAGATCATAACGCTAATTCTCTGAGATGGTGAAGTCGAAACTTGTTTTTCTGTACACTACTTTGTACAATTTATACTACAGGAATGGCTTTGCGACCGTCCGGAGATAAATAACAAATAACCGCCGCTACCCACAGGATTGCTCAGCACTTGCCGCCGCTATACCATGCACCACACGACTCCCTTGCACTCCTACTTGCTCGTCCCAACCCCTAGAGGTCGCCTTGATGCTCTGCCACCTGATCCAAGCTGTCCCATCACTCCGTGTGACGCGCCGGTCACGTGCTAATTACCTCCGGCCGCTTGCTGACTGGTGCTGGCCTCATGGTGACTCGTATGCGTCCGCACCTTCGGTATCTTGACGGAAACGAGGGGGAGTGAGTGCTGGAGGGTGGGCATGAGGACGATGCCCCTCGATAGAAGTGCCCACAGCCCCGGAGCTAATTCATCTAGAAGTTGCGTTGGTTAAGTGGCTCCGGAGCTCCTGTTTGCGGAGATAAATCGCGGAATGGGTCCGTGTACGCCTCGAGGATGCTAGGAAGTCTGGAGCTAAATAGAGCAGTTCTTTAGAGCCCATAGAAGCCTAGTGGCGTGTGAGTGCTGTGTCGAATAAGCTCCGGAGGGCTTGTACGATGTGCTGAGTCCGCATTTTCAGGGGTCAGACGATCCTGAGGCTTATCACCATGTGTTTTGGTTGGGCTCCATTGTCTTTTTCCAACAGATTGTCAAGATGCATGCATCACTTGTGAATAAAACTCCTTACTCTTGGGGCTTCAATCTATTTCATCATCACTTAAGATTCACTCCACAGCTTATGCTGACAAGCCTGTAGTTAGTGCAGGAGAAAACCTACGATATCAGTGTGTAAAGAGTCACAGCTGTCGCCTGCTGCACCCCCCTTTTTCATCCCAACGAGATTATAATTCTCAGTACATATCACATAAAATACTCCATATACCTCCCTACCTACTCTACATATATGCATTGTTCTGGTGTCGAGACTCAACTTCAAACGGCCAGAGACCGTGGGAACGCAACATAGGCACTGCACCGACTTGTCTGTGCAGTCACTTCACGATGGCCTCGACCTTCCTTTTACGGGCCGCACATCCTCAACGAGGATTGCATTTCAGCCATTCACTGGGTACATCACCCATATTGAGCATGCACAAAACTTTGAAAATAATCAGTCAAAGGTCAAACTTCTTTCATGATTGTCCATTGCACAGTCAGTGAAACGAATTAGAATAATACTACTTTTGAGTGCGCAAAAATTTGATTGTGACACAGGATATGATCTTTGTTCAACACTGTTCATTGAACTTTCATTTGTTTTGCAAGGCAACACTATGAACAAAATTCGACCTTTGTCCGGTTCCTTTCACACTTTCTCGGTGGCTCAATGTGGCCATTATACCCAGTGATTTGCAGTTCGATGGGCCCACTTTTTCAAAATCATTTGCAGTCAGACCATGTCGGAGAGGGGAAATCAAGTCCCTGAGGTGTCAAAGTCTGACCATCTAGACTTCTTTTCAATGTCCCTGGCACCATCTCCGATGCACTCCGGCCATATGCAACTTTTTAAAGTGGTGGCCTATCGATCTGCAAATGGCTGTTACAGTGCCTTGCATAAGAAACTGAACATCGCAGTTCCGCGCGCGTTGTTTGTTCGCGCCAAATATACCCTTTTCGGGTAGGTCCGGCAGGCCTCTCGCGGGACCGTTTGTTGGGCAGGGACTCGCAGACGCCCCGAGACGGCTCGAAAGGCTTCAGAGAATGCATGAAATGTATATTCTACAACTACACTAAGGGCTGTAAATCATTATACTCTGCCCCCACCTGTATGCCTAGCTACCCTCCCTCTTGATGGGTCTTTGCCGCACATTTGCCGATACCCGAAAAGGGTATATTTGGCGCGGACAAACAACGCGTGCGGAAATGCGATGTTCAGTTTCTTATGCAAGGCACTGTAGTCTCGATGTACTACCGTACGCGCCTTCTGGCAACCGACCGCTCGGGGCAAACGCGCTTGTCTTCCGTTTGCTAGGAATATTCCAACATTTGCAGAACCTACATGAACCGGCATATCTCTCCTACCTTCCACATAAAAACACAAAAAATGGGCAGGAGATTAATTACTAGGTTACACACAATATGCGGAAGATCCAATAAGAATCCGATACTTTTTGCAGAACTCCTCAATGATAGTACCTTTAGGCCAGTAGTCCCGGGGACGAGTTTGGAACACTAGTATGCCGCAATATTCTTGCCGATTTCGCAGAAGAAAAGGCTTCAGCCCTCGGGACGCTATCGCATAGTACGCCTGCGTTACTGCGGCAGAGTGCCAGGCACTTGCCGCAGACGAATCATGATACAGATGGGAATTAAGAGAATATGCTTTGTACAAATCGACGTGGCAATATAATTCAGACCTGTACATTAACACCGCGTCCGAGCCCCTCGACATTTAGACTTGGACGGCCGTGCACCGTTCAGTGCAGTTGAATCTTGAGTGGGCTTAAGATGTATCTTCAAAGCGTAAGGCCGACCTTCGTGAAAGTACTCTTCAGGCTCGAAGAAGTGGGGTCGCAGGTCGAATGGATCATAGCGCGGGTCATAGAAAGGTCGCACTTCAGATGGTACCTCCTTCTCAGGAACGGCTGTAGCCCTCGGAGTAGGAACTGGCAAGTGGTATGCTGGTTCTGGATAGAAGGTCGTGGACTGAGGGCGCGCCGAATGATCCAGGAGTACATTATAGTCGCCTTGCCAGTCCAATATTACATGCCTATGGCCTGTGTTCTTGCCACTGGGATGGTCTTGAGCATCGGCCGTCGCTATTCCAGAGCGTGTCGAAGAGCATACGTGGACGCCGGCCTCTTGAGCGCCAAAGCCAGCCAAAGCGCGCAGTAGCCAGAAACAACTGACCCAAAAGAGGATGGCCACGACACGTTCCCAGAGCCGAAGCCGCGTATCGACTTCCAGACCAGAGACGCTTGACGAGGTTCTATCCGCTACTCGACATTCAGGTTTGTTACGGCAGTGACTCCTTTTTGATTGGCGCACGGATGGCCTGTCGAGACTTGAACGTTGCTCGGGATGGTCAGACTGTAGGATCCTTGGAAGCTCAACCACGACCGGTTCGTATACTGGATTCTCAGCGAGAGGCCGATTTTCCAGAGGGATTACCGGTGGTTTCTTCAACCTGGTAGTCTTTGCCCGGTACGACAGAGGAGACGTTGTTTCACAGTCGAGGGCAGCAGCATTCCTTGCTCGTCCCGGCGTCATCCGATTGTAAGGCCCGAGCGGCATCTTTGCTAGTTGAGTATGCCAGATGGATAGAAGCGGTTGAGCGTCTAGTAGGGCGAGGAAAGGTAACGAAATGTAGCAGGGCAGAAGACAGGAGCGTGAACTTCTCCTTCGGCAGCCAGCTAACCGTGACGCCGTGACGTACGGAAGCAAAACATTTGAAAACATAATAATACATACGTAATTTCGTTTTGGTCGCTCTCAAGTGGGAAGTACTTCCGTGCATATATGAGTACTGACTCTTTCCTATTCTCCCACGAGGACCCGGAAATATTCTGTCTCCCTTTCAAACCAAGCATACAGCGTGGGGTCTACTCTTCTCTGCGATGACTACAGTGCATTGTGGACCTATTCGTGCCATCCTTGCGCTATGTCCGGGTCGCTGGCCAGCTCGAAGTCTTCGGGAGTGCTGTCCATTTAAGACAGTTGCTCGTTTACTAAGTCTTATTTAGGAGGCGCAGTATCAAGCCTACTGTCTGCTCAGGATTTGAAAGAGTGTAGGGAATTGATGCATAGTCATTATGGCGTCAGTGTTAGGTTCAAACCGTCTTGGTTCTCAACCAGGTTGCTACGCTCTTCGCCTCCCCACAGTTCAAAACCTTTGCCTCGATAATCCTTGGGCCAGATACCTGGGGAACAGGTCAGCTTCCGGCGTTCGGGAAAATGACAACATGCCTCATACCTGACCGGCCAGGTTGAAGGATGCCATTAGGGTCTAATGCGTCCTTCAATTGCTCGTTGAACTTCATGATAGCCCCGTTATTCCAGTTATACGTCTTGGCGACTTGGTCCTGTCACACGAGGGCATATGTTCAGCTCAACAGGATCAAGAGACTCTGACGCACCTGAAGTGCTAAATGCGTTCTGTATTCACCGACCCCTATGCTTGCTGCATCCGCGATCAGTGCCCTGATACAAGCCAGGGCCTTCTTCTTCTCGGCGACATCTTTCCGGTTATACATGAATGAGATGACGTCTGTGGCTCATTCAGATAAGCTAGGTACGGGACCGACGGAAGGCTTACGGTGCATCGCGCGCGTCCCTATGAAGAAGGTTCCCAGGTAGTTGAAGCCGTACTGTGAAAGCGAGTAAATACACGCCTCTACTCAGAGTAGCACGATGAGCTGCTCACCTCCTCCATTCTGGCTCTAAACATGTTCGCCTGCCGACCAGCATCTTTGCCGTTGTTGGCCGAGAGGGGAGCAAAGAAGAGGTGCGCAGCGTTGGGGATCCACTTCATTCGATCCAGTTCCCGCCATGTCTGTTCCCTCCGCCTATGTCAGTCGGAAGTTGAAATGGCACCAGTGATCGAGGCTGCTCACGGGAATGCCAGTAGTAAAACGTGCGTAGTTGTGGAGGTAGTGGTTCTCCGGGACATCTTCCCTCTGATAAAACTTGGTGTTCGGGATGCGCCTATGGAATTGTTCTTGGATGTACTGGTACTTGGCGAGTGTTACCTCGTCTGGACCGTACAGAGCCGCATAGAAAACCCATGCTCCGGTATTCAACTCTTCGATGACTTTCTGCGCCGACTCTGGCTTGACGACGCCCCTCTCATCGAGCTCGAAATCGTCTCGGGTTTTATACAGAGAGGCATCCTGAAGCCCCAGGCGCACCATGGGGACATTGCCGATCACCTTGCGGATCATTAGGGGCCGTATCACTTCAATGGCTTCATGGAGATCCGCATATTTCGGGAAAGCAGCCATAAAAACTCTGACGCCACCTGGATTCGGCAAAAGTTCCATGCCCTGCGCAGCGCAACCATCGGCGAGCCTACGTTACTGGTGAACGCTCGGGATCAAGTTGGTGCTTACCATCTTCGTGACAATCCCAAAATTCGACTGAGTGAAGATGCCGTCCTGGTGTCTGGTGCAGGATGTCAGGAGTACACGACGAGAAAAAATCGACAGGGACCCTTCAAAGTCGGGACTTACGGGCCGAATCCATAGCGGAACAACTGCCAGCACTCGGACCCCTCCATGGAGCCCATGCCTGTCCTAATGATCTCCCCTGTAGGAGTTACTACCTCCATGCCAATGTGGTGCGCCCAGTGGTCCCCATAAGCTGGACATAATCAGCGGTTCGTACCCACAACTGCTCGGCCACTTTCCACGCCTTGGACTTACGAGTATATCCAACCCCCCGGTCCAATGCATTGCCCATAACCGATCCCCCGGGCAAGTCTGGCACATCGATCCAAAGGTCGTTCCCCACTTATGACCATGAAGATTTTTAGCTAGCTCCTCCTACCTCGGAAGCGCACATACCTCCGATGCTTTGTAAGTACTCGTACAGCTGATCCGCTGAGGTTCAATAACGAGTCATCGCTGGGTATCCAACCCACTCACGGTGACATATTGGACGCCGGGCTCTATCAGGCACACTGCGTTCTCGACATCCACGTTTAACACCTTATTCATCCGTCTGCCAAGGTCGAGTACAACGGAACCCCGGACACGAGGAGCGGAACCGCCGTATCCCAAATTGCGGCCGATAGCTTCATACAAACATATGGGATGAGTCAGCTCCCCCGGGAGGAATGCGACGTATGTCACGTACATAATGGCCAGATTGGCACCTTCCACTTATTGGCCCATACAACTGTCTTAGATACCTCCTCGGTGTTGGCCGGCCAACAAACAGCCGAGGCCACGAAGTCACCAGGATCAAGAATATGATAGCTGTCGTGCGACAGAGGAACAGCGTGATAATCGCCTGTACGTACCACGAAATCGGCGCGCAGAACCGACATGACTGACCGTCAGAGCCTATATGTCGAAGGTGCGGGTGCAATCTCACCGTCAATCAGAGGTACGTCATTCAGTTTTACCCACTCCTGCCCCAAGATGTTTGCCAAATCGAGCAGGGCCTCCTCCAGTGATTTGGCTGTGTGGCCTGGGGGTACAGCTACCTTTCTCCGATTTTCTGTCGCAAGCCGGAGGGACTCTTCGAACCATGGCGAGGTTTCGTGTTGGTACAAACAGGTTCCGTGCCAAGGAGGGCGTTCTATCTTCTTTGGCCGACCCTCGGGTAAGGCGGTTGAAACGAAGGGTGCCATGGCGGGTCAGCAGCAAGGTTATACTATGCGCCTTCAATGCAATCTGCTCATATAGTCCTACAGAGCGAAGCTGTCGGCCATAACGTGTGAGAACAGGATGAACATTTCCTCGAGACGCGCATTGTCAGGATAGTGTGGGACTTGCGGTCGTATGTTTAGCCCCATGACAATTGTATGGTGTACATTCGTTCATAGAGGACAGACCGAGCCTCTGTAACCTGCCCGGACTTAGAGCGGCGTTGACTCTTTCCAAAGTCACACACTCAAGCCGGTTATAACCACACCTTGAAAGTCGGAGGCACACAACGCCATGTTGTCGATGTCTTCCCTGAGCCACGACAAAGGATAATATCATAAGTTCTCGGCGGAGCTTGCGGGGATAAGCTTCTCACCGAGGAAGTGATAGGTAGCGTTCATACCCTCCAGACATCCTGTCCATGAGCATCCCCCGTTATAATGATAACCAAGCTGTCTTCGCACCAAAGACCAAGTGCTCCTCGGAAGTATTAATTACCTTGATAAAACGACAGTCTGCACCAGACCTCCAGCAGGGATTCCGGATATATGTAGGCGGGTCGAGTCCGAGCTCGTACACAACTAGGAGTCACAAAATAGTGTACCAATGTATATACCCTCGTAAGGACCTAAGTGATCGAGCACGTCACCGTCAGCAATGTTGGGGACAGTTTTGATAGTGCATTGGTCATCGTCGGCATCGTCATCACCTAATAACGCGTTGGTATTCAGTGAAAGAGAGTCCTGAAGGAAAGAGCGCCGCGTACCAGGGCATGAAACCGCATCTCCGGGTGACACGATATGGATTTCTCCGTGGGGATGGGCGAATCCCAAGAAACGACCGGGCACGATCGGAACGATATCTTTCTCGTTATTTACTCGCTTGAAGTTTGGCACCTAACCAGACTCAGAGATCTGCATTGTAATACTTGACTGATATCGATGCTCTCACCTTTGAGTCGAAGAACGCGGCCCATGCGCCGTTGCCGACACGAGGAGTCCCGTAAGTCACAGCTTGAACACTGATGTCCCCCGGCAGGTTTAACACCATGAATAGGGAATCCAGCTCAGCCAGAGCGCCACCCAAAGAGTGTCCGACCTAGTTATCAGGCACATGAGACATGATGCAGTGGGGAACGACGTCCACTTCTTCCGATGCTCACCAGAGTTACACTTTTGGCGTTATTCGCTGAAAGCAGATTCTGAACCTCGGTGAGGATTGTGCCGGCAGTTTTCTTATGTTCGTCGGCAAAGCCGGAATGCACTGTAATGTCGTCAGGGAGCCCAGGGAAGAGTGTGGCGTCGGGCTTCTCCGTTACAATATTGACGTCAGTCAAGTCTGACATTCTGGGACAATGTTCTAGACAGACGATCTCGGATAGCGAAACAATACGCACAATTCCGTGGGGTCCGTCCCTTCATGGGCAACAACGACAGTCTTCTGGTCTGGCCAGTAACCGACGTAGACTTGAATGTTGTCAGCTTGCCGTGTAGTAGGACACCAGTGACAGGGATATTATTCACATAACTGTATCTCATTGCCATCTCCGCCCGTTAAAGTGAGGTTGAAACCCGGAACAGCATCACAGGCCTCTACAGTGAGGAGAGCAATATTAATACGTCGATGTAAGCGGAAGCGCGAAGGGGGGTATGTATGAGTTCACTTGCCTCCGCAGTTCCAGCCTTGCACTTTGTCTGAAGGGCAGTATGCTGCTCTGGCAAATTGTGTGAAAGGCGCGAGGCCAGATAATTCCGACGGTGAAAGGGTAGTCACACGATCCCGCCTGAGTGACTGAGGAGCTGCATGGACAACCGCGCTGGTCAACAGCGCGGCCAAGAAGACCAGGGTATAGGGAAAAGTCTGCATATTATGCTGGAGACCAAGGGTATAACACGCCGTTGGCGGGGTTCACGGTCTCGGAAAATCGGAGAGGAAATGCCACCGACAAACGCATCCTGACAATAGTCCGTGGTATAAATATCGAGCTTGTCTGCAATATCGAGCTTGTCTGCACAGCTCGCACAGCGCGTTTTCGGAGAAGCTGAGAGGATCAAGTGTGTCGCAAGCCCTCGTATCGGCTGGAAGGGTCGCTTACTGCGTACTCGCATGCAACGGTTCCCGCCGCTGTCGAGAGCTGAGCTCTGATTGATTGTCGTTTGCATCAGCGGTCACAAGGGTGACCTTCATCGTTCTGAACTGCGCGGCTGCTGTGGCTTCGAATTCCTGATGCTGATGTCCGCGCTTAATTCATACACACGCATAAGTGTGGGGGTGGGGCATTGTCCTACATAGTACGTATGGAAGTCAGTCCGTTGCGGGGAACGTAGGACCTAAATGTGCTTACGATGATAGTAGACTCACCACAAGTACATGTCAGAGTTCTTGTCGGACTTGGCTGTGGTGAACCGAGCGTACGCACCGGCCCGGCTGTGCCGACGGTCTTAGACTGGAATCGTATCATATCCCCGATTTGTCCAGGGCATTCGGGTCCTCTGGTCAACTTGATCAGACGCACTCTGTTGGACTTGTATCGTCTGAATGATTAGATCTCCCTGTTTTACCCGCATCGACTCATCAAATCACGACTTCGAGCCGCGTTCTCTCGTCTGCAGGGCCTCTGATCACCTGGATAGATCCACGTACGCCTGAAGTGTGTCTCATACCTTAGATCACTATGGCGGTCCGAATTCATCTGAATCCGTGGTTTTACTGGCGTTAGAGCAAAGCGCGGCACATCAGTCTGCTGGTCTCCACTAAGAAATTGATAGGTCTGCGGAACATCTCAGCCGTCGCCTGCTCGAGATCTCGAGCTCCTTTCGCGCCTCGCAACGCTGGACATCTATGTAACTTGGTCCACCACCGGGGCCGGATCCGAGTAGGTCTCGGTATCATTCACCAGTTCTTTGCTTCTGTTGTCCGTCGTAAGTAATGCCGTCGGAGACGCGAGATATCCCGCTTCCTTGGACCGTGCTTCTGCTATGTGATTTGTGATTAGCAAGTTGCTCCCTTTCCCGAGAAGACTAAGAAGTGATATAGTGGAACGTTTATAACTCGCGGTCGTGAGCCCGTCAGATACCCAGAACATTGGCCACCATTCTCAAGCACGCTGTCGCATTGCTGATGTGTGCGTCACTGGCACTGGTCTGGAAGCGTCCTGTCACTCCTGTGAGGTTAAATTGGAATGGCTATCGCGCGAGGTTCGGGCTTCGCCACCCATTTGACAGGAGCCTGAGGAGTCTTGAGCGGATATCATGTCTGTGGCGAGGTTTGGGCGAGGTGTTATCATTGTGGCAAGATTTCGCGCTGAGTCTTGTATCTATCTATGCCAAGCCGCTGAAGCGAAATACAGTAGACTATCTCATAATGCATCACATCATAATGCATAATACCTCCTAGTGCATAGCTGGAGGCCGGAACCATGCTTGTTCCTATGTATCTACGCAAAAAATCTACTACTGCATAATGCATAGCGATTTAATTTCAGGGTGCCAACCACCGACCTGATTATGCATAAGGTAGTTGATAGGTGAGCTTTTGGCATTACATTTGCCCTTTACTAGCCCATTCATGGTGACTTGTAGCCATTCCCAGCCATTTGGGCGTGAAATGATCACCATCCAGTATCTGATGCATGGATAGTGTGACAGGATACCTACAATTGTCACCGCATGTCACGATTTGTGACAATATACAAGTGCATACGACCTCACACTGCATCGCCGGAACCGGGGACCGACCCTATGCATTATGAGATAGTCTACTTGTAATAAATAAATGACGAAATGAAATTACTTAGGCATTGCGATATCGATAACCAGCTGGCCCAGAGACTACCACCGTCCATAGAGCCTCGTATCACCGTCGCGCCTCTTTAATCCACGATAGATGTTGGCACGTAGTGTATAATATAATGAATGTATGACAATGTATGATGCTGCGACCACGTGAATATCTGAATTCAGTCCATTTCTGAATTGATTTTGAATATTGCCGTAAGCAGGGGGGGGGGCGGGAGTTCCCATTACGCTTTCTCGTGGTCCTCGCCCATGTAACTGACAGATTGAACTTATTCCCCCCGCACTGAGCCTTGGAATAGCACGACTACGGGTTCCATCCTCCGCTCAGTGCTCGTTTGGCTCGGTGGCTCATGAAAGATCCTCGGTGGTACTAGAAAATCTGGTTGCAAGGCTTTCTTTGATTAAGGGGTCCCTAAAATTCGGTTCCCGAGCGCAACGTTTGTGAGCAAATTGTATAAGTACTGTTAGGTCTGTAAGAACATTTACCTACCGTCACGAAATGTCGCTGAACCTGCGCCATCCGTTCCCCCTTCACTCGTACCTCGCACAAGACAGTCGGAGGACAAGCTGTCCCGAGACATTTGCGCATGCCCTTCTGACCACCGAATTATACAATTCCCACTTGCTCTCACTCTCACAGTGCGGTATCTTGCTGGACTCCGGGAATCTTTCAGATCCTTCTACCGCTCGATCTGCCCATTCAGTCCCTCGTTCTCTGCCTTCTCTCCACAGTACCTCAGCCTTGGCTCGCCTTTCCTCTTATACACGCGCTGCCCGACCCAACATGTCTGACCTCGACCCCTACATTGCTGCAGAAGTCGATTCACCAGGTGATCCGTGTCGTTCTGAGGTGGGGCTTGCTCAGTCGACATCGCCCACTGTCAGCGGCTCAGAGAGCCTCGATGGTCGCGGAAATTCATCTAGTACGTCAGGGAAAGCCAGAAAGGCACGGCGGGAAAAGCCACATATCGAACTAGCCCCAGGACAGCCGCCCACGACCCAGGGAAAGCCTCGACAGCGCGTTTTCGTCGCCTGCTTACAATGGTATGTGGGTTCCACTCAGGACACGCATGGAGTACGCGGATGCTCATGTTATCGTTCGTTTCTGACACTGTATTCGTACTTCCTTCGATACAGCCGAAGCCGCAAAATCCGCTGTGATGGAGCGAAACCGATTTGCTACAACTGTAATCGTCGCCCTGATTCATTCTTATGCTCGTACGATGCCACTCCCAAACGGCGAGGTCCAGACAGGTTGCAGGGCGCTCGGCAGAGGTCCGCGAAAGGTTCTTCCGTTGAGCCCGCAGATTCCACAAGTCGAGGCCGTCGCCGACGGGTCAGATCGGATTCGGGACCCAGCAAGAGTGTGGCGGAAGGGGATGCGGAGGCTCCTACCTGTGATTTCAGCCGTTTCCCAGCTGAATATCCTCTTTCGGGTGAATATGTCTCAGTTACAGAGGTTCCAACACAAGGATGGGTGTCCCAAAACTTCACTGCTCCTTTCGTAGAAGAACCCCCATATAGCGCTTACCCCTTAACGAGTGATGTACGCTCACCGTCTTCTGAGGACTTATCTGGGACCTCTGACCGGTACAAACTGTCTGGCGAGGTGAGTGTTTGATGGTGCGTTCCTATATGTTTCGCCGTTGATAGTGTCGTAGGGTTCGGCACAGTATGGAGGTCAGGATATCCGTGTCGTCGATTTTCAAAATGCCATCGCAGACTTGATCCCTGTACTTGACGGAAACCCCAGAGAGAAAAGGGGTGGCCGTCTGCCGAACGAGGAAGTGCTCGCTGTCAGCATTGCTGCTGAACCGTCCTTATGTTTTGCTCGCAAAACTTGGTGGGATTCCTTGCTGACATTCTACTCCGATGTCGATCTTACTTCCGACAATCGATCGCTCACGCTTACTGTGCACCAACGGGAATTAGGCATGCGTCGCATCACCTCCGACCTTCGAGCTCTTTTCCGGATCTCGAACTACTGGTTCGCATTCTTTAACGTACCACGTTTCCTCAACGACTTCTTTGACACAAGGCGGAGAGAGAACATGCAGCCCAGTCTGGTTTTGGCCGCCTTGGCAGTCGTCACCTTCCTGCATAGTTCGGAAGTTGAAGAAGGCGAAGCGGGTAGATTGAAAGCCATGAAGCTCAGAGACGAAGCCCAAGCAGCCCTGGAAGCCAGTTTGAATGCAAGGTGGATAGACAGTTCGTTAGCGCAAGCGGCTTGGGTGAGTATGTGGTACTTGAATGTCGCTCTTTGTCTGAAGTCTTTCAGTTACTAGCATTCTTTGAAGTCTGCAGCCATCGACATCATTCTAGCGCGCGGGTTGCCTCGGCACTGTTTCTGTTAGACGGCATCATACGCAGTCTGTACCTGACACTCCTTGACGCGGACGATCCGCAAGCATCGCTGCTGCACGCTAGTTACGACAGAAGTCGCCCGAGGTTGCTAGGCCAGCCGACTTGGGGAAGTAGCCCCAGTTCCGGCTCCGAGGTAGTCTCCTCCCTTGGTCCTGCTCAGAACGCTACATCGTACGATATGATGCCATACACTTCCCTGGGAGAGGCTGTGTCTCCCGGGTGCACCTGCGCTTCCATGTCTCTAGGAAACACTTGGTCAGCAGCAAAAGAATACACCCCCCTCTGGTTATCTACCCCTGCTTGGGACGATACATGGTCAGAAGCTGAAATCAAGAAGGAGGAATGCCGCAGGCTCTGCTGGAGCACGCTATTCCTAGCCTGTGGTCACAGTAACTACGCGTGGGCCCACAGAGAACGAGGACTGAACCTATTTGTCGTTGATCCCGCGAACGTGAGTGCAACTCCTACCTTCGTCCTACGAGTATTCATTTTAAGCCACGTAGTATGCGTTACTCACCCCAGGAGAGTCGTTGACTCGATCACCTTGCTTCGCGCCTCTACGCCCGGGCGTAGAGTCCATATGGGCGCTATATTCCCGGATCATGCTATTATGGAGCAGCTGCCTCCGGATGCGCTGCGATGAAACCGCGGATAATACACAGAAGGCACATTTCGCCGTGAAAGCCTGGTTATTTGCAGATTCCATCGAAGAGATGTTGGACAAGCATACCTGTAATATAGAACGATCATTCATGTTTCTAAGCCGAGAATATCTGTTCAAGTAAGTTCGGATATGTCACATATAATCCGGGAACATGCTCAGCTCTGGTCTCTTAGCATACGCATGTGCATTTCCCATGAGTATCAGCAGTTCATTCCACAGGCAGCTGCGTGAGTCCCATCTCCGGTAGTTCGACGGGACTCACATTGGAGAATATATTGCAGAGATTTCAATGGCATCTTCCACAGACGGAAGGCTGACGAGTGGTGTAAGATAAATCTTCCCGACTACGCCATAAGCTCTAACATTCGATACAGTGCGATATCAGACAACCGTCGCCCAGCGAGTGATGCAGGGACTGAATAAGGTGACCGGTCAAGCTGCCAATGTACTGGCGAAGCGACCTCTATTTGTCTTCCATTTTATGGCCCAGGTATCCAGGTTAGTACCTGTAAGCTGTGGCATGACATCACGTCATATATTAATGTCCATGTCTCCGACGTACAGGACACTATCCCTGTGGGCTCGGGACAACACGTACGTGGAAGCTTTGGAGGTCTCGAAGGCACTTTTGCCACCGATTGATTACCTATCGGCTCTATGGCCATGCCCAGGTATGCGAATAATGTCACCGCTTGACAATTCCTGAACTTCGGACTCGTGCAGAGCAACGATCTCGGTATGAGCGTCTGAGGGCCGAACTCAATGAAGCCTGCTACATTGCGGGGATAACGCCGCCGCCGCCGCCGAACTTCAGGCTGCCTTCGTTAGAAGATCCTAACTCTATCATATAGCGTCGGACTCGAACTCTCTCGCCCGTCGCATAATTCGATAGTTTCTTGCTCTATCGCAATATGTATTGATATATAGTGGCACTGTATTATATACCTGTTGTTTAGGTAGTCCTCTTGACTAACTCTCGTTCGAGGCGATCCAAGTGCTCCCGACACGCCTTCCCATTAAGGCATTGTGGCGGGTTGTGGCTAGATGCCGCGTGCCGTATATGAGCACTGTACTTAACCGCCTTAACTTAACGGTTATCTGGACTACTTGCATAGCGAGCGTCGGCATTGACTCGTCGGAGTCTCTGTACCCTCTACGTACGAGACCATGGCCCACCAAGTGTCTGCAGGCTCTACCTCGTCTGGCTTGGAACAAAGTCTCGTCTGTGCCACCGTGAAACGCAGAGCTTCTCCGTCCTTCGAAGATTGCGAAGAAGGCTCTAGCAGAAAGAGACTGAAGGAAGACAAGCATCGTGGTGTAGATGAATGCAACGAACGCTGCGTCCGTATGGACGCAGAGCAAATCATAGATGAAATGGAACAGGAGCTGCAGTGCGGATGCTGCTCGGGTCTGGTATACCGGCCTGTCATCGTCAGTCCCTGCCAACATTTCTTCTGTGGAAGGTACGTATGAGTGAAAATCACGCGATGCTGGCGTCGCTGATGTCTGTATGTGCTTTAAGCTGCTGTATGTTGTGGATTCGGGTGAGTGATCACACTGGACGAGTAATGCTTTGTTGATTGAGGCGAACCATAGAACGGCGGAACGAACTGCCCCGTTTGCCGTGGTATTTCAGGTTCCGTTACCCCTTCGCGTGCTATTCAGCGCATGGTCGATCTTCTCCTGAAAGCCGCGCCACACAAAGCCCGTCCCGAGCGAGAACGCCAGCAAGCAGATGAAGTCTATACCGCTGGATCTATGAGGGTTGGTACATTCCATCATTGCAAAGCGTCCGGAATTAACGGGGAGCAGATTCCATTGCCTAGAGAGCCTTCTCCGGAGCCCACGATACATCAGAATACTGATCTGGCGCGTCCCTGCCCTCACTGCGACCCTGCAAATCCATGGGGCTGGAGATGTCCTCAGCCTATCCCGGATCCAGTTGCTGACTTGGACCATGCGTGGCACCTGGATGATGGCGCCCCACCGGGTCATGCATACTGTGGCAATTGGTAGGTTACTTCGCAACTTCTATGGGGGCCTAAAGTTAAGTTATGGACAAACAGCGAGAACCTCATGGCCCTCAATGCGCCCACCAGTACCAAATGTGATCTATGCCAGGTTTCATTTTGTGGCATTGGCGTTCAAGGTCGCTGTGTTGCTGCACCGTTGCTCTCTCAGCACCCACATGGAATGTCTGAAATTGGCGATCTCATCATGTCGTCGGAGGTGTATGAATGCTTCGACAGTAATACGGTCGAAGTCGACATCATGATAGACTACCTCACTGCACACAGACTGACCCCTCGTCATATTTATCGAGAGGTATGTTCTAATTGTCCTAGCGTCGGTGTTTAGGCGCCTTTCTGAGCTGACAGCCTCCACGTAGATTGTCGGACATCTGCAGGGACAGCCGAGAGGCTTCGCCCCCCTGATAGAATTGGAACTTTTCTCCGACGTACACGGCGTGGTTGCAGGTACTGACCCTGATCCCACTGCTCCTCGGAGTCGCATATGTAGACTATGCGCCACGGAGGTACTTCTCTGGGGTTTGCGCGACTGGTGGATTAGAGAAAGGCAAAAGGGGCTATTAGACGAGAGTATAGTCAAGAGGATGGACTGCCCTGATGGCAGTGGTTGCCAGAAACAGAAGGATCTTGGTATGTTGATTCTGCCTAGGAAGACTTGGCCTGTTACTCACTGGTCCGACTGAGCAGCGCATGCTAGGGAATGTAAGTCCCTTGCTATCTCTATATTGATCATGTTTCAATTTGACTTCAGTCAATCACGTTATGGCGAGTCCTGGTATTGTCCAGGATCTGCAATCCGGAGGACAACGGGACGTGCAGGTGTCAATACAATCGTCAACGTACAGCGCGGACCCCTCCTCATGCCTCAGCGCTGTTAATCGAGGGTTCACGACGTCTCACACCGATGATGAAGCGCGAGTTGCTAGGGAAGCAGTGGCTAACAACGTTGCTCAGTCGGACAGCAACACTGCATGGTCAGCAGATGTTATAATCTCTCAGTAACTATGATTCCTGTCTCTACTGTTCCTCGTCCTAAGCATTTCATTCCCTTGTAATTTTGACGTACCATGTATTCTATCGTTTCTCACGCAATAGGATTCCTTCAGAATAAATGTTCGCCTTCCCCCAGCCTCTGCAAGAAAGCAGTATCCACCGACAGGCGCTGGTATAAACATCCTCGTACAAACGATGGTGATGTATGCTCATTACTCCTAAAGCAGAGACAATATATACTAATGCACAACGGAAGCAATCAAATGAATGGGAGCAGTTAGTGGACAGAATCAAGTGAGCTGAAGAGGTAGCACCGATATCATAGAACCATAGATCATAGCAAATGTTACATCCACACCATACCGCCGTACATGACAGCGTCTTTCTTGTCTCGACTCCCGTTCGAATGCACAGACTGTTTCTCTTGTTCCGCCTTCCTGTCAGCAGCGCGCTTCTTTAGTTGTAGAGCTAGTTGCTCCGTTCGTTCTTTGGCCTCCTGTTTCTTGCGCCGCTTTTCTTCCGCCTTGCGAGCTTTGGCATCATTAACGCGGTCCTTGGTAATAGCCTCCTTGCCCCCGGGAAGAATAGAGCGCACGCTCGAGGAGCCCTTTTCAGCCTTGGATGTCGACAAGAAGCGCAGACTGCCGCCCGAAAATCGGGGAGAAGGGGAGACTGTTCGGGAGGACGAAGGGGTGGGGGATGATCCCCAGCGCGACGTACTTTCTGAGTGCCTCGAGTTGTCCAAGTTGGGCATGCTCTGCTTATGCTTCGGTTGTAACCCTTGTGAAGAGCGCAATGGGTTCTCCATGAGGGTCACGTCCGATCTAGCAGAAACGGGTGCTGCGATATCCAGGGTGAGAATCCGTCTCTGCGAAGGCTCTACGGGGGCGAAAGAAATCGCCGTCAGACTTTCCTCCGAGCTGCTGGATAGCCTTCGGGGATCCTCATCTTCGAACGCCTTCTCAGGAATGGCAGCGAGCTGCTCCGCCGACGGGAAGGGCAGTGGACTCGCGGGAGGAGAATGGACGTGATGGGAAGAGGACAGCGAAGACCTGCTGGGAGTTCCGGGAAGGCTGCTCGAAGTAGAGCTCATGGAAGTCCTCGTTGTTAGAGACGGCAGATCACTCTCGCTGGTTGTGTAAATACGCCGGGGACGAGGAAGGTGGAAAGCCGGGTACGCGCTCTGATTAATAGCCAAGTGCGCACGGTCTCCAAATTCATCAGCGGAAGATCGTTCGGCATCTAAGTCGATGCCCGACTCTACAGAGTAGATGGACGTTGCCCTTGAAGAGGGCGGCCTAACAGCGGATAACGCCGCTTTCATTGAAAGGGACGAGATCCGCCTACTTCTGTCGTGATCTCCAGGGAGCGGCGTATCGATTTCTGAATCCGTCGAGTCCTCCATGACCGGAGTCAAATCACGGGGCTCCTGGATGAACGAAGCCCGCGTATCAACCACCACAGGAGACAAGAGTTCAGCCACAGCACATATTTCATTGTCCGTAGAGATCGAAACTGCGCTATTGGACCGGGAGTGACTGCCATTTATCGGGCTTGTTAGTAGCAAAGGTGGTGGAGCAACCTTCCTGTCAAGCATCCGGCGAGGTGGAGATAGCAGCAAGTGTTCCTCAATCATAGAGTCAGGCCTCTCTAGAAAAGCGGCTATATCTAGAACACGATAAATATCACAGACACCACGTGTCGACCGACCTCACGTACCGTCAGGCATATTTGAAGGCCTCAGCATGCCAGAGGAATTTCCAGAAGAGACGCTACGAGAGAATGCGTCTGACATTCCCCGCGGTCTAGCGGCAGATGGCATTTCACCTAACGGGCCACCACCTGGACCCGACGGACCAGGACCATCGAAGCGACTACCACCACCACCGCCGCTACCACCGCCACCTCCAGGGCCACCAGGACCGCTACCGCCATCTTTGTCTGGCCGAGAACGAACTGCAGGTCGCTTTTGACTATATGACTATATGGATGACCGTCAGCAGACAAAAGCTACGGTTCCCAATTCCAGCTTACCATGACAGTCTTGAGAGCTCTGTTAAAAAGATTGAGTATTGATTTCACAAGTACAGAATGCCTGGACTCACCGAATCTGCAGACTCCGGCAACTGCAAAGGGTGGCAACCTCATAAACCCCCACGGAAGTCGAGTTCGATAAAGCTCGATGCATCGCATGCCTCACCAGCTCTTCGAGATGATGGAGCTTGTAGGTGCTCGCCAGCACCAGCAGTTGGCTCAGCACAGCGGGAGCGTGCTGTAATGGCGTTATCAAGGACAGAGTATAGAAGTACTGCACGAAGGCCAGGGCTATGGGGTATGGTTCCGATAAGTTGAACGAGCGGGGGGTTAAGCGTGGATCAGGCTTCGGGTCCTCCGTTCCCGAAGCACCGGGTATATCTGGGAGACTGACGTGCTGCGAATTTTGCGGGAGCGTGTTCAACGTTCGCTGGGCTGCAGCAAGGAATTTCCTTCTCTGTTCTTTCATCCACGGCCAGCGTTCCTCCAAGACTTTGCGAGAGCACTCAATCCGACGCCCATCATCACATATAATTTCGAAGTCCGCCAGGACCCCTTCTTCCAAAGCCGCTAATCCAAGCTCCTGCTGGGGTATATCTATGAGAAGCCTTGGCGGCTGATAAATTCCAAACGCCTCGAGATCGATACAAGCGACGTGGTCCCAGCTCAGCAGTCTTCGATTGTAATCCTCGACAAGATTCCCGTACCGATTACCGAAAATTAAGAATTTATTGGCCTCCGGCCAGAGGCAGCCACGGAACCATGAGCCCGTCGCCAGAGCACTACCGGGGTCGATACGAGACCACTGCATAGTTTGTAGATCGAGCGCCCAGACAGAGAAGGATTGATAGGTATGCGCGAGGTAAGTGCCGGCGATGATCAGGTGAGTACCCAGAATAGCACCAGTAGGGAAGCGCAGGCCTGGCGGGAACGATGTGCCTTGCATAGCATTTGAGCGGTCGGTGATATTGAACTTCTGACCTGGGAGGGGAGTAAACACCTCGAGTTCGCGCTTGACATCTGTGAACTGGAAAGGGGCGCGTGATGAGCATCACGGACTGGAGATGTCAATTATTACGCGACGTACGTTATAATTGCTGTACAGGTATATGTCACTGGGGTACTCATCCGTAGGGACAGTGGAATAAGGGAGGTGGACGAGGGAATCACAATGCGTGAATTTGTCAGGGGTCGGCGGCAATCTTTCGTACTGGAACTTGGTGCCTGGGGGCGACCTACTTCGGACCTCATCTCCGGGAATCCGGACGCGAAGATTGGAAGCAACGGCGACGCTGCGGTAGGTCCCGCAGTGTCTGGGATAGTCTCGCCGCTGTATCCACGCCTTGGCCTTTAAATCATATATGTGCACGTCGTCGAGCCAGACATTTGCCAAGTCTTGTCCTCCGATGATGAACAGTCTATCCGAAGTAACCGAAGAAAGATGTGCATAGCGAGCCTTGGGAATGAGATTTTCGGAGGCAGCGGTGACAGACGGAGACGACCAGCGCCTTGAGGACAGATCGAAGAACCGAACGTCATTCAGCACACAAAGGTCCTCAGGATTGTCAGAGTCCGGGCTGATGCCCATTCCCCCGAAAATGATCAAACTGTTATTCCCTAGATAACGTACGTCAGACGACCCAGATATTAATGAACAGGAACCGAATACATACAAGCATCCGCACTATGGAAGTATCGTGCTGGGGGAAGCCCATCGTCTGGGTATGGAGCGATCTTCTCCCAAACAAAGGTCTCGAGATCAAACACGTATAGATCTGCGACCATCCGCCGCTCCGTCACGAGTCGACCGCCCTGCACAAGTCATTTCAACGGTCCGTTCCCGACGGGGAACGCAGACAGACTTACAAACAGGTACATCTTTGACCCTACAACCGTTGTGGACGCCCCCTACCATGAACCGAACAGAACTAAGCTCGGTCGTTCCTGTGCCAACCGAAAAGTGTGCGTACCACAAGTTTTGGGGGGACATCGCCAGTGGTTTTGCGACAGAAAGTGGTCAAGTCGGATATCGAATGCATGGCGGCCAACGCGCGCCCCGACGGCGGAGGGGGGAAATCTAGGAGAGGGAACGGGCGGGACAGCGAGCGACACGGGTGGGACTTGGTGTGCTTGATGCTGGTATATTTCGGAGTTCGAAATCACCATCTTGAGAAGCAAATCTTGTATATGAGATCTGGGTACCTAAACGATTTGCAAATTCCACTTTGTGCTCGATGGCCGACTTCAAATTTGGTTGGCAAACTTTGGCAAACCGGCTACCTTTCCCTCCGACATGCCATCTCAGTGGGTTCAACCGTGCACCTTCTCGTTCAGGAGATATTTGCTGCCTCACGAACATCACCTTACCGCTACCACGCTGGCGCCCCCATGCATGAGATATTTGGGCGGAATTCTCGAATCACGCAGAAGTGATCAGAAGTATTTAGTGTGGCAACTCATGCGCTGGAGGGGCTCCCATTGACACATAAATACGACTCGGATATCATTCCAAGCCCACTATCAGCCCCCGACTGGTGCTAGTGGCCGGCTGGGGTTCTCTGGAAAACACAATTCCAGCTCGTTCTCGTGCATCACTCCGGTAAGGACGCAAACGAGCAAGCCGACCCAAGGTCGTGATCCTCGTGCTCCCGAACTTCCTCGCGGAGTCTGCCGCAAAAGGCTGCTTCTTTAGATAGAAGGCGTCTCCACTGATCGCCAGAACGACATCGCAGGAAAGCTGTGCTGAACACTTCCTTACATCATGCTGGTGGTCCACGTACATATGCATACGAGCGACGGGAATACACGGAGCACGTTGCAAACAATTCGGACATGTGCAAGCCTTTAAGGTTGTCTATACCTCAACCACGGGCGCGCTAGACCACATAGTTCGTGAGAACTACACAACGCTGAATGGAGAAGGTACATGTATGTATGGGAAAAAAAGATCTTGCAGGGGAACTGAATATATCCCCTGTCGAAACTATCCACGCTCGCCGCGGTAAGCAAGACTATCACGCCCAACTTGAATTCACATAGAAGAGGAAGTAGTTGTCGGATAGCAGACGATACAGCTGCTTGCTGTATGGCAGTGTCTGCGCAGTCCTGATAAGATCCTAGGTACGGGAGTCCGACATGACCTTTTCCAGACGGTTCCGGAGCGTCGATCGAAGCGCTTGCATTCGACTCGCATGCCAGTGTGGCCGAAGTCTAATGATCGGCAGGCATGGTACTGAGTGGTGGTGGCGCGGAAGGGAGTCTACCACACCGTAACTTACAGTACTCTGTGGTCCATAACCCGCACGACCCAAGGACCCAGTGTAAACGTCCGGTTGCAGTGCAGTCGTGCAATCGCGCTTAACCATCCAGACGCTGATCGACAGATCTACAAACGCGTCAGATGCGGGGGAGGGATTGTTCCTGGTCGTCCACGATCGTCTCGTTCCTGCTTGACTAGAGGGCACCGGCTACTACTACTTGCGTATCTACATACAAAGTATATAGCTGGGCACCCCTATCTCTACCCTCCCGGGTAATGTGTTGGGGCCACCGCGAGTGAGTCCTGCGAGGAATTCTAAACCTACAGACGGGACCAAGAAATGGGAAGTATCATCCGCTTGAAATTTTAGACGTCGGTACGCTGATGCTGTCGAGCCAGATCATGCCACGAATTGGCCGTCCAGTAAATCCTTTGGGATCCCAAGACGTAGGGTCACAATTATCGCCTTATCTCGCACGTTATGTCTAACTCCAGTGCAAGCCATCACCGCAACTTACATACACATTGCAAGCCGGGAAGCGAGAATTGCAACGAATGTGAACACGTACGCAATCGGGCGACGAAAATGTTCTAAGCACAACGAATCCACGCTGGCCGCGCTGGTATGATATTATTTATGTACATGGCCCTGGGATCAGTAGGTGTGTCTTGAAATAGGCTGTAGCAAGGTTGTGCTACCCTGCCACTGTACTATTAGGATGTAACACCGCCCGGCTAACCCGCCCGCTCTCAGGCTACTAGTCAAGCGACTCAAGCTTCAGACTTGTGCTACTTCATACTCTAGTTCATGACTCGGAGCCCCATCCTTTATTCTATGTAGCAAAGCTCTGCACACAGACATCACACCATATTGCAATGCTGTTGTCGGAAGAGCTGTCAGAATTAGGAGAGAACATTTTCATCTACCTGAAATTTTGTGAGTTTGACTGGTAATAATGAATTTCTACTCAGGTCAGAAGTACTCAGGTGGCAAGCTCAATCAATTTCATATTGAATGGTGACAATCACTCTTTATTTAGGAATGCAAGATATTATACACCATAGTGAAGTGTACTGCCCTCCTGCAATACATTATTGAACTGGGCATCACAGAGTATGTCCTCAGAAATGGAGACTTATTCCGCTGGCTTTACGCTTTTCCTTCCTTATTAGGCAGGTGGGGATCGGCGGTTTCCAGGTATTCCCACGCCTCGCGCGACGCGTCGACGCGTCGCCTGTCCCGCTCGTTCCCCGGCGCTGCACCTCCCCGGGGGTGCTTTTGCTCTCCTGCAGTAGATAGAAGTTGATGTATATTACCAAAATGCGCGGAACTACGGATAATGTACTCAAAAAATCGTTTTATGTAGTCAGTTTAGCCCCCAAGAGCCGGGGAGGCATCCCGCAGGTGCAAAAGCACTCAGTTTACAGCATAAGTGCGCGAAAACGCGGCATAAGCAGCGTAAAGCGTTTATTTCGGTGGATTTACGCCGATTTACATGATTTACGGCCACGTGATGCATGGATTTACGGGCACGTCACGCCCTCCGTACAATCACATCAAGCCGCCGCCGCTTCGCGCGGCGTTCCCGAGCGCTTCTCCCCATCAAACCCCGAGAGCTTTGGCGCCCTTGTCGGGATACTCATTTCGGGACCCCAGGACGCGTGGCGTGTAATTAGAACGCGTCTGACGCGTCGAGGACCTTTGTGCTCCTCCTCAAATAGCACTATTTATCGTATTTAGAGCCTTTGTATCTAGTAAGAATAATATGTACAGTATACCGCTTGTGTTCAGCATGAATCTGGCACTACTCGGGACCTTTTAATGCAGTGGGACTTAGAATTTTCGCGCTCTACCCGCTACCTTGGGCCATCAGCCACCCGGGTCACGGTAGGGTTGATTTACGTGGATTTACAGTACCTCACGTAAACTAAGCCAAATATCTCATGTAAACTTACTACAGAACATCTCAATAGCCTTTGACAATACCAGGAAGCCCAGAAAGACCCAGGAATCAAGGGGAAGGAGATAAATGGGCTGGAGAAAACCCCAGAACAACTGTCATCAGTGCCTTCCATGACACGTGATATTCAAGATAATATTCTCTTAGTGAAGCAGTGGAGAACTCTGAGCCAGAACACTCAGGCAGCAGCTTGCTTCAATTCCGTAGAAGTGTTACTCCTTAAAGCTAGGAATAGAGTCTTTCCTTCACAGATTCTGAACCTTGACAAGTTTACGAGTCCTGAGTTTACAAAGGATGAGTCCTTACCCGCAAAATTGGGTGCGTGCTGAACGTTGTACCCGTGGGAATCAGCGTTGCCGAGAATGCGTGCGACTTCTGTGCTGTAGTCTTGAATACAAAGTTCAATGTCGGCTTTACCGCCCACTTGTATTTGTGACTACAAAAAGACTACAAAATCGGATTTGTAGTGTCTGTTTGCAATCATAGTGTATTTTCGTCCTGGGTTTTTCATGCATTTCCGTGGTTTCTTCTACGAAGAAATGTTTTTGGGTTATCCGTCTACTTGAATATTTTGAACATTTAATCGTATCTCCTTGCTTTACTGCTTGCTCTTTGTTGTGTGTGGCATATTGTTACCGAGGGAATTGACTCCGGTGGCTGTTTGTAGTCGGTGGCTGAGGTGCCGCGCCGGTTGGGATCTCTGGCTTCTCATTGGCTCCTGCTTACTATGACATACAGGCATCAACAGTGATGGGCTAACCCCGGTCAAACCCTCGTCAAACCCGGTCAAGGGGGTTTGACCGGGTCAAGCTTGACTCCGGTCAAGGTAAAGGCGTGAATGTCACGTGCCGCACTGCCACTCTGCCATTTAGGTGGCATATGCACTCGTGCAGGAGATTCACATTGTCAAGCATTCATAGATACATATTTAGTGTACTTTGCCTCAGAGAAGCAGAGCTATCGACTAAGGACGTTATCTCTCTGTGCAGTTTCATGCCTGAGCCAATGCCACACTCACTGCCGGTTGAGCGCCGGCACGGAGTTTGCCGACCGTCCTTGCTTTACCCTATGACGTCATGTCTATAACCTCATCATTCTTTCACCGTATAAGGTAACATTTTGTCATGTGGTGTCATGCACAAGTCACGATTTGCCTCGCTTGACCCGGTCAAACCCCGGGTTTGACCGTCGTTGGTCAAACCTTTGGTCAAAAGTCAAGGGGTTAAGGCTTAACCCGCCCATCACTGGGCATCAACCAGTCCTTTACACACTTAGTTTTGCAGATTCCTGCTAGCTGTAGAGCAAGGATAGGCCATAATAGTGTTCAGTACTGTAGTATGGTTCTCAAAAACATATCCCAGCATGTCTTTCACTTGATAGTGCTGCTTTGGGTTGAGATACTAAAGTCGACATATTGGTAGCTGGGACCCCGGAAGCTGCCCGAGTCCTTTACGCACTGCAAATCTTGTTCCAGTGCAAGTTCTACTCATCCCATGTATTATCTGTTTAGGAGTATGATATACCTATATTATACAAACATTTTGAGATACTGAAGTTGCAGAAAAACCCAAAACTGAATGAACCCAGGACGACATAGATTTCAGCGTGTAAAGGACCGGTCGAAGCCTGTACCTTGACTGCAGAAAGTGCATTTCTGTAGTTGAGTGATGTCATAGTTGCCCACTTGCTCATTAGTCTAGTACTTGCAGCAGTTGAAGCATTTCAACTTGATGGGCTGTGCTTCCTATTAATCCAATCATTATTGGTACATACACATTGATCTTATGTTGGCTAAAAGAGGTTCTTGAATGTTGCAGTTGTGCTCTGAAAGAATACGCTGACTGCTGAATAGTTTGATAGATTGTTACTGTGGGAGTTAGCCTCAACGTTGATTGTTTTTCACACACATAGTCTGAGTCTATGTGTGGGTGGCAGGGACAATGATACAATCTCTTTGGTCACAGGCATCTTGGGCCTGTGTTTCTCAATCTCTGCTGCCTCTGAAACCCTGATTTCTTCCACTCAGTGGTCTCTATATGTCCCCTTGAGAAACTGAAGCGGGTACATGCGTAATATATATTTCGTTTCTGCTCCCAGCTGCTTGGAGTACTGTTTGGGTACCCTTTCTGATGACTGTCCTTCAGCTTGGTTCGGGAAAATGAGTGTGAGAGAGCTGCCAATAAGGTTGGGCACAGGTGGCAGGTGCCACCGCAGTATTCAACCCGAGGGTTGCTTGGGTGCGGGTACGGTGTGTGGACTGCCCACACTGCGCTATACTGTGACCCGCGACGCTGGGTATATGGGTCCGCGGTTCTTGCAGATGGGTCGTGTTTATCACCCAAAATGGTAAAATTTGTACTTATAAATTGACTTATTGGCATATTACAGAGTGTATGGCGGCTGTTACCAGCCTCGAGAGTGCAATAGACAGGGAGCCGGCTCTATCAGTAAGCCATTTCCCGCACCTTTGTACTGGTGGCAAGTGGCACTCGGGCATCGGCCAACGACCCGCGGTCTTGATGGCAGGTTTTGTACCTGCACCCACTGAGGGTACGGAGTACGCGGGTGCCGGTACAGTGTCGCTCTGACCACCCGCGGTGTGACCCGTGCCCAACACTAGCTGCCAATCGAAGATTGGCAGTGGACAAACACTCTGGTTGTGGTAGGATGCTACCTGGAGTCTGCAGGTATTATTGACTATCTCTTCCACTGGGAACAAAAGACCTGTGTCACAGAGCTGCCAATCAAAGATTGGCAGCAGAGGAGAACTTTGATCTATGTTACTTGTGTCTAGTAGTGCAGCTGCTACTATCCCTTGGGCTGGGTACAAATACAATTTTGTAGTCTTTTTGTAGCCACCAATACAGACCGACTTTTGATCTGTCAGAGCGGCAGGGACTTTTATGGTATAATGATGGCAGAGCCACAGGAGGACAAAGTATGAATGAAGGGGACATTGCAAATACAGATCTAAGGGATTTTGATATGTGCATAAGAAAGAGTACTGTATACATCAATTGGAACATTTATACACCCAATGCTATCACTTATCAGACACAACTCAGGACTCGTGTCCTGCCATGCATAGCAATGGCCCTCTACTGACAGGTACATCTTGGGTCCCCTGACACACAACAGACCCGAAGACCAACACAAACAACCAACACACCCACCAGCATGTGGATGCGGTCTAGGAGCACTGGAGGGTAATATAAAGTTCAAGGGGAGTAAGATGGTCCACAGATGGAAATCTGTAATAAAAGATCTCGAGGCCTGTAAACAAAAGTAAAGCCTCCCACCCTGGTAGTGCAGCCCACCAGCACTGACTAGGTCAGCCCCGGGCTGCCAGATCCGAATCCTGCAGAAAATGCCTACTGAGCATGGAGGTACATTGCTGTATGATAGCCAAGGCCAGGAAACTTTTTCTGAGTGCATAGGACAAGAGGGGTGCAAGATCCGGATTGGGAACACCCACCTCTTTCTTCCCACGGTGACACCTACGTGCAAGCCCTCTGGAGGTACAGGACCACGGAATTTCACCTTCTTGACATGCATGAGATGGTCTATTATCAATGTATCTGGACCTTTCTGTCTCTTCAGTTTCTCCAGAAAGTGTCTACGGCGAGAGCGGTGGCCTTGATAAAATCACGGCAAATGCCGGGCAATGTTCAAGCTGGCACTTCGCCACCGCCGACTTCTTACACCCATAACTCGCTCAGGCAACGCTCAGGAGGCAAAAGTCAGAGGATCGATTATACTAAACCCTCCTCTGAACTGCTTTCGTAAATTACTAACATGTGATTAGTTTTGCGGTAGGTGCAGCCGATGTCGAGCTCTCAGGCAAACAGCATGAAAAAGGAGGTCACTGGCAGTGTCCAGGGTTAGAGTTTTGCACCCCCCTTGACGTAGGAGTCCTGCCAGTGCCGCATCGTTGTTAGCGCTAGTGAGAACTAGTGAGAAGCCTTTCCCGAAGGTACCTTTAGGCACGTACCAGTCAAGTCATTTAACTGCTAGTGATTGGGCAGTGATGAGATCAATCGACCACGCGCGTGGCTATGGTTGGCCCGAGACTACCAGGGTGTTGTTGTACGGAATATTCATTGACGTTGTGGATGGTGTCACGAACTTTTACCATCTCTCACCTCCTGGCGGTAGGCGTCGAATCATGGTTTCAATGACATTGATACGAATCAACCCAGTGTTTCGTTGCTGGGAGGTCGCGAGATTTGAATTGTAATGGAGGATGCGTTCGGACTAGTTGTGCCCCGGATGACGACTGACGAATGCGCTTCAGTGAGAACGCGAGCGCAGCCGCATATTCCTTGGTAGACAGTCCCGACAACTCGCTACGTGTTCCTTCATGAACCCTTGGTTGTATATCTCTGGTCTCGATGATAACTGTGATGGCTTCCTCAAAATTCCTGGACAGCCCTGACCCTTGCGTCGAAGACATATCTCTCTGGTACTAGATGGGCGTGAATGAGTATTCATCGCCATCAACGCTTTGCTTACCTGGCACTGCGCCGTCACTGTCTGAGCGCTTGGAATTCGTCTACGGGAATATCTTCGTAGTTCATCAGTTCCCAGCCTCGTTCTTGCCTCAGTCTCTCCAGCGTCGCTTCCAATTCCCGTACAGCCTCGTCGGGGGCCGTTTCCTGGCCTTGCGATATGATATCGAGAAAGGAGGGGAGACCGTGTATTTCCCAAGTGAGTGCAGAGCCGTCGTCTACGTGACGGACATCGTGCGGCTGGATGGGGTCGGTATGGGGCCTATGACCGCCTTCCAGAGACGGGCGAAGTCTGATGAAGCCCCAGGTCTTCCGCGCCCGAGCCGTGTCATCCTTCAAGAGAAACATCCAACCCTCTCCATCGAATACGGCCCCCGAGAACGCAGGGATACATACGAGGCTCCTTTCATTCCAGCTTTGCCCCCTTCTCCTAGGTGCAGCCGCGAAGGCAGCTCTGGCTATCCATGGCCTCGTACTCGCCGTTGGGAAGACGACTCCCTCGCGTGGCATGAACGTCTTCAGATAGTCCACCAAGTTCTGGACTATACAGCGTGGTGTTGCAAATGGCACGCTAACTGCCACAGCACCATGGTCGGTTGCAAGGGTCACAACAGAGAGACAGTTCATCGGTGAGGAATGGAACGAGAACACGAATGGATGTACGATACACTCCATGTTCGCAAACAGGTGGCGTTCTCGCCGGAACAGCGCAGTCAAGTCCTCGCCCGATAGACCGGAACATCCCATCAGGACCAACCGACGAAGGCGCGGTAACGCCATGATCACATTGTGCACCGTAGTGGCGGACACCTTGGGATTGAAGGATATGTCGAGCCATCCTATATGCTGTCCGGCATAGGCTATCACCTCCTGGATTTGCTCCGTAGAGAGGTCAAAGCCAGACAGATCTAGGCGGCCTTCTCGAATCTCGTCCGTCGGCAGAAGCTGCAGAACAACAGGTATGGCAGAATTGGGGATGGCTTGCATACTCTTCAAAAGATGCCGCACAACCTTGGCCCTGCCGGGCATGATCAATGCCTCCGCAATTCCAGAGAAGTCGTCTGTCTGCACCGCATGCTCCATTGCGGGAGCGATGGCCATATCCGCTAGGGACGCGATATGCTGAGGAGACGGGCCTGCAATGTCGATGCTCAGCCGAAAGATCTCGCTCCCGTACTCTGCCTGCCAGGCCTCAAACAAAGCCTGTCTATCGAGTATCTTGTAGCTCCGGATTATGGGCAAGACGGGTCGGATCTCCGCTTCGATGTTCACGAGCCCTGCTGGCGATGGAAAATATGCGCGTAGATATTGCGCGGCAGACAGAGGATGCAGGAGCGGTGGCTGGAGAGATGTCCCCAGCCCTTGCACCGACACAAAGCAATAGGTAGGGTGGAACGGGTCTGTGAGGTCTATCACAGAGATACCGTCATCGTCGGCTATCGACGCGGTCAGTGGATGCGCGGCATGGATCATGACCATCGTACTCACGTCCTGCCTCGGTACTGCCTATGTCTGCGGACAGGAAACTGGCATGGGAGTAGTAGAAATCCCCAGGAGTGCTCAAGTCGGTAGTATAGGCGGCCCCAAGCACGAAGGCGACGTACGGACATGGGACGTCGGGGATCTTGGGGTCGCCTCCCCACCGACCGTACTTCCCATCGATAGTTCGGAGCTCAGCCCGAATAACCTCTGCGTTCTCCCTTTGCCCCGCGAGGATCAGACAACGGAGCATCGCTTTGACTGCGACAATCCCAGAGCACCTCTCGGTGCGTAAGGCCGCCACACATCTGTACTTCGCCTCCCCTACTGGAAAGCCACTAGGTCGAATCGAAGCGACAGCAAATATCCGATGCGCTGAAGTAGCCATGGGGTGCACTGACGGTGGCCTGGCTTCCGGTTCGAGCAAGGTGGCCCTTCCAGCGTCAGGCGTGAGGATTGTGCCGGACTCTTGAATTTTGATAGGGTCCGTAAACGGCTGCTGGCACGGGTCCATGCTCCAGACAAAGCTATCAACACTCCTGGTTGACCATGGTCCACGGTCTTCCTTCATCTTTCTCAGCTCCTCTCCCCAGCGGGTTTCCGCCCATTTCTTGCCGAGTTACTTCGCCCTGTGAATATAAATTCATATTATGGGACGTACCCTGGCTTTTTTTCGGCGGGGTTCCAAGTGGTCTTCGAACTTCTGAGTGAAGTGGAGCGACGTTCGCCACCTGAAGATGGTCAAAGTTGGCGCGCTCGGCACTTGCCCTGTTTGTCAGGGTCTTGGGCAATACGACCCCTCGAAAAAGCAATCCCACGGCTTGCTGACTAAGACAAGTCAGCACTATTGGCTGTATAACCCCTAGTGGCTGCACAAGCGTCTGCTATGTGGCCTAGCGGGTCTGCGTTGCGGCCGTAGCTCGTGGATCTGGGTTCAAAACCTGACGACTACGTTTTTTGTTGGTTTGTACCAATGTTCTACCTACATCCTCTATGTTTTTTCTTCGCACTGCGGAGGGGTGGTTAGGAAGTTTGGGTTAGGGTAGGTAAGGGTAAGTGGGGGGTCCGGGGGGGAACCCCCCGGTTGGTTAAGGTTCGGGTTAGGGTGAGGTGGTTAGGGTATGGGTTACAGGATATCGATAAAGGGGGGGTCCGGGGGGGAACGCCCCGGGTTGGTTAAGGTCTGGGTTTTCATATAAAATATGCTCTGGGAGTGATTTGATATGCTACCCTGACCTTAGGACCGTCTCCTGGCGTCGGGAACAGTGACAGCCACGGCGCTTGCCATATTTGTAGTGCTTTGTCAGCTTATTCGTGGGATTGTTATTTCGAGGGGTCGTATTGTGCAAGTTTTTGTCAGGTCTGCGAGGCAAAGTGTCTCTGACCATGTACGCCCATGGATCACAATTATCGTCGCCTGAAGCGATCACGGTGTGACGCGAATGTCAGTGAGGCTACTTTATCTCCGTCTTATGTTGCTGAGAGACAGACAGCCTGCAGCCGGCCGTTGGACGGTATTGGGTCGTCTCTGCATCTGTGAAGCTAAGGAATTACGGGACACTGCGGCAGTGGTGATGCTCCTTCACATCACGGGGAACAAGGAATAAGGCCTCAAAAGCCTAAGAAAACGATGGCCACGCTTGCTTCGTCTCTTCCATACACTCTCTATCCACCCAACCTCTGAGGAACTCGAACTAACCAGGGAAACCCTTAGGGAAGAGTCGGAACCACGTACACCCAAGTTTTCACGGGTTTGAGCGGTCCATTAATTCTGCTAGATGCTGGGTGAGTCACTGCGGATGTCCTCTCCTGCCCCGCTACTGGCACACAGATCATGGAACCGAATTCTAACTACAGCGGTCCCGAAGGAGACTGCAGCTGGGCGTACTCACGACAGCCCGCAAAGGTGACGGAGAGAGCGCTAGGTCTGTAATAGCACTGCACGGCCGAGTTTCTAGCTAGAGGAACTGTGCCGACTCGGTGCCTTCGCTTCCTTGCGTTTTCGGCGACATGTCGAGGTTTTTCTAACATTACAGGTGCCCGTCCATTTGCTTCAGCGAGGGTAACGTGAATGGGGCCAGAACCTGGCTATGATCCAGCGCAGCGCGACGTCGACAACTAGAGCAGCGTGGGACATGCCCATCGTACACAGGAGTTAGCTGTGGCTGATCCTTTTCAAGGGAATTTATACGTCATGACGTGATCATAGCGCTCCGCGTTGTGCAGTACGAAGGCAGAGCTTTGTGTAATTACTTTCCAGGCACTATTAGCAAATTACAAGTGCAAGTCACTACCTTCTATGCAACGTTACGACGGATGGCGGTCGGATTGCAGGGGACTGTGGCCGCGGTAGCCTCTGCCATTGTGGCGGGACGAGTCAGTCGCCACGTGCCATAATACCCGATCTAATCAAGTAGTGGCAAGCATACCTGCATGCTCTGCCTTGGGCGATTTCTGCCATTTGTTTTACAAACCCGTCATATACACATGGCTGCCCCGGCCACCGTCGCCCAAGTCTCCCCGGACAAAATCGCCATCCTCAATCACCAGCAATACGACGCACCGGACACCCTCTCCCCCTCCTCCGTGCTCCCCTCCCCGCTCGACCAGTTCCGCGCATGGTTCACCTCCGTCCAGGGTCGGGTCCACGAGCCCGAGGCCATGGCGCTCTCCACCGCCACGCCCGACGGCCTCCCTTCCACCCGCATCGTCCTCTTCAAGCAGCTCGACGCCCGCGGCTTCGTCTTCTTCACCAACTACACCTCCCGCAAGTCCCGCGAGCTCGAGGCCAACCCCCGTGCTTCGCTCGCGTTCTACTGGCGGGAGGTCTCCAGGAGCGTCAGGGTCGTCGGCAGGGCGGAGAAGGTGAGTAAGCAGGAGAGCGAGGAGTACTTCAGGAGCAGGCCCCTGGGCAGCCGCTTGAGTGCATGGGCAAGCAGGCAGAGTACCGTGATTCAGGACGGGGAAGTACAGAAGAGAATGGAGGAATTGAAGCAAAAGTTCGGTGTCAAGGACGGTCAAGAGGATGCTGATATACCCTTGCCTGATTTCTGGGGAGGCTGGAGGATAGTGCCCAAGTGAGTACTCTGTCTGCTGTCGTCGCATCCGTACTGACGCGGCTCGAAAGCGAAATCGAATTCTGGGCCGGCAAGCCTTCACGGGTACACGATCGTGTGCGGTATCTGAGGGTAGAGGGGTCATCCGACGACTCGCCACAATGGAAGATAGATAGACTGTCACCATGATTATATGGAATTCCAGCTGAGTATTGCATCAAATACAGCTCGTATGTTCGTAAGTATAGTCCGGATAATGATGAGGTAGTCTATTTGATACATTGCCCTATCTACTAACCAAACATAACTATCTCTACCGGGAACTCACTCTTCCGACACCCTTTCGAAGAACTGCTTCAACGTCCCACTCAGCACCTCTGGCAGTGCCTCCACGTCCCTTAGCACAACATAGTACTCGAAGGGGAACGAGTCCAGATACCGCTCCATCGACAGCTCCATCCTGCCGTCCTCTGTCGTCTTGTACGACACCTGGTTCATCGACAGTATCGAATTCGCATTTGCGCCAGTGTCGGTCCCAGATGCCTTTGCCTGGGTATGGAGCGAGTCCAGCACGACGAACACAATCATAACCTTCATCTCCTCCGCCTTCCTCAGCACCCGCCGCAGCTTCTCGTGGTCCTGGCAGATCCCATCCGAGATGATGATCTCCAGCTGCCACAGCTCGCCTGCCGCGCCCGCCTTGCGCTCACGCGCTTCTTCGAGCACCTTCAAGCTCGTCTCTACCAGCCTGAGCACGTCCGTCGCTTTCTGCGCAAACGTGAACGCTTCGATCACCCGTGCGCCCGTCGCATCGTTGAACGGCCCCGCGCCCGCGCCGTCGGCGAACCCGTGCAGCACCTCCACGCTCTCACCGAACTTCGCGATCCCAACCTCGCCGACCTCGAGCTTCCCCAGCGCCTTCGACACGAGCGCGAGCGTCTTGAACGCGAGCCCGACACTGCGGCTCTCGCGCATACTCCGGCTGTCGTCGAGCGCGAGCAGTACCTGGTACTCCCGCTCGCTCGGGCGCGTGCGCCGCAGCCAGATCTTGTCCTTTGTGTATTCGCTCGCGATGTACGGGATCAGCTTCTTCATGTTCAGCCGCTTGCCCGTGCGATAGTCGCCTTTGAGGCGCGTCGCGCGCGTCGGCTCGAGGATGAGGCGCAGTTGCTCGCAGAGCATCGAGGAGAGGTGCGACGTCAGGAGGGAGTAGTGGCTCCATAGGGACTGGGCAGTTTCATGGTCATACGCCGCAGTGGAGAGGTAGGTCTGTAACAAAGAATCGGTTTGGGCCGAGAGTTCTTCTTCCTGCGCGGGTGTGAGTTCCTCTTCGGCCTCTTCAGTCGCTTTGGGACCTGAGATGTCAGCTGGGGCTTGAGGATCGGCTCGTCCATCCCTAGCTTGAATCTGATTGCTCGTAAGCGCGCTGTCGATATCCTCTTGAATCGCCTCCCCCGTCGAGTCAGCGTGCAGTTCCAGTCTATCCATAGCAGGTTTCGATGGCCCCTCTTGAACAGACTCATCAATATCCATGGGGACCTCCGCGCCCTCCCTCTTCTGCTCCTCGTCTACGATGTTCAGCTGACTCAACTTAGCCGCATCGACACCTGCAGCAGGGCCCAGAGCTTCCATGTCCTGGTCTTCATCGTCCGGCCGCAAGTACTCTACTTGCGAAGTTTGACCTGTCTCGCCAGACTTTTCGACGGGAGCGTCAGGGCCGTTGCTGCTATCTTGGATATCTTCAAAACGCCGGCGGATTTCTTTGAGGGCTTCTCCCAGGTTGCGTAGAGGATTAGATGCGAGTGTCGCAGAGGGTTCTGAAGGAGCTGCGCCCTGCCTTTGGACACCAGACGACGAGGTTGCTTTTTGTGGGCTTCCACTCAAGTCGTCAGCTTCCTCCGACGCGGGATCCTGCGCCATAGCTTGGTCGATTGTGTCAGCAGCTGTAGAGGGTGGCCTTTCGATCTCATCAATGGGTGCAGTCTCATAGAGTACTCGGCGATCACTTACATGTTTTCTGCACCTGCTTGGTTAGCAGCCGATCCTTGAGCGCCAGCGCCACCGCTCTGTTCCTCAGACCCGTCTGCCGGCGCCTCACCTTCTTGAGGGCCAGTGGTCTCGCCTTCGGCCTGACCTTCCCCTGCGTGGAGGTCTGGCTGGGCCACAGCATCATCCTGCTGTTCACCGCTGGGTTTGACGTCGTGCTCAGGCTCATTTGTTTCCACTGGCGGGGATTTGGCACGATCAGTCTCGTCGACTTCAGGGGTCCCTGGTTTATCATCCATGGTGTCCATCTGATCGGGGCTGGGCTCTTCGCCTTCGTCTGAGAGCATATCATCGTCTTGATCGCCCATTAGATCTGGCGTCTCCTCAGGGCCTAAGTTGATATCATCGGGCAGTTCCAGCGCATCGCCTTCGGGTACATTCTCCATTGGAGCACCACTGGCATCAGGATGGCTCTCGTCGGGTAACTCTTCTTCATCTTCTCGCGGAATTTGCTCGTCCGGTGCATCTGGCTGAGGTTCCTGTTCATTAGCCTTGGGTGGAACGTCCCCCTCTAACTTGGAGTCCTTCCCGTCCTGCTTCGCCGCCATCTCCTCGTTTCCTCGAGACTCCTGTGGGCGGTTCTCAGGCCCATTCTGATCCGACTCTGATTCGTCTTTTGGGCCCTCGTCACCCCACAGCTTCTCATCCACGGCAGATGGATCGGAGGCATCCAATTTGCCTGTTTGTTCCTCCAGATCCTCCTGTTCTTCATCCTCCGCATCATCACCCTCCTCTCCGCGGTCGGGAACATCCTCTAGTTCTCCCTCGAAATCTTCATTCATTTCCAACCCGCCTTCCTTCTCATCGCTCTCCTGCTTCTCCTCGTCTTGCTGTTCCTCGCCGCGCAATCCCTCTACTTGGCTCTCGTCTTCTATCTGATCACTTACATCCTTTGCACCACTTCCCTGGCCCATTCCAACCCCAGACTCGTCCACCTCTGCACCTTCACCCTGTGCGTCTTCCTCTGACTCGGGAGGCTGGCAGAAGCCCTGGGTAGCTACCGTGTACATGGTATTGCACAAGACGAACGCCAGCTTGAGGAGGGTCTTAGCCCAATGACCGTGGTTGGTAAGCTGATTCCTAACCAGAACCATATATCGGCCTAGGAAGGGCAGGAGGCGGGAGAGCTCTAGGTGTGTCTCTTCCTCTGACGCCCGGTCCATGTACTCGAGAGTGTCCCCCAATTTATCGACAAGCTCATTCAACTTGAGCGAAGCGGAAATGTCGCAAACCAGGCGGCACATGTTGTAGGCATCCTCGTCCTCCTCTACTTCCCGCCCATCGAGATTGACCTCAGGACAAAGCGCCATAAGACCCTGGGCACGGAGAAGTAGAGTCTCGATCACGCTGTCAACAGTGTACCCTCCTGCAGTGATTGTTTCTCGACTTGATGTTAGGGTCGATGGCAAGTGTTGCGACCTGAGCCAATCTATGACACCAGCGAACAGATATCGCAGATCAGGCGCGTCTTTGGCCCACCGTTCTAGCGATGCCTCTATTTGTTGCAGGTGTGCTATGCCTGTTGCGATATATATGCGCTCCTCTGTGCATGCATGTTATTCATGCTATTGCTATTGGGATGATGAAGACGTACCATCCAGCAATAATGCGGGGCTTGTCAGTCGCATTTTGTCAACCACCAACCTAAGACTCCCTTCTGTAGTTTCGGTAGATCGGACTACAGTCTGGATCTGGGAGATTACGGAGGAAACGGCCTCTGTCACGCCATCCATACTCTGGAACTCTTGCACTTCTTGCAGCAGCTCGTCAAGCGTCCACCGGAGCTTTGAGCAGACCGATTTCAAGTGGGATGCATCCCTTAGCTCTTGAGCGCTGAGTCTTGCATTTCCCCCAGTCGACCGTAGCATTTGAAGCCGTTCATGGATACCGACAAGCTTTTGATATTGCAGCAGTTCATTGATGAGCCTTGGAAACGTTATCAACCATTTGCTTAACTTCCCCTGAGAGTGCACTTACCGTGTTCGTGTGTGCAGAGCCAATGCCAACGCGGAATCCAAGAACCCAATTCCCCTTTGCAAGTCGCGGGTAGTTAGATCAGTGTGGTGACTGGATAGGCTCCCTCTGAGTTGTGGGAGCAATGTATTCAAGCGATCGAGATAGTCGTCGATCTTCTCAGTCGGGATGTATTCAGGAGCTGTGGGCATGACGGCTTGCTCTCTCATCCAGCGAGGGTCTCGTAGGCGGCCCACCACTTCCGGCTTGATGTTTGCACTGAAACCCATCTTCTTCAACTCTTTGAGGAGATCACTCCATGCCTTCCGCTTTCGAACGAGCAGAGCCTTTAGTTTTTTGGCCCGCTTCGCTGCCGGTATATTCGTAGGGACGGGTGTAGCGGCTAGGTTATGCGAAGTGACTATAACATCTATCGTCAAGTCGTTCACCGCGTGAGGGTCCCGAGATCTCAAGAAGCCGCCGACCCGATTGTTGAGCATATCAGCAAATCTCTGGTATGTCCGACCTAAATTCGCCAGATGTTCTGGGCCATCCGAAGTGGGCCTGCGTTCGAAAGAGTATTGAACCGTAGGCGAGGATTCCAGGAACTGTGCATGCCCCTGCTCCGAGGAGTCGTCCTTGGCTACGCGAGCAGATTGCAAAAGCGGGACGATAGGTTGGCGCAAGATATCCCTGAACTTACGTATCGTCTTGTACAAGTGATGGTGCGTCCTGCGAGCGCTCTGCTGTAAGGCATGCACATTAACATCCTTCCAGCTAGCGAGCTTGATGTACTCATTGATATCCTTCTCTAGAGCGCTTCTTTGCTGCATCAAGGAGGTGCGGATTCGATCTGCGAATTGCTTGAAATATCTCCAGGTGTTCAAGAGGATGGCATGCAACCGAGCGAAAACGAGCTTCGCTGGACCTTCGTAGTGAGAGGTCAGAAGGTCAGCGTACGAGGCGAAGGACCGAAGTAGTTCCATGCGTCTTTCGTATTGACCGAGTGGACTGGAGCTAATGAATTCATCAAACAGGGGCACAAGTGACCCCAGGTAGGTGTCTAGCTGTTCTGGTTCGTCCAAGAGCGACAGGACTCCCCGGACCGCCGCCTCGTACAGGCGGAACCACCACTGGTAGGCCTCCTGCTCGAATGCGCTAGCCTGAGACTCCAACAACTTCTGCCAGCTCGAGAGCTCAAGGCGTCTCCATTCAACGATCAGAGCAGTCAGTGCTTGTCGGTGAGCATGCAGCGTGTTCTCGCGGTTAGCATACATCTCCCAGTCGTCACTCTGCAGGAGCAGCTGCTCCAGGGCCGTCAAGAACTTGGCTACCGGGCTACTGAGCTCCAGATTGAGGATAAAATCGCACCTGGCCTTCAGGTGTTGCAGTACCATTTGATCAGGCCACTCTTCCACCAACAGGTTTAACCTGTCTCTGAGAGAACACAGAACTTCAAAGGCCTTCTTCACTTGGGGAAAGTTGGAATCCTTGTAGAAATCCGAGACTCTATCCCGCACAGTAGCCTGCGAGAAGCCGAGTATTCGTTCCTGGACGAGGGATAACTGATATTGCAAAGCTTCTTCATCCAAAGTTTCAGGCAGGCTATCCCACTTGTCTGGGGTTAAGACCGAAAGCGTACTCCTCCGTATATCCAGGAAGAAACGTCCTGTCCCTTCCTTGATATTTGACGATGAAGCAAATAACCGAGCGTGCGCATCCAAAAGGATCTGAATGCGCGCTGATTCCACAAGCACAGGCGCTCGACTCGTTTGCTCAGATAGAGAGCCAGGCTCAAAGACATCATCGAAAACAGGAAACAACGCTCGAAACTCAGCCTCCTGAAGCTCGCTCTCATCCATTGACGGGCTTTCATCTTTCTTTTTGTAGAGTGAGCCCGAAGCACGCTCAATTTCTTCTTCCTTTGCTCGGTCGATCAACCAGAGTCGGCAGATCTGGTCATACAAAGCATTGATGGTCGGTATGTGGGTTGTGAGTTCGGCCCCAGCAGCGACATCAATGACTGCCGCTGACAGGGTTAACAACGGACGCCAAAGTCGGTCGAGACCGTGTAACGGTGACTGGGGAACCCTCAATACGGCCTCCCCAGATTTGATGGAAGGAAAAGCGACGAGTGCAGAGGCAAGAGATCCCGTGCCTTCACCGTTCTGCCTTTGGGTAGACAGTCCACTAACGACGCCTAGACCCAGCCGCATGTAGAGGAGAGATAACTCGAGCGGGCTGATCATGTCGACCAAGTCAGGGTAGGCAGCGTGGAGCCGTTGAAGGAAGCCAACAATTGACTCTTGGAATACCCGCTCCCGCATGTCAGCACCAGCTTCCCCAGAGGTCAGAGCATGCACCACGGCATCGACCCTATTCCAAGCAAGAACGTGCGTCTGGAATTGCCATACTTCCGACCATAATGAATGGACTCGCGATACGTCGTATGACTTCCTGAGGAGCGGTGGTCGTTCGTGCACAAGACGAGCCTGGATATCTTCCAGTGATTTCTTCAAGGTATTGATAACGAAGTTGGTATTTTCGCCCGTGATGCGATTTTCGAGCTGAGTCTGCAATCCAATATGTTCTGAAAGGACATTGCCTATATCCTGCAGGAACTCTAGTGTGCAGCCCCTGCTTGCCGCGGGATCCAGAGGAATATCAGGTACGTAAAGGTCGAATATCATCTTGGACAGCCCGATGCAACTCCGACCCAGCGCTTCGATAATGGTTGATCTTGGCTGCGAGATATTGCGCAGCAATGAAAGTTCAGTGCGGAGATGTCGATCAAAGCAAACCTTCAAGTCAGCGAACTCGGTACATTCTAAGAGTCGGCATAGGTGCTGGACAACGTCGTCTGCCCGGCCATCGACTTGGTGAAGCAGACTCTGGACATCCTGGTGTATGGAAGCATCACCCTTAGGGAAGAAGCAAGAAATGATCTAATAGCTGCATATTAGGCATGAATCGAACCGGTAATTCATGAAAGACCTACCAAGATAATGGATTGAAGCAGCAGATCAACCATCTGCGAGAGGCGCGATTGCGCTATGCTACAGTGTGATAGAAGAAGTGTCCTATGCCTGCGCAGGGACGTTTCGTATGAATTCAGGGACGCTAAGGGTCGCCGTTGTGCTGTGCTGTAATGGAGTCGTTGAGTATTTGCGAGCAAAGCAGACACTGTTCACATACCCAATGAGGATGCTACAGAGTAGCTCTGTGGGTCGGAATAGAATCGAGGCTCCCTCAAATATCTTTTATACGGTAAGTGAACGAAGTGCGTGGACCCCTAAGGAAACGAACCTGAGTCTCGAACGATGTGGAGGACAGAGCTTTTAGCCATTCCTTCTGCGCAGCGACTACTATGGAGAGTTGTTCTAAGAGCGGGTGTAGGTGAGTCAAATAAAAAGAGATGATGATAAAGACGGCCTACGAATATTGGCATCTATAGCCCACACAGCATGTAGGTAGGGTAACAGTCGGAGGAGTGACTCCGTCGGATAAAGACAAGCCAGGTCAATAATTCGTTTCACCTTCGGCACTATCTCTTTATTGTGCATTGGCCTTGATAATTGCATTCTCCCTATAGTTATTAAAGCGCTTAACTCAAGTATGATCAGTGATGGGTCCGCAAAGTCTGGATGGGGTGCGTAGTGCCCATCTTGCGTCGTACTTAGTCGCTGCTCCAGGTCAGCATGCAATGCTGCCCCGATTGCACGATACCTTACCTGCCGCAGCTGATCGAACAGCAGCTTTGAGGCCAATTTGCTACCTTCGAGAGACTCGAGAACCGACGCTTGGCTCAAAGTCTGAAGAGCAAGGACTGGCAGTATACGGGCACGGTCTTGATGTCGGTCAGTACAAGGCATGGACCAGAACAAGAAGCCTGACCTTCCACCAGATTCGGACGTTCAGCAGCACAAAGCATCCGGTTTACTTGTAGTATTTCGGCATCTGGACCGTTGCTTCCTAGCAAGCATGACCAGATCTGGGTTAGACCCGTCCCCACGGTGGGTGAAGCGGCTCTCTCCAGAGCTTTTGTGGCTTCTACTATCCCGAGAAACAGGGGTGAGATGGTAGGAACAGCATCTTTGATCCATTGAATGACTGCACAAGCGGCCGAGTAGTCGAAATGGTTTGAGCCGGAGATTTTCTTTAGATACCATGCTATGTCATGAAGTTGAAGCGCTATTTTGACATGGTCCTACTAACTTATTGAGCTGACGGCCAAGTACAACACATTTCACGCACCGCCGATTCTTTCCATCGTCCGATATCGAATGTTTCCACGATATTGTGTGCCAGGGCATCGATAGCGCCGACAAGTGAGCGGGCTTCCTGCACAGCTCGAGGTGCACGAGGGCCGGCCGATAGATCCAACGCTAAGGATGACGTTGCTGCGAAAGATATCTTGTCTTTATTAGGTTGCACATCGTGCACACCCACCATAGCTTCACGGTGTAAGCTGCCGAAAAGATGCAATATATGCATAGCTCCTTCATGCAGGATCCCCTCCTCCTCGTTGCTTAGCATGGACCGCGTGGAATGGTTGAGGAACATGTCCATGGCCTGCAAGAGGGTTTAGCTCACGGAGACTGATTGAATACCCGACTGCAAGGGACTTACTTGCGTGGATATCAACTCGTGGGGGAACTTCCATTCGATGCAAGACCGATTCACAAAGTACGAATACATCCCATGCATAGGGCCCGCAGCGAAGTGATGCATCAAAGCTATCACACGTTGAGCTTCCTCGATTTGATGCTCTCGAACGACAGCCATTAACAAACGCGTGAAGTGCTGGTCCTTGGGAGGGCAAGAAATGTAACCGCAGAAGTACGATAGTGCATGCATAGAGAGAGTCGACACCGGGTCAGGTAGAGCGGTTAAGGGATTCCTATCCAGGACGAAGGCAAGGCTAGAATCTTGCTGGAGGATAGAACTTGACCTAAGCGGAAGATGGAGATCCTGAGGCATCAACGATGAGCCAAGGCCTCTCCTTACGATCTCGAGCAGATTATGGGCATCTGCAGGATCCTCTTGCACGGTACCCAGTGCGCTTGGAATTCGCAGGTAGGAATTTCTGGATTGTCCATCTTTCTCATCATCGTCTTCACAGAGACATATTTCGATGCCGCGATTGCGCATAGCACGAGACAATTCACCATGCTGCGGATCAACCGTCATGAAGAGACGGAAGTTTGGATGGGGCACAATGATTTCAACCTCGCCGTTCACTTGTCCCTTCTCGTTTAGTGTCAGCACGCCCTGGGGCTCACATAAAGAGTTTAGCCGATCTAGGACAGACGGATTACAGAGGTTGGCGCCATCTAGAAGCACCCAATGCCCAGACTTCATAGCTTGCACTAGAGGGCCATCCACCCAGACGAAACGGCCACTTCTGCGTTCCGCTCTGAAAAAATCGTCCATGGCCTTCCGCGCCGTTGAAGCCTCTTGGCTTATTTTGTCGAGACCTAGATCGACCACAACATCCAGCACCTCTGCCACTGATCGCAGAGCAGTAGTTAGGGACTGCAGAGATGACGCCCGGCGTAGTGATTCTATACTTGAATGAAGGGAACCGTCTGTTAGAGTGGCCGCACCACGCGCGGTTCTCAACACGCTGGACACAAGTTGCAGTAGACGATCAGCGATGGTCCTTGCATGGACCATATGATCCTCTTGCTCGAAGCTGCCCAAGATGTCCGAGATGTCGGTTGCATTATTCACAGCTACCTCATGCAGATAGTTGCCGGTCAGTGTGGAAAGAAGTTTAACGAGCGCGGTTTTGCCAGAGTCGCGTGCTCCTGTCAGTATAATGAGCCAGCTGTGCATAAGACAACTACTCATGGCCTCGAGCGGTCGAAGTTGAGCGGGTAATATGATAGGAGATCGACTCGCCGGCGAGAAGTTTTCACGAGGTAGCAGAGCATGACCTATCTGGAAATGGCCGGGCGCAAGCGACCATCGAGGACGGGCAGCATCCGGTTTTTGCGAGCCAAAGGCCAGGCCAAAGAGTGCTAAAGCACGGTCTCGATCTGCTTGAGTTCTTAGACGCTGCAAATATATCGTCCGGAGATGCTCAACAGGGTGCAGTGATTGATCGTCACGTTGCAGCAGCTTACACCATCGAATTACGTCCCTCAAATTGAACTCCCAGGGGGCTCCTTCGATAGCGAAAGATCGCCGCAAAGTCACTTCCTCACTGATCCGCCAGTTGTAGGAGATCATGGCTTGTAAAATCTCATGTGGATAATCGGGGAATAGTTGTCTGCAGACAAGGAATATATCTTCACGCGACAGCTCTTGGACATACACCTTCGTAAATCTGTTCATGAAAGACTTCGGCAAGCCCTTCCTTCCTCCTCCTTGATGCAAAGGATTCTGCGCGGCAAAAATGCGAAAGCCAGGATGTCGAGAGAAGGAGCGGCCTAGTTCGGGTATATACACAGTTCCTCGATGGTCCAACACAGCGTTCAGACCTTCCAAGACCGCTTGAGGAGCCAAGTTCATCTCATCCAGAAGGACCCAGGAACCTTCCTGCATTGCCTTCAGGAAGTCAGCGTCTTTCCATGCAAATTCTCCCGATCGACCTCCTTCAACAGGCAAGTCTGAGCCGAACAAGTCTATCAAGTCGCTTTGATCGCTGAAATTGATGCGATACAGCTTGTAACCGCATATATTGGCCAAAGCAGTGACGAGACTTGTCTTCCCTACTCCCGGGCTACCTTCCAGCAGGATGGGCTTTAGCAACTGAGAAGCTCTGACCACTCTCATAGCATTGTCAAGAGTTGTAGGAGCCTGAAGATGGAAGGTATGGTTTTTAACGGGCACCGGTCCCTTGGGTATTGCGAAAGAGCCAATCTGAACGAATGTAGAAGCATCGTACGCCGGAACATGCGACAGGGTAAGATCATTGTCGCTGATCAACGGTACCAGTGCTTGCAGCTTATGAACAGCCTCTTGACGGAGTCGTTGAACAGCTTGTGATGAGTACGACGACACCTGCGGAAGTGATGCCAGTCCATCCAATACAGTCATGTGGGCCGCATGATGCTAAGGCAGGTATAAGTTATGTACCAAGCAACGGCCGTATCACTTACGAAAAGAGCCGCGGGATGGATAGATCCGTCATCGTCCGGGTGGTATGTCAAGCTCATGAAAGAGGTCCAGGCCTAGGATAGGACCCGTTAAGGCAAATTCACTGCAAATATCAGCGACTTACGAGCAAATCACGCAGACCAAGCAAAGCATTGTCGCCAACTTTATCCGCTAACCACTGACTGAAATCAAGTAAGGGCGCCGTGTATACCCTGAGATGTTCATGGCGCCAAAGGTTGTCGATTATCTGCTCGAGGTCACGACGCTCGCTGACAGGCGGGACCCAAATCTCCGTAAATCTGTTCCTCAAAGCAGGGGATAGCTCCTTCTTGCCGTAGTCCCCTCCGGGGTTCATGGTCGCAACGAGCTTGAAACCCTCAGCAGCTTTGACGACAGGCTGGTCAATATCTTCGCCGCCCTTCTCTGCCAATACAATTGTTCGACCCGGTTCTAACACGCTATTGAGGCGCTCTAAAACGGAGTCATCCGCCAAGGATATCTCGTCGAGAAGCATCGCGTCCCCCTGACGCATTGCCTGAACCAGAGGTCCGTCGACCCACTCAAATAGGGCAGCAGCCGAATTTATGCTCTGACGGGCCTGGCGAAGGGCTTGAAGATGGGCTGCATCGACAGTGCCGGACATGAGCAGAGTATCCAGAACAGTCTGCGCACGGTGAAAGTCATTAACCGTCTCTTTTACTCCGAGGTCTCGCAGAAGGGAAGCAACCTCTTCGAGGATTCTCGTCTGGGATGTGCTGCGGTTCCGCACTGGTCGTAGTCCTCCAATCAGATCTGCAGTTTCCGTGTTCAAGTGGCAATTGACAGTGTATAAGCGCTTCGAGACGTTCTCAGCATAAACTTGACATACGGAGGTCTTTCCAGATCCAGTTTCGCCAACCAAAAGAACTGGCTCGTTATGCTTGAGTGCTCTGCACAGAAGGATGAACAGTCGGCGCATTGCTTCCGTCCAGATCAAGCCAGGCCCTGATGGAACCGTGCATCCGAGATACTCCTCCAGTTCTGCCTTCGACCTATCTAATCCGTACAGTGCCTTCTCGTGTATGGTGACCTTCATGATCAACTCAATGACCTCCTTCACGACGGCCTTATCATCCTCTCGTCGAGCTCGCTCCGCCAACAACATGTAACCGTCATTGGCTAGCTCTTGATAACCGACGGCGCCTCTCCCTGCCCAACGGAAGAGATCCCGCAACGTCGCGAAGCCATGCTTGCTCTCGAACACTCGACTGGACTGGCGCCGTTTCTGCAATTCTCGGAAGACAGCAACGATACGCTGCCCATAAGAGGGTGCGATCCGGCAGCGTTGACATAGAATCGTCTCTAGTTCTGCTTGGGGTACGTCTTCAAAATGCACTTCTAAGAACCGATTGCGGAATGCCCGCGATAAGACCTTCCTGCCACCATAGAGACCTGGAGGATTTTGAGTCGCGAACAGCATAAAATGTGGATGCGGCCGAACTACTTCTTGAGTCTCCGGGATCATCAACTCGCGATTATCGTCAAGCAGCCTATTCAGAGCTTCAAGAACGTCCGTCGGCGCCAGATTCAATTCGTCCAAGACTATCCAGTGCCCATGTCGGAGAGCATGTACCAACAGGCCATCCTTGAACACGAGCTTCCCGGTCTCTGGATCAGGGACATAGGTTCCTATATATTCTTGTATATCTGTATGTTCGTGGTTGTTGATCCGAACGAATCGATGCCCTGTTCGCCGAGCAAGATATTCAATAGAACTAGTCTTTCCGCTCGATGTAGGGCCTTCGATCAGTACAGGGAAACGGCGAGTCGTGATGATTCTAGCTAAGTCAATGAGCTTCCTCTCTACCGACGGCGTCATGATGTAGTCGTCAATGAGATCTTCCGGCACGGGTCCCTTTTCCAGATAGAAGGGCCCAACCTTGACAAAGTCGGAGCCCGAGCTCGAGCGAGGAGGAACGGGCTCCTTCGACAACAGAGAGCGAGCGTTCTTCACTCTAGATAGGAGGTGCTTCTGAGCTATGGACAAGGCAAGCTCAGCACTGGGTCCGTTCAGGACCATGGTAAAAGCCATCAAGCACCCTTCCCACAGAGCACGCCTCAAACCGAAAGACCCTGTCATATCTGAAGCAAACGTTAAAGCGCGCGCCAAGGTACGCATGCTATAGTGAGGCCTGTGGTTTGATCCGTCAGCGACTTCGCGTCCGTCAGCCAACCTTTTCATGGCAGTGTAGTACTCTGCGACGTCCATGATAGCGGCCTTATCGCCAACGGCGGAGGGCCCAATGTACTGCGAGACGATGCTCAGCAAGGTATCCCTGTCTGCGTCAGGTGGGGAGACTTGTATCTCCGTGAAACGAGAGCGGACCGTTGGAGGTAGGTCTTTCTTTCCGACGTCAGTCGCTGGGTTCATGCACGCAAACAGTCGGAAATCAGGATGTCGGGGAACGGGCTCAAGGTGGCCTTGCTCCGTGAGCGTGATGGAGCCATTGGGATCATGGAGTAGACTGGATATACATTCCAATGTCTCTGAACTAGCAAGGTTTATCTCGTCAAGCAAAATCCTGTAAGCTGAAATCAGCCCCTGTGTCCTTGTTGCTTATATGATAACGCACCAATCTCCAGATCTCAACGCTTTTACAAGCGGCCCTTCAACGAAAGAAAAGGCAAACTTGCCCTTGCTCTGGACAAACTGCACATCAAATTGCTGGACCCTCGCGAAGAATGCATCCCATTCACTAGCGGATGCTTGCAACTCCGCCGTCTTACGCCGTTTCCGCGGCTCGGACGAGTCCAACTGGTCGCCCGCCATCCTGCTTTCGTCCGTGTGATAAGATAACAACCCAAATTACAAAAACTCGCAGAACTCACCTTCCTTCCGGCGTACCCGCACCTTTCGCCTCAATCCTCTCCTTCGCCATCCTTACCGCCTCCTTCCACAGGCCCACCGCGCGCTTCCACTTCGCCTCCCCAACCGCCTTCCTCACCGCCTCCTCGAACTTCGCATTCTTCTTCCGGCTGAACGTCAGCCCAAATAGCTCCGTGAACCGCTCCTGCAGCTCGTACGCCGGCACGCGCGCGTCCACCGGCTTGAACCCGCCAAGCAGATCCGACGACTCGGTCTGGTGCGACAGATTCAGCGAGATCAACGGCCGGTGCAGCAGATGCGCGAGGTGCGTCACGACGCTCGTCTTCCCCGTACCGGTCTCGCCGGTGAGCAGGACTGGCTCGCGGAGGGAGACAGCGGTCGCGATGCGGCTCAGCAAGAGCACGGCGGGCCGGTGCATGGCGAAGGGCCTCGCAACGGCCCCCTCGATCGGTCTGCGACTCGCAGCCTTGGCCGCCAGTCTTGTGCGGCCGACCCGCACGGCGACGACGTGGCCATTGTTGTCCTTTTCTAACTCGAGCTCGGGAGTCCTGTCGTTCAGGACCCATTCGCAGCGTTCGGGAGCAAGGCCGAGCTCTTCGCCAATCTTCGCGGCCATTGCGAGGTTGTGCGAGCGCGCGGACGGCGTCGAAGCCTCGATGCCGAAGAAAACGTCGCGCGCCTCGAGGTACATCTCCTCTCGTAGCGATGGGTTCGGGAATATGGCAGATAACGGAGGAACGAAGATATCGTCCGAGTCCTCGTCGATATCCATGGGCTGGTACGAAGCAGGCAGCAAGTTCTCGACCCTGCTGCAGAACTTCTCCAGCTCCCGCACCCCGACCTCTTGCGTGGACGGCGCAGTGCCAAGAGCGCGTACATCCTCCCATAGACGGATGAACGCCCGCGCAGGCACGCCCGCCAGACGCGGGAACCGCGAATTCACGATCAACCTCAGCTCGTCCGCCGTCGGCGCAGGCACGACGACCTCGTAAAACTTATTCGACCCAAAAAACGTCGCAGCGGGCAACCTGCCCTTGGCGCTGACAGACCGCGTCGCGAACACCGCGAAGCCCTCGTCCGCCTCCACGCGCCCGCGGTTGGGCACGTTCATGCCCGCGCGGCCGCCGACCCACTTGCCCAGGCCGAGCGACTCGACGAGCGGCTTGAGGACGCCGAGGACCTCCGTGCTGGCGCGGTCGACGTCCTTGAAGACCACCCACCGGCCTTCTTTCATCGCGCGCACGAGGACGCCCTCGCGCCATTCGAAGGTGCCGGGACTCGTGGGGGAAGACACGTACGAGCCCAGCAGAGACCGCGGGTCGAGCGAGGTGTCTGCGAGGGGGATGGTGACTATCTGGTTTGGGACGTTCGGGTAGAGCGTAGAAGCCAGATGGGACAGCAGGAGAGATTTCCCAGACGAGGGTGGAGACGTGAGAAGCAGAGGCAGACGGTTTGACAGCCTAAGGGAGATGGCTCGTAGAGCATCAATGGCAGTTGCCGTATGAATCAGCCGTGAAGGTTGCGAGGGCCCATCGGAGCTGCGCAGCACGAGCACGCCGTGAATATTCGCTACTCTAGGACTGAGAGACAAAGGTTCCATCTGTTCTTCTCCTTCCTGGGCATAGTAATCGTGGGGCTCCTGGATTAGCGCATTGCTCACATTCTCCAGTCTGACAAGCTCGACGGCAGCCAGCATCCATCCGTCGATTTCTTGGCGGGTTCCGTTGATATCTTCCCCGAAGCTGACTGGGCAGTCTTCGCCGCAGATTTCGCCGAGGACCTCGGTCTCGAGCTTCTCTCGTTCTACTTCGCCCATTCCCGTGTGAAGGGCGTAGCATTTAATGGCGAGAACACGCACGCCACGATCCGGATGGGGGGTAGTAAACAGTCTCGAAAGGTAAGCAGGTGACCATAGTAAGTTGTCAGGCAGGACGCGGTTTGCCTGCAAGATGCGGTAGTATGCGACAAGGAGAGCGTGCAGTCGCTGAGAGTCGACGGTCTCTAGAGATGGCGTGGAGGCGAGAAAAGCCAGCGGGCCCCCTTGGGGGACGTGCTCCTGGATGAATTGGAGGAGAACGCTGGAGATATACGTTAGAGCCCAGTAACAAGGCCGAGGGAGCAGAAGACATACAAGAAGAGTTCCTCGTGGGGCTGCACAAGTAGAGATAGGGCAATGAACTTGTCTTCGACGTCATTTCCATGCTCTAGCCAGCGAGCGCAGAGTTCAAGCAGCAGAGGTCTAAAGCACTGAGCTACAGCGAGCGTCAGAGAAGGGACTAGGAGAAGACGCGATAACAGTGCCAGTAATTGGTCAGAAGAGGATACTTGTAGGAGAGCGGCAGCGTATGGAGAGTCCGAGGGAATTTTTGAGAGAAGAATGCGAGTCTGTCTCTTCCAGTTGATGGTGGTTGGATCATGCAGTTCCATGGCCGGCAGTCTATCCTTATGTTGCAGGATTGTAGTACCAGGCTAGCCCCAGAGGCCGTATTTTGAGCAGCAGACCTGAGCCCAGAGCCCAGCAGTGTATGGTACTTTTCGGTAATTTGTTTTCTAGACAATGAGACAGGCAGGCCAGCGTATGTCCCAGAGCTGCGCGTCGAGGGACTCTGCAAACTTCCGTTGCCTATTTTCCGACTATCCTCCACGTGGGAAGATGAGCGACCAATGATGGTGGCGGTGCCGCTTCCCAGTGCGGAGACTTGCAGTCACGTTCTCCGAGTCTGTGTTGGCTTGCTTCGATGCCGACCGCAATGAAGGAGGCGAACGTATCGACCTCGCCGCGACTGCCCCAGCACGTCTCCGACGGGACCTCTGACGAGGAACGCAAAGGACTGCTCTCTGGCGACGTCCAAGACCGCCCCGATCCCGAGTTGAGCGGGAAGAGGCCCTGGACGAAGAGGATCCTTGTCCTCGCCACGGCTGCGGCGCTATTGCTCTTAGGCGTAGCTGCTGGAGAGTGTCTTCTATCTCGACGTGCCGACAAGAATACCCTGCGTGCAACCTTCCTCAAAGACGCCGTCCGCTCGAATGGCACGCATGACTTCAAGCCGACAGTTCTGGTTGTCTCCATAGATGGATTGCAGTACGTGATTTCTTCTCTTTGATACGAGTGTGTTTCAAGTGGGCTGCTCCAAACAAAGGGCTGGTTATCTTGACCGCGGCCTGACCCCTCATCTGCTGGACATCGCCAAGAAAGGCTTACGAGCCAAGTTCATGAAGCCCATATTCCCTGTATGTCCCATATAGCTCCCCGTAAATGCTTTGCTGACATGTACACCTCCAGACCTTAACTTTCCCGTGAGTTTCTCGTCTGTCCTCGCGCTTAGTCTAGTACGACCTTGTTGGCCAAAGGAACCATTGGGCCCTCATGTATGTTCTGTTTCCCTGCTATTTGACGACGGTTACAGAGCTTATTATGACAGGACCGGCCTATACGCAGAATCCCATGGAATAGTCGCAAATGTAGGTATATTGTCAACTATGTCTTGCATGGTCTGACTGGTAGCCCCTCGTCCAGAATTTCTGGGATCCAGAGACGGGTACCGAATTCCATTACAACTCGGCCGCCCATTCCTGGAACGCGAGCTGGTGGTTTGGGGAACCCGTACGTCGTGGTCCAGCATTCGAGGCAGAGGTGTCACTCATCTGTTACATACAGATGTGGGAAACGGCGGGCAAGGCAGGCCTGATCACTGCGAACCTGATGTGGTGCGTACATATACTCACTAAGGGTCGGTAAGCCGCACCTTCATCTGACTCTCCCCGGGAAAGGCCAGGACCTCCTCAGACTAGAACAGGGTGGAGTCCCACCTACTTCATTCCATGGCGGGTGCGTAAATGACATTCTCTCACGCTCCTCAACAGGGCGTTGTGTAACATACGGTTCCAGGATAAAGTACCTCTCAAGGAGAAGCATGATCAGATCATGGCCTGGCTTGATATGCCCATAGACACAAGACCGCAGCTGATCATGGGTGGGCTGTGGCTCTGAGTTCATTATCCCTAGCTAACTTCTCTGGATTACAGCATATGAGCCATCCCTCGACCAGGCAGGACATCTCACCGGTCCAAACTCAACCCTCGTCAACGTAAGCACACATCCTCTAGTCACTCTAATTCTCTGAACAACCTCCTGCTCACAGAATACCTTATCGTATGTCGACCGGTTTGCGAAAGACATCCACGAGTCCCTCGAAGCGCGCAACCTGACCGACATCGTCGACGTCGTCTTCGTCAGCGACCACGGCATGACGGACACGAGCCACCTCAATATGATCTACATCGATGAGATCCTCGGCAAAGACGGCTACGAGGCCATCGAGCACGAAGACGGTGCGCCCCCCTCTCCTGTACCACCATACCATCATATTAATACTAAATACTAAATTGGATGCAGGCTGGCCCTCGATGGGCATCCGCTTCTCCCCATCCGTCGACGCCGCGCACTACCTCGACATCCTGCTGGACGCCGCGAGGGCGAACCCGGAGAAGTTCGACGTGTACACGCACGAGACGATGCCGCAGCGGTACCACTTCTCCGACAACCCGCGCATCGCGCCGATCTACATCGTCCCGAAGATGGCGTACGCGCTTACCACCAGGAAGGATGGGGATGTCGGGTTTACCAAGGGGGTGAGTTGCGCTGTGATCTGCCGCTACGTTTCCCTGGGCGCTGATTGTGTCATGCAGAACCATGGGTATGACAATGACGAGCCGTCGATGAGAGCGTTCTTCGTCGCCCACGGGCCCTTCTCTGCGGTGACGAAAGTCGTCCAGAAACAGAACTCGCAGAGGTTGATGCGGCGCCTCCTAGGCAACCCCAACGAGGGGTGGCATTCCACAGCCGACGATACGTATGTCTTGGAGGGCTTCGAGAACGTCAACCTTTACAATTTGGTGATGAAGCTGCTGGGCATCCAGGATTCAGCGGCGAAGACGAATGGGACGGAGGGATTCTGGGACAAGTATTTTTGATGGGATCATGGTCATGATTTAGACGGAGGGATGATATAATCCTGTAATGTGTATAGCTTGTATAGTTGATCATAGACATAGCACCGTGTTGGGAGACTCGATTTTATATAGCGTGCGTATGGTACGTGACAATCCGCGGCATCAACAGAAATCATTAAATATATCGTACACATCCTTCCGCTGCATGTACATTATATCCAGATCATGATGACTCGTAAGTATTCCCTTCAATGGTCAGGCAGCCTCAGCCCTAGTGTCCCTCCGCATCGAACACCGTATTCGCCGGCATGTGCTCTCCGGATGCGGTCGGGACGTACGCTTCCTCTGGCAAGCCGCTCTCGTCGAGACCCTCCGCAGCTTCGATGACCTCGTATAATCGCGAAGCGACTTCTGGCGGGGGTACGCGACCGCTGAGGATATCCTTCGCGGGTACTGGGGATCCGTAGAAGTCGCGGTTTGCGTCCTTGCGCTCGATGAGCACTGTGCCTTCCAGTGATAGACCAGCGAAGAGACCTGCAATAACTTTAGCACCATCGAACATAGCCCAATTGGTGATATCCACTTACCCTTCGACTTCGAATACGAGAACATCGGCGCCGGGTGCGCCAGCGCAGTCTGCACGCTCCCGCCCGTTCCGATAGGCCCAGCAGTCGCGCTGATGTTCCCGCCGATAGTCACATTCCCGCCCATCGAGAACGCGCGCACGGCCTCCTCCGTGTTCAGCACGATCACAAAGTCCGTGATGTCCGCGCCAATCTGCAGCCCCCACCCGACGCCGCCCGTCATGATGCACGACGGCGCCGACCACGAGCCGTCGGGCAGGCGCGCGATGACGAGGCCCGAGCCCGCCTTGCCCGAGAAGACGAAGCCGGCTTTCAGGACTTGGAAGATGGCGAGACCTGGGGAGTCATCGAGGTTAGACGCGTGTACGATGGCATGGAGGACAATGGCGCTCACCTCGCGCTCGTTGTAGGACAGCCTTGGGGATGGCATTCAATGCAGATTCAGGATGGTCGGGATCAGCTAAAGGTGTAAGCCACCGATTCAGTAATACAATCGCATATTATACAAGCTTCACGTACCCAAGAACGTAGCGAGGATCTTAGCCGCCTTCTCCGCCTCCCCAGGGAGACTGAACCCCTGTACAAAGTCCCTGCTTTCGTTCGCAACCTTGTTCCCGCTCTCCTTGATGAACGCGGTGGCCTGTATACCGGCCTTGTGCGCGCCCCTCTTGAACTTGTCAAGCATAGACATTGTGGATCGGTAAGAGGTATATGAGAGATGTCAAGTCAATCGCGAAGGCGCGGTGACGCACATCACTATAGTGTCCGGAGTAATCCTGAGAAGCACTGCATGGTACAGCCTCAAAGTCATCCTTTCCCGTCTATTCCAGGTCGTTGTGGCCTCAGGAACAGCTGGGGCACCGTGCAAACAGACATTAGAAGAAATAACATTGCGCTCTAGTCTCCTGCTTGCAATACAAAATACAATTCTATGACTTCTTCGACTATCCTTTACCAATGTCCCCCGTAGTGCGTACAATCATATGCGAACCGCCTCAGATCGACGTAGCATCCGCCACATACTGGTTGGTCTTCCCGCTCAGCTCAGCCTGAGCCTTCAAGCCCCGCGGAGCGTCGTGCTGCGGCATGATCACCTCGACCAACTGGATCTTCTTCGCGCTCGCGAACTCTGGGTCGTCCAGCAGCTTCTCCGCCTCCTCCTTCGTCTTGACGGTGTATGACAGGGAAATACCCTCGCCGCCAAGGACATCAAGGAGGCTCGTCCATTTCCTGGACGGCCACCAAGTTAGAACATGCGAAGCTAAAGGTGGGAAACGTAGCACGTACCAGTTCTGGATGTCATTGTACTTTCTGTACTTGCCGTGGAGGTATCGCTCGATGGTGTAGCCGCTGTTGTTGAGGACGAAGATGATCGGTTTGACGCCGGTCCTGATCATGGTCGACAATTCCTGCACCGTCAATTGCCTGCACATCTACAATCAGTATGTGCCCGACCGAATCCCATGTCATGTCAACTCACAAGCTACCGTCACCAACGAAGAGAATCGTCCTCCCAAGCCCCAGCTCCCGTCCAGCGAGTGCAGCCCCGAGTGTACTGCCCACAGTCCACCCAATACTACCCCACAAAATCTGGCTGACGAACACGGCGCCCTCGGGCAGCGGCACGTCGAGTATACCGAAGCTGGACGTGCCCGTTTCCGCGACGACAATGTCCTTCGGCTTGAAGAATCCGCCGACGCGCGGCCACCACCACGCCTGCGAGATAATGTTGTCCTCCTCTTTCGGCACGACGCGCTTGAACAGCGGCACGGTCTGCTGCTTCGCTTCTTCCTTGAAGGGCTGCAGACGCGCGGTGAGTTTTGGCAGGAGGCGCTTCATGCCGATCCCGGGGAAGCGGGCGTGCAGGACCATGGTGTGGTCGGAGTGCAGCTGGAACACAGTCAGGCTGAGGAAGATGGGAGCATGGCAGAAGACGGCGTACCTCGATGGTCTTGCTCTGTGGGACGCTGTAGGTGAAGTTACCGGTGTTGAAGTCGCTCTTCAGGGAACCGATCGAAAGTACGAGCTTAGCACTTTCGACCTTTTCCTTCACATCTGGGTGGCTGATAGACCCTACGTAGATCTGTCGAAGCCTATTCAATATCGTCTCGTGACATTTACTAATTAGGAACTTGCCCCCCCGTAACGGTCGTAACTCTCATTGACCGTGGTCTTCCCCATAGGAGCCGAGAACACAGGGTAATGCGTCTTCACCAGGAGCTCCTTGAGTTCTTCCTTCACATGATGTCTGATCGCACAGGCATCGGTGAGGATGATGGCATCCTGACCGGCGTCTTTCAGTAACCGGACGATCTCGTCCAGTACGAAGTTCTCGACATCAGGGTCGTTTTCGGGAGGCTCCTTCGACAAGGGGACGCGCAGGCGCCCCGAGGGGATTTTTTCGTAACAAATATCGGTGGGGAGTGTGAGGTAAACAGGCCGGCCCTGGTTAGATGCTGCCGTCAGCACCGACAGAAGTCGGGATTGAGGGAACGCAAGCTTACAAGGACAATGCAGTCAGTCAGAACGCGGTCGATCTCGGCCGCTGCCGTGGACTTGTTCATGAGGGTGGCTTGCGAGGCGGTGAACAGCTCGGCAGCCTTCGTGTATGCGTCGAAGCGGCCGTCACCCAGGGTGTGATGGAGCATCGGCTTGTTTTTGAGTTGCGCGGTGTTGGGTACACCAGCGATGTGTAGGACGGGGACATGCTCGGAGAAGGCACCCGCAATGCCGTTGATTGCGCTGAGTTCTCCTACACCGAATCTGCAAGTTCACCGACTTGAGTAACGAAGCGCTGATCTGCGAGGACAAGACGCACGTAGTCAACACAACACCGATGCTCTGATCTTTGACGCGTGCATAACCGTCCGCTGCGTATGCAGCATTCAGTTCATTACTGTGGCGGAAGTATAGATTAGGCTAGGTATATGCGCGTCTCGGGATGCGACCTACCAGTTTCCGATCCACTCGATGGTTTTGTGATCTTCTACAAGATCCAGGAAGCCTAGTCGCACGCGAGTCAGATCCAGTGGGCACAGGTGGGATCGGGATACTCACCCAGGTTGAAGTCTCCGGGCACACCAAACATAGACTGGATCGGGACTTGTCGGTCAATGCATGCACGACGGAAGAATGTATGCGTACTGTGACGCCCAGCTGGGCAAGACGCTCGAGCAGATAGCTTCCGACGTAGATTTGGTCGCCGGTATCCTGGCCAACCTTTACTGTCTCGAGCTCATGGCGAAGACGGTTGACCTCCGCCTGAAGCTCGGCGACGTTGGCTGAAGTCATGACAAGGGCAGGAGTGAATGATCTGTAGTAGAGTTATGAGGAACGCTGTGGACGACGACGAGGATTATATAGACCGACCTTTGATGAAGACGGGCTCGGTCGGGAATGGGGGGGCGGAGGCTTATAAGGCTGGGCTAGCCTGGATCGGAGCGGTCTTGACGCGAGGATGACATATCGATTTTGTTTTTGTAACTCTGGCCGTGCGCTGGAGTGAGCGGTGAATGGGCGCCGGAGTCCGCCGAAGCCTGCTCTAGGTGCTCTAGTCTCATACATCCACATGCGTGCTCGCAATCGACACACAAGTAACTACGCAGTATACACGAAACGCTTCACTGCCCGTGCTGCTCCGCCCATTCCCTGTCCAGAATACTCATCCGGATGGCGTCCTCCCATCCGCCGTCTATCCAGTTGGCCTCCTTCGTTGCCCCCTCTTCCCGGAACCCGCTGCCAGCGTAATTCGAGCCATTCGTCAACACTCTGTCTGGCATTCCACAAAAGAGTACGCACATCTTCTTGTACACAGCTCTGGCTGCCGCATTACCCTCCAGTACCCCGAGTGAGATCCTATGCAGCCCGAAGTTCCGGAAGGCATAACCAATAATAAACTCGAGCGTCTCCGTCCCATACCCTTTCCCTTGATACTCCCGTAGCAATCCGATCTCAGTCATTGCATCGCGGTTCTTTGCATTGCCCTGGGCTAACGCGCACCACCCCATAAACTCCCCCTCTCGATTTTCCTTGAGGGTGATCACGACGTACAACGTCGCGGCCTCCATCCCGGGCTTCAGCACGTCCTTCACGAACTTGTCCCCGCGCGGGACGACCCAGTCGTTCCAGAGGAAACGCTGCGCGACGGGGTCGTTCCATATTCTGAGGAGTGGCTCCCAGTCGGACTCGCGAAACGCACGGAGGACAAGGCGGTCGGTTTCGAACATCGGCAGGTGCACCGGTGAGTGACGGGAAGTGTTCGAGGGTGAGTCTGTATACCTCATTTACGGTATATAATATAATATGCTCTGCAACCAACGGACACGTATGCTTTCCGGCACGACATCTGTCAGCCACCCGAGCGTCACGTATAAGTACAGTTATTTGGCTTAGTTTACGTGAGGTACTGTAAATCCACGTAAATCGACCCTGCCATGACCCGGGGTCAATGGTGGCTGATGGCCCAAGCTAGCAGGTACAGCGCGAAAATTCTAAGTCCCACCGCATTGAAAGGTCCCGAGTGGTGTCAGATTCATGATAAATACAAGAGATATACTGTACGTATCATTCTTACTAGACACAAAGGCTCTAAATACGAGAAATAATGCTATATGACGAGGAGCATATAGGTCCTCGATGCGTCAGACGCGATCTAATTACACGCCACGCGTCCTGGGGTCCCGAAATGAGTATCCCGACAAGGGCGCCAAAGCTCTCGGGGTTTGATGGGGAGAAGCGCTCGGGAACGCGGCGCGAAGCGGCGGCGCCTTGATGTGATTGTACGGAGGGCGTGACGTGCCCGTAAATCCAGGCATCACGTGGTCCTGTAAATCGGCGTAAATCCACCGAAATAAACGCTTATGCTGCTTATGCCGCGCTTTCGAGCACTTATGCGGTAAATATGAGTGCTTTTCCGCTTGCAGCAGGCCTCCCCGGCTCTTGGGGGCTAAACGGACTACATAGAGCGACTTTTTGAGTACATTATCCATAGTTACACGCATTTTGGTAATATACATCAACTTCTATCTACTGCAGGAGAGCAAAAACACCCCCGGGGAGGTGCAGCCGCCGGGGAACGAGCGGGACAGGCGACGCGTCGACGCGTCGCGCGAGGCGTGGGAATACCCGGGAACCGCCGAGCCCCACCTGCCTAATAAGGCAGGAAACGCGTAAAGCCAGCGGAATAAGTACAGTTATTTGG